TGACAAGTCATTTATCTTGTCGTCTTTTTCTTTGAATTGCTCTTCAACATGCTCATATCGGATCTTCAGTTGGCACACAATATCAACTGACTTCTGCAATTCTCTGCCAGTCTGTGCCAAATTCTTTGCCAATTTTGAGTTCACCTCTTCAAGCTGCTTCTTTTCACCCTCAATGTCTATCATCTTCTTCTGCATCTTTGCCAGCTTTCCATTGACACTACTTAGTTCATACCTGTTGTCCACTGCCTCTTCTTTAACTTCTTCGTAACTGTGATGCAATTTTCTCATCTTCTCTTTCAAAGTCCTCAACATCTGATTCTTGGCATCAACTTCTGACATCAGCTCTTTGCAGATCTTTTGTGAGTCCATCTCCCTGATGCTCAACTCACTGCCAAGTTTTCTTGTTAGGTCTAACTCTCGTTTTGTCTCACTAACTTTCTCCTCCACTCGATCACAGTAACTCAGCAAGTTATTATTTTCGTGCCTAAGTTTCTCAATATGTTTTCTAAAGCTGGTCATGGATTCTAAGGTAACAATACAATATTCGTCATTATTTTCTGCTTTTACTGTTGCATTCAGCAGCTCGATCTCTTCGTCTTTGTATTTCTGAATCATCATATTCTTTGTCAACTCTTTTGACAACTTTCTTGCATTATTTTTCTGATCAACCAGTTCTAGCTTCAGATTTTCTATTTCTTCCTCTTTCTTATTCATTTCATATGATTGTCGCTTTATCAATACCTTTAAACGCTTCTCCATAGCAGCGTTTTCCTTGATAACAGACTCCTTCAGTCTCACGTTCTCTTGTATCGATCTTTCTAACTCCTCTCTACTGCTGATCAAATTCTTTCGCAATCTTTGCAATTCTTTAAGCTTTTCGACATTGCTCTCATGACAAGCTATCTGCTCTTCCCATACATCTTCAATTTTCAAAAAGGCAAATGCTTTTAGTTTCCCGCTGTCTGAAGGTTCTCCTGGCATGATTGCATCTAAGAAATGCTCGTGTTTCACGCAAGAATTACTTGTCGTTTGCTTCTCTGATTCCTTGGTACAACAGTTGCATGTCTTTTCTTTGGAACACTCATTATTGTTCTCATTACTCCAGTTATTTTCAACATTGTGGCTGTAATTGCTGTTTTGTGTGTCATCTACTGCTTCCTTCTCCAAACCGGTCTTTTCACAAAGACGAGCAATGCGAATCTGATTTCCAAATCGGTCATTCATTTCATTCAGCTGCTGTTCTCTAAGAACGAGCTCTTCACGAAGATTTCTAATTTCCAATTCCATCTTATTTTCCTTTAAGTGAAAATTTTCCTTTACATGCTTCATTCCAGCCACAAGTGTCTTGTTCTCCTCCTTTTTAAGTCTCAATTCATACTTTAACCTGTCGATCTCTTTCTCTTTCTCTTTGTCCTTGGCAGATTTGAGCTCATTGTATTTCTCAACAAGCTTTTTGTATTGATGCTTCGTTTCATCTTTTTCGATTGCAGTCTTTTCTAGTTCTCGTTGTAATGACTCGAGCTCCCCTTCTTTCTCTCGTTTTATTTCAGCAACTTTAGCTTCGTTCATTTCCGATACCTTCTCCCTGCTTTGTTTGATCACATCTACTTCTTCTTGCCACTTCCTTTTCACGTCATCCATGGCCTTATTTATATCGTCAATGTTCTGCAAATGAGTTTTTTCTTTCTCCAAAGTGACTGCCTTGAAATCCTTAAGCTCTCTTTCATGAATCTCTTGTATCTCCTCTTTTTCGATTGTCAGTTTTTCCACAGCCATAATCAGCTCAGTTCTCTCTCTTTCATATCTAGCAATTTTCAAGTGGAAACCTTTGCTGTTTTTCTTCTCAGTTAAAAGTTCCTCAGTGATGATAGAAACTTCTTCCAACTTTGCATTGAAAAGATTATGATATTTCTCTAGCAAGAGAAAACTGATTTTAAGAATTTCCTTTCTGGAAACTCTAGGCCTTCTTTGCCACCATTTGCTCAGCCCATTTCCCCCTTGCAGAGGTACTATGGCGCCATTGAAGCGACCTTGATTGTTGGCATTCCATGTTTGCACAAATTTCAAATGGTGAAGAATCACAACAACCCTTTCATCTCCTCCAGATTTTATTGTGCTTTCCTCCACCATTTTCGTGTTGCTTTTTTCTTTCCCTTTCTTCTTTGATACAACCAAGCTTTTCTCAAGCTTGGCTATCATCTGCTCTTCAATGGAGCATTCTTTGTCTGGAATTTTCGTAGCGTTGAAATGAGCAAAGTTTGTTATCGGTTTGCCACCAACATTACTCCTTCCCGTCGAATGACGCTTTTCATATGGCGAGTTAGGCTCAGTCGAGACATCTAACTGAATGTCGTCATTGCTCAAGTCAAGTTCTAGCCGTGGAACAAACACGAAAGACCCTTGAATCGGTGCATTCGACTGTTCAGTCTGATTGTCTTGGCTTTCGCCACTTCTTTCGCCGTTTCTTTCGCCGTTTCTTTCGCTGTTACACCCGCTCTCCATTCCTGCAAAAGAGTAGGAGCAAATTAATTTCAATAAACAGGGGTTTTGAGGCTCTGTAAATATCGCTTGAACACCAGAGCTTACTTTTAGTGAAATATCAAAAGAATTATAAAATAACAACTATTTAATTCAAATTAATGCAGTAGTTACTCTTTAAAAGCAAAGTCTAACACAATTCAATGTCTTACCTCAAGCGGCGGTTAACCGAAGACGTCCAAAACGGAAGCCTTTCGATTCTGCAGGCCGAATCGAAAGCTACCGTCGGCGAGCGCTGAAGATGCGCCGAAATTAGTCAACTGACACGAAAAATAACCTAGAATGTATTTTTTTAAAAATGCGAACTATTTGCGAATCTCTTACGAGAACACACCCTGTCCAATGAAGATAACTTCAAAGAATGAAAGGATCAACGATTCGCAAGATTATTTATGAGGTAAAGCAATCTGACGTCACAATCAACCGGCGATACGTCGCGCAAGAAGTTAAATCATATTACCAGACTACCCCCTGAGGCCCGTTTCAAGTCTAATATATAAAGTAAATAAACGGGGGGTAATCAATAAAAAAATTTCAAAATGCGTTCTTTGATGACGTAATATAAATATAAAAATAAGATATAAAGAGTAAAAGATATGAGGAGCTCTAAATCGTTGGAAATCTTAAAGGCATTGGTAAATAAACGTTCGCAATAGGGTCTGCTGTGGTTTCATTTGATATCAGCATCCGTTAGACACCTTGCTATTGATGGAAGCTGTTTGTAAATCAGTACGAGGCGGGTTCACGTGATCAGTGTCAGGCCAACCAAAAGCATTGCAGCGCAAAAACATGACTCAGCGTATTTGGGTACATTTGGGTATGCCCACTTTATTTATCATGGCTTTTAAGGATGACATGGAAAGCAGGAAAGTTTCCTTGCCTAATAACCGTAATTCTAGCTCAGTGTGTATAAATTCAAGACGAATATTTAGTAAGCTGACATAGAAATTAAGGTAAAATTATAGCCAATGGCAACGACTAGCGGGTTCATTGCCTTGTTTGAACCAATGAGTGTGGTCAGCCAGCCCTGTGGATCAAAATAACCCATGTGCAAACCCAGTTTTATTTTTCCTGTTATTTATAACTATCGTTTAAACTATCTTAAGCGCAGTGCACAAATAATATGATGTTTCACTGTATTGCTTAGCTTTCGAAAACATAGAAATGAAAATCATCATCAGGTACCATCTTCTATCAGAAGGTTGGCTACCATGACCCTCCAACTATCCCAAAATCTGAGTTTTGGTTTGTTGTCATGGTCATAGATAAAACTATGACCATGGAAATGAAAATGGAGAGCTTAAAAGATAAATAGCTGATATTAAAAGTAAATGGTCTGAAAAATGATCGTCAGCCAGTGCATGTTGCCGTTGCCTTTTATAAACAAATTGGAACTTACAGACGGTCCAACCGTTCCGGGCTTTCCTACATCACCAATCAACCCCTAAAAATTCAAAAAAAATACATTTCTATAACCTTCTGGTGGTACAAAATTTGAAAATGGCTTTGAAAAAAGCAAATATTTGAGTAAACTAAATCTTTTTGTCTGACACTCTTCAGAGTTTAAAACGTCAGAACATAGATCGAAAAACTAACTCTGAAGAGTGTCAGACGAAAAGCTTTAGTTTACTCAAATGTTTGCTTTTTTCAAAGCAATTTATACATTTTTTTAAACTCTGCCTTCCACATTCAACCCAACTAAACAGAAACTATAAAGTAAAATGGCGATCGCTGAAAGTGTGCGACGAAAAAAAATTCGTGCAACCAAAGCAAATATTTCACTGCCACCAACAGGAAAATGTAAAATAAGAAGTTAGTTTGTAAAGAATAATATGGAAAAAGGAGACTTAAATCTAATTTGAAGCTAAATCTATGCTTGTAAATTCAGCAATCTTTATTCAATTATCTGCACCGTTTCTTCATGTGTAAGAGAAACACACCTGGAGGTATGATAAAGCTTTCGTTATCGGTAATAATAATGATCATAAATACGTTTTACCTTGTCCCCAGTAGTTCCTCTTGGGCCTGGGAGTCCTTTGTATCCCTTTTCACCCTAAAAAGAGATTAAATGTTTAAATTAAAAATAAACATGATGAAACAGTAAATACTTTCGATAAAAGATATAAACCTACAGAAATAATCGCAAAGTTTTTGCATGAAAAAATATTATAAGTGAAGTTTGCCTAATTGGTATGAAGGTATAGCTATCTATATAGCATGTTGGTCAAAGAAATTAAATTACACAAATTCCATGTTTAGAGAACTTAAAATTGACGAATACCTTTAATCCACGTGGTCCTTTCGCTCCTTTTTGTCCTTGAGACCCAAGTTCACCCTAAAAGTTGTGGTATCACGTTGCTGAGAAACACTTGAAAGTGGGAATACTGAAATACGCTACAGATATCAAATGCAACATTATTTCTGGTTATGAAAAACAGAGAAAACCCTTGATAACCAGTATGAAGGTTGCAAAAATGGATTTGCCTTTTGTTCTAAGGCTGCAAGACCGAGAAGACAAGAAACTTAAGCATCAAAATATAAGAATGAAAATTGGTGGATAGCATTAAAGTATAACATTTGTTTCAAAATTAGACTAGGTTTATAAGAGAGCAGAATAGGTTTTGTACATAACTACTGTATAAGCTCTGTGATAATTGGTTTTAAAAGGAGGGTTAAAACTGCATTGACCCATTCATCCATTGTTGTAACTTCAATCAACCAGAATAAAGCAATAAATTACACATATGTGATGACACAACACCTTGTCAGCCTTTTAGGCTCTTGGAAATTCTTGATGACTAAAGAAGTAGTACAAAAGAATTTTTTGTCTCTTAGATTGATACAGATTGCTTTCTGCGTGGGGACTATCCATGAGGTCACACAGGGGAAGGCCACACAGCAGAAGCGATTGGAACTGAATACTGGCTAAGCGTTGAATAAAAGTTTACAAGTATAGAATAGAAAGATAGTATAGAAAGATGAAAAGTATAGAACAATTTAATGCCCCACCCTTGCGCCGTCTCTGCCATGTCGATGGATAGCTGGAATTCCAAACATCCCTTTAGCACCCTAATTGAAATTAAAGGATATTTTGAGAAAATCTGCTCTTTATCTGCTGAAAGAAGGTTGACAGTAAAGCTAATGTCTAAGGTGTTCAGGCGGGGAAAAATTTTTCTCAGTCTAAATTAAAAGTGCTCAGGAAAAATTCAACTCCTGTAGGGTAATCAATGACAGATCTAAAAACCTTAATAATTTACCCAAAATCCTCATTCTCCCCTTTCAGTCTCAAACGCTTAAGAAATAAACTTTAAAAGTACTTTATTTTCAAGCATGTATTTTCAAGCACATATAGGAAATAAAATGCATGCTATTCAAGTTACTAGTAGAGAAAATTCAAATACTTTAGCTTCAAATAATATATAAACAAATTTTTGTCTCAAATAGGCCATTTTTGTTCAGAAAAAGTGACAAATTTTGCATTAACTTCATGCAGTTCAAGCTTTCGAGCATTTCTAAACATCTGTCTTTTTGGTAAAGATTCCTTTCGTACAAGGAAAGAATTTGTTGACAAGCATTGATTATGTTTCATGTCAAATTCAAGTCATTTGGCACAAAAATAAGCTTGTCTGGTACCAAATAAAGGTTTCCCGACGACGTTGAGATAACAAAGTGATCGACTTACAGGAGGGCCTGGTAGACCAACTACGCCTGGTGGACCTACTGGGCCTGGTGCACCCTGTGGAAAAAAATTCACATATCAATCCGCATTCAAGGATAATGGTGGTAGATTGTGACCGGAAAGTGAAGAAGGGATGATCCGGAAAAAGCTAAAAAGCCGGCGCCAATGGTCTGTCCCAATAGGAAATTACTTGCGATTGAGAATCTTTATCGTATAACCCTTTTCGTGTGGATCATCGATTTAAGATTCAAAGTCTCTAACTATCGTAATTATCTTTAAACTCTTCAGAAGGAATTTTCAGTAAAAACTGTTTTGCTACTGACTTTTTAGCGGGTAAGGATAACAAACTATTCATGAATCAAAATGTAAAGGTATCAATCACAGAATAAAAAAAGCAAAGGCAGCCGAATTAATTCATTTTTTATAAGAAACTAAGGTCGAGATTAGCGCTCAGGTTCTCAATTTTTGTTACTGATTTCAAGGCAAATGTTTCCTAAAGGTTTCTTAAATACCAAACACTACAGAGCTACTTCTTTGGAACGCAAAAATGTTACACAAATTAGCATGAAATTAAATACCTAATAAGTCACAAGGAGCTCTTCTTTCTAGTTATCTCAATGTCTTTTAAACAGAATATAAGTGCCTACTTGTCGAAAAGAATCATTTTCTCTCCATATTCTAAAGAAGGATTTTCTTAACTTTTTGGTTTACTTAGGAGCTCAGTTTCTTAGAGACGGTTGCTTAAAAAAGAGTTACTGGCTAGATATTTTAAGTGTAACTCAACCATGGATTCTTGCTTCATATAATATGCGTATGGGAATTAAGAAGGGGCATATTTGACAGGTAAAAAACTCTCTCACATCTTTTCCGCTGGCTCCTTTTTCACCCTTATCGCCGATTTCACCTTCTGGTCCCTACGAATCCCAAAAAGGCACAGGAAAAAAATAAAAATTAGCATCGATTTTTGAAAAGATTCAACGCATATTTTTGTCAGCCAACGAGACCTCAAAGTGAAATAAACAAATAAATAAAGAATAACAATAAATAAATCATTACTAATGAAATACCAGAATAACTAAATGCTTTGAATTCAAGAATTATTAATATATAAAACTAACTTCTTGTGATGACAGATATTTTGCTAAAAACTTTCTTTCAATGCTCAAACATTTTGTTCATAGCACAAATCATAGCATAAAATCAATACACAGTTTATATTCGTTTCAAAATATATTGAACACAGAAAAACATTGCGAAGAGACGGGCTCGAGCTCGAAAACCTCGATAAAAAGAGAAGAATTGATGTATACAAAGTACCATAAAAGTGTCATAATTTATAATGATTATCATAAATTTCATTATAATAATTATCATAATTTTTAGATTATCATCATAATAAAATCATTTAGAAAAAAAAGCTTCCGTTTGTTTGATAATATTGATTCTTGTTTGGCCAGATAGTGCATCTCTCGTCTAAGTTTTTTTTGACACGACACAGAAAAAGCTAGTGGTGTGGGATTGTAGGGAAGGACAAAACTGTTGCCAAAAAGAATTGACAGATTTATTGAGACAACGAAATCACTATCAAAATAAAATCCATGCCATAGGATATCCGAACATTGCCATTTATATTCAGGTAGTTTCGAGCAACACTCTCAAGCATGACGTCTCTTCTCTTGTGCTCTTCGTTTCATAATTTCAATCTTATAATTATACTCATGGAGAGAATGTGAGCCTATATCGGTGGAAATATAGAGTACAAACGAAGATCTTTACACCATCAACCCAATAATAAGTATGATCAAAACTAGAAAAAAGCTAATACAAACCAGTTGGCCTGGACTTCCAGAATACCCTTTAGGGCCAGGAGGGCCTCTTAAGTACCAATACTTCTGCTTGACCTAGAATCAAATCTTTCTTTCAGGTTTCAAATTTATATTGGAAAACAGAGACAGTTGAAAAGATTCGTTTTTACGAGATTCTTCAGCTGGAATTGAAATAGAATTATTTAAATACCATAAGCTTTTGCCAATGCCAGGTTCCCTGATGAAATAGAAAATTTATTCAAAACAATGAAGATGAAATCCTCGAGAAATTGTTACTCGGAGAAATGTTTAGATGCACAGGTTTCTTGGCCCCAATAACTAAAATATTTCGGTCTAAGAATGTCACAAAAAAAAGGGTTTACTAAGAAGTGAGGAATGATAATAGAACCAACCAAAACCGTAGGTGTAAAAGGGCTGCTCTCATATGGCGTAAAAGCTGACACATTGGATGCTGTAGTCACGTTAAATTTATTGGTTTGTGCACTGGGATCCAAGGTGGATGTCTCTTTACTTGTCATAGTTTTCAAGGTCGTTTTTGGTGCATCAGCTGTTATATCAATAAGGTCTTTCTCTTTGCTACTTTTCTCTGATAGACTCATCGTTGTAGGCTTTGGAAAGTCAGTTTCTTTGCTGCTAATATGTGGTTCTGGGGTTGTTTGAGCCGTCAAAGGCTGCTTTCTCATTTCTTTACCCTCTTTTGGTTTTCCAGTTGATGTATCTGTTTTTGTAGTTGTATCAAGCAAACGTGTCCTTGTGTCTTCAGTTGTTTTTGGTCGACGGGTAGTTTGTCCAAGAACTGACTGCGTCAAGGGTTGGCTGGCAGGAGCAACGGAGGTTATCGTCATCTGAGCTCGTGTTATTGAAGCTTTGCTTGGAGTCACAGTGGTAGACAACAATACTTTTCTCTCTACCGTTTTCTGCGTAGGCTTTCCTGATCCCTTCCCTAAAATTTCGTCTAAAAAACGGAAGTGCAGCTGCATTTAAACATGTTTAAATACTTAGAAGGACGAAAAACGAATATAATGTTAAAGATGGTCACATGCATTTAAAGAAGATTTCACGATAGAAGATTCACACACCAATACTGTTTTTACCACTGTCTTAATTGATTCACACAAATAAGTGGCATTGCAAAAGCAACAGATAACAAGAACTGTATAGGGTTATTCTTTGGATAAGATACTTCTGAAAACGTTTAGATAAAATATTGTTTATGTTGAATCTACAGTTCAAACCTTTGGTGGCAAGTTGGAGAATTTCGATCAATGCAGGCTGAAGAAGAGAGAAGACAATTCTGTTAAAAAGGTCTTAAGTTACAGAAAACTACAAGTTTCACCCACAAGTTCTTCTCATCTTCAATTTGAAATATTACCAAAACATAATGAAACAAGATAAGTTTCATTTCATTCTTTTCAAAGGTCGAATTCATCCTATACAGCAAATATTTCCTACAACATCCTGGTTTTATCTAAACCATCTCATATTCCACCTAAGCCTAAAACAGTAGTATAATAAACAAATTATCAATCCAAAGTTTGTAGAGGTACAAAGAACACGTAACAATGTAATTTTCTTTATAAAGCATATACCAACCTGTCCTTTGAATTCTTCCATCACCAAAGGATCAATGTTGACCCTAACTTGTCCGAGTATGATTTCCAAAGGTGCTTCATTTCTCCCAATCGCTTTGGAACCACCTGCTATATTCTTCCAATTATTCGAACCAGCCTGAAATTCACAAATTGCTACATGAGGCCCCCATCGTTCTTAACAAACTACGAGATGAATTTCAGTTTCTATGGACCCTTTTTAACTGTTTCTAGGACAATAATTCCAATAAGATTATCTAGAAACCTAAAAACAACTTTAAAAGGCCTACGTCACAGCTAACTTGAAATCATAAGGATATCAGCATCATTTTTTAAATCAACGGAAATACCGCAGAAGAAAAGCTGAGGATCCCAACTAAAAAACAAAGATCTTTCTCTGTGCATTCAATCATCGATGCAGAGGAAAAGCTTCCTTCTTATTGTCTCCTGGATTCTTTATTGCAAAAATAAAAGAAAGGAGCTGGCTTCTGAAATCGAACGGAGACAGGCGAAGGAGCGGAAATGTCCACGGACAGCAAAAACAACATGGATTTACAATAGGATTTTAAAGATACATTTCATCTTACTTGATGGTTTAGTGTATGACGACTTTCGTGGATAGACGTTGCCCAGATAAGGTTTATCAGTTATGAAGAATGATAATATCAATCCGCAGGAGCAAAGGAAGGAGTTTAAAAATCACTTTGCTAAACATTGAGCAAAAGCCTACTATCTCGTTGAAATTTGGGAATTCTGAGTTGTATATCATAAGTATATAAAGATATAATTCCTATTTTCACTGTATTTCCTAATGCTGATAAGACCGTATTCCTCTCGTGCTGTTACGCATGTCCGTTCTCTACCCTTGGTTCCGAACTCTACCCTAATCTAATCTAACACGTTGCTACATACACAAGCGCTGTCAGCAGAATAATAAATTTTAATAACGCGTCCATTTAGCAACATAACCGAGAGATTAAAATACTTTATTATACTAGAGTCCAAATTCCATAACAGGTTGTCTCAAGGAAATTTTTGTGACCAAGACCTATTCGTTCAAACAAAAACATAATATCTCTGCAAAATAAATGCAGGTCAAACTCGTTAAATTTAAAGAACAAAGTATTGTAGGAATTATAAATTACTAAGAACTTTCAATACCAAAAGGAGTAGAAACGTTAGAAGACATGTCAAAGTAAAGGGGTTCGGATCACCCATTCCCCCTCCACCCTAGATGTGCCCTCTGGAACCAAATACATATTTGGTGACAATACCCACCACATACAGAACATGAATATGAGAGAATTCAATAGAACATCCCTTGGAACACACATTTAAGTATGACTTTTGCATACTAATCTAGATAAACAAAATGGCTTTCTGTTCTATTTCTAATCAAAAGTATATGATAACAGCCACACGGTAGATGTTTATCATTCGGTTTGTCCACGCCACCATGAAATAACCAAAGTTGCGTAAATCATACCGAATTGTCTAGTAATTAAAACCTAGTTTATATACAAATATGTAACGTGATATATAAAAGGTAACATCTGAAACGTGCTGTGGAGAAAAAGGGTCATTTTATATCAGGGTATAACCATCTGGTAACCGCAGAATAATTTCTTTTGAACAATAGGTGAATGTTCTGTTTCACTACAAGAGACATCTCTAGACAAAGTTCTCGAGCCTTTGGAGGGTTCTCAAAACCCAGTTTAAATGCATAGCAGTAACAACTGGGAGCTCGCAATAGCGCAGCGCTGGGTTAACTTGGCAAAATTCGATAATTTGGTTGAGCAAGTTAAAACTGGGGTTTACAGCAAACAAAAGTTTTCAACGCAAGCACTGGCCTAAAAGTTGGATAGCAAAATACTTGCCGTCTGTGCTGCCTTGGGCACGCCTTGCGGCAAGAAACAACCATGGAGAAACCTATCACATGTTTTGGTACTCTCCGTAGGCTTTGACAAGAGAATTGCATTGCAGATGAATGCCTGAAATAAAGAAAGAGCACTCTACAAGATCAAAGGACTTCAATAACATTTTGGTGTATGCATTCTCTATAAACTTATAAATATGATGTCATATTCTTTTGCAGGGTTCATAAGTTTCGGATTTTTCCTTGACAAATAAACTCTACGGAAAGCATTTTGCAATATATTGAAGCACAATTTTATGTAACACCTTTCGGAGTCGTCAGATGATGCTTAAAAGGTGAGCAGAGATTTACGTCCACGCTTCATACACTGGCGGGGCTAGACGATGAAATAAATCTGTTCGTTTCAAACGATCTTTGGTATTTCGAGCAATGTTGAAATAATTAAGGATCAAAGAGGTATCAGGCCTTTCATTCTTATCTGCATTCTGTACTTGAAAGAAACTGACTGGACTCTTTAGGTCTAGCAAAACAAATAAAGTTGAGATCAAATAATACCTTTGTCTTGCGAAAAAACCAAAATCGTTGAGGCGGGGGATCCATGGTATCATATTTTAATAACTGCCTTCCTGCATCGACGCAGTTTATAAAAAGATGAATTGTGTTTACAGATTTAGTCAAAATCAGCTGATGCCATTTTCCAGGAAGAAGAGTCAACCGGAAGTTGACAGCTTTGTTGTAGTACCTGAAGGATAATCATCAACAAAAGATTAGCAGTGCACCTCCACAACAACAAATCTTCTGTTCTTCAAAACTAAATTTAAAAAGTCTAAATCAAACGGCTTGGGTTCAAGACATGGAATGATTTCTTTTCTTTGTACAGAGCTCATTCTTAAAAAGTTTTCTTTACTGACTAATAGCCTCACTCTGTAGTTTAAATCATAATCTACTATCTAATTGAATAAAATAAAATGTGGATTTAATTTAATAGAATAGATTGTGGTTCCTTATATTTACTTTGTGATTGCAACTGTAAAAATGATGTAATTGACATTTTTACGCATAAGTATCGCTGTATATGGTAGGCCCCTGACGACAAGGACCGAATGGGACTGAATTTAACTGAATCGAATCGAACTTTGCTGCGCTGAATATAAAAGAGCTTACTTAATTCAACGAGTGTTAAAATTACAAGCAGCTGTGACGTATCTAGAAGGGCCATACACGATGAAAAAGGAGTAAGGCACTGTGATATCAGTTTCAAAGATAATGAGGTATAGGATGAAATTGAGCTTTTAATTGGTTGATAAAAACGAGAGAAGTCAGAAACCTCTTACGATTGATTCCAACTTCATGCTTGAAAAGGCCCGAACAGAATAAGATATATCTACCTAAAACGAACAAATGTTGCTCCAATCGAAACAGAAAGAACAATGGTCCCTTTTTTGTCATCTGGCTGTTTTATAGCAAACACGACTTTGGGAACCAGAGGAAACGAATCCAACCAAAGAACCAACTGCAAAGAAAACTTTCTGCCAAAATCGTCCTCTGAAAACTCGTGAAACAGATTTTGAAATGATTCAGTTATGTTGTTATGGTTACTTTTTTCTTTGTCCACCAAAGGTCCACGTAAGGTTAAACTTTCTCCTGCAAAGATAATACATAAATGCAATGCCTTATAATTTGGTGGCTTTACTGCAGGCCATTTGTACTTTGTGCCTACCAATGATGGTGCCAGGGGAAGGAAATAGGGGACTAAACCAGAGGTCCTCAAGATTTGGGTAAATACGACAAGAGAATAAATTGTTGTGGTGGGGTTTGGGGGATTGTTGTATGTTTTGGTAATTGCTAGAAACTTACTGTAGTGGGTATAATTTTGGAATAAAGTTACTAACATGACTTTCATTGAAGTTACAGCAAAGCTAGAATGTACAATTTCACTAATTGTCACTGTAACACTCTAAAAAGGCATACCCTTGTACAACAAGAGTGAGTGGTTCTGGAGGACATCGTCCAAAGCAAATTCTCCCACCCTTAAACATATGGTGCCAACAACACTGCTTACCTTTCAGTTTGCAGCCAAAGATTTGCAGTTTGAGAAACACAGAACCAGGCTTGGTAATGATAGGCCGAAACTGGACATATCGTGCTAAAGCTGGATTTGCTAGCTTGATTGGATCACCACCGGCTGCTGAGTCAGAAAACTTCGTCTAAAATTGAACCCAAATGAACATAATAATATCTTCTGGACAACAGAGATAAAAACGAACAAAATTTGCAAAGGATACACACCTATGTAGGCTTGGATTTTTAGGGCAATTGCTGTCAGTTTTGTGTATTATGTGTATTTTGTGTACTATTACAGTATGCAACAGTGACAGAGATTATGGGGGGAGGGGTGGTTGAGTTAACACGTGCAGTATAGATAGAAAAGTTCCCTTCTGTCAGGAAATTTGCCTTGCTTGCACCCCCTCCTGCCATTACAAAGCTCAATTTTTGCTACTAACACTTTACTAAATACACTAACTTTTGAAAAAACAAGTTGTTTGAACATATTAACAGCACAATGCCTCAACAGTTATCTTAAAAAATCTTTATCAAATTCATGATGCTGTGTGAATAGAAGACAGATTATTTTATATCATACCGCATTATCAGTTCCCTCTTTATATTCCATCCAATTCTCAGGTTTTATTGCTGTCATCATAACAAAGTGCTCTGGAGTTCCAAGTTTAACACTCCCATACATAGGCTGCAACACCTGAACGGCTGTCAGCATGTACAAATCAAGAAGATCAACTTTGACATACTCTTTACTGGGAATGTCATCTAGACTATGTCTCTTGGGACCCCATGGAAAGATTGAGTTTGTTGCAGCAACATAAAACCCACTAAAACGTGCTCCTGTTCTTGACATGAAAACAGAAGACTCTGTGTAGTTCATGTTAGGTAACAGGATAGGCTTGTTGCAACCTGAATAATCAAAATATGAGAACCATTCTTTCACAGAGATCATTCACATAAAATTGAGCTTGAACTGTGAGATTTCTATGCAAAGAATAGATTGAAATAGCTAAGAATCAAAATTATTATCTCAAGGTTTAGCATAGAGAAAAAAACACCAAAACAAACCCAAGGTTTAATTACAAATCTTAACAAACAACAAAGTCTTTTGCTGATCATACACAGTACAGGTAATTGGGATTGCCATTAAATTTACCACAAAAGCTATAGAATATTTCAAATTAACAACGGTTAAGATTTGTACACTCAAAAATCTGGAAAAATTTTTGGTCTAGGACAAATTTCATCATTCCTCTGACAGATGTTTTTTTTCTCAACTTAAGAATCCATAGTTATGTACATTAAGATTTAAATATGAATGTATGAATTTCTGTTCTGCTTCAGCTATGATGTTTTGCCAAAACTGCAGAATTTCAGAGACAAGACCCACTTTCTCATCAAAGCAGGGCCCCCGCCATGGATTTCAAAGTGGAGGGGTGATAAAAAATAGAATAATTTTCCTAAAAATGTCAGCTTCCTAAAAAACTAAAAATAAAATTTCAGTTTCCAGAGTCTCCAGAATGGTCTCTAAATCGATTTCTGAAGATAATTTTCACTAGAAATTTCTATTTTACTAAATGTGAAATGTTGTGAAAAATGCAAATTGTCTAAGAGAATTTTGATTATCTCTCGAATGTAATAACAAGGAAAGTGGTCTGGCATCTGTAGACACTTCAGCAGATTCAAGCTTGAAGGTGGAAAGGCCAGACCAAACCATGAGAAAACTAAGGCTATGTGTAAGAATGTGGTATCATATGAATAAACAGTGTGTTGATAGTAGAAATATACAGGCGGTTAATGTCATAGATTCAATAAAACAAGGGGTTTTAACAAATGGTGACTGCCAGCAGCAGTATAGCCACAGAGTTGAAATAACAAACCATCATCAAAAGTACAGGGATGGAATTCAACAGCAATAAACTTACAGGTTCAATTCAATTGCTATTCAAATAAATGGTTTTGTAAAAAAAATTTTTGAAATGTTTAAACAAAATTTTGGCATTTGTATGTTCAAATCAGCACCAAAGACGATTTTTCAAAGAATACTTGTTTACCATTTTTTTGTGAAAGAAGCAGGTGTGCGGTTGGTTCAATATTTAGGGTTCAAAACTACAGATCCATTGTGGTCCCAGTCACTGACAGCACCATACTGTCACTGAGATTGAGGGAGTTGCTAGCTTTCAGTATTTCCAGGGTTGGGAATCATTGGGTATGAGCATATCAAGAGGAAGGTATGGTTATATCATTGCCTCTCAGTGTCTTAAAAACTTACAAGCCAAGAATAAACAAGAAAATGAAGCAAACTGTTTAATTTCACTCTTTGGGTGAACAATTCGGAGTCCAGTACCCAAATGTAACCTTGGAACTGCAATAAAAACTAGGGCCAATTTTGATACCCCTTACTAGGGATGTTCTAGGTATGCCACTGCATGATCTATATCCTAAATAATATCCTACTATTATGTGCAAGAGCAATGCTGTATATTCCTATACCTCTTTGATGTAGGTATGTATACACAATAAAAATTATTCTTTCTGCAAGCGCATGGAAACTTAAATAAAGGCCAATTCAGAATTTACAATTATCAAAGAACAATCAAATGCTAAACAAATCCTTTTTAAGTGTGTAATCTGATTATAAATCGATGAAAAGAGTGTCTATGTCTGTGCAAATTGAGAATGATGCAACTGTAAACATAGCTTAGCCAGATTACGGATCGAAGAAACTTTACTCCTTAGAGTAATACCGCTAGTATTTCAGGTTTCAAATAAAATCTCCCTGGGTCAAGCGAGATAAAACTGGAAAAATATCCGATCTCAATAAAAGTCTGAATCAAGAAACTATGATTTCATGCTTTTGTCTGGAAGTGAAAAAAAATAATAAATAATAGGCCACAATAGAGATAAGAGATGCAGCTCAAACCAAACTTCGTCTCAATATCATTTAGCCTACAATTCGATGTCGATTGAAAAGACACCAGTTCAATTTTAAGAAAATTTCTAAATGTTACACATTCAATGCAAGACTTTATTTAAGCCATTTTGAGCGTGTTTGGGGACGGGGGCGTCCCTATTCCGGTTACTCCCCTATTGAGTGTTATGGTATTTAACGAAACTTTAGATCTTGCAAGCAAAGCGAAACAACACTTTCAATCTTTTTACTGCATGCCTTCCTTAAACATTGCAAAAATTATAGTATTACGATGACTCAATAAAGGATGCGTAGGCAAACTGAAAATGCTTGAACTGTTAAGGCGAAAATTGTAAAACAGTAAATACCTTGACCATCGACTGGCCGCAGTAGAGCCGTCCAGAAAATGAGCAAGAAAAGTACGCTAGCCATACTTTATCCGATGAAGCTGCTTGTGTGGGTTCTATAAGAACAGCATACTTCGAGTCTCCTACTGTGTGAGCTCGTTGCGAAGCTTATATCCTTGAAAGCCACTAATCAAAAAATTATTTTAAAAATTGCAAAAACCAAAAAGCCCTTAGGCCTGGTCTCGTTTCCGCAACATTTCAAATTGAGGCAAAAGGGCGCGAAAGATGTGGTCAAAAACCGCAGCCAAGAAACCATTTAGCCATAAACAATTTTAAATAATGTCTATGCGAAGCAGCATTCTTTCGGGGACAAATTCGTCACGGAAACTGCTTCTTTTCTTCTTTTGGTTTCGAAAGATCTTGAAATTAATAAAGAGGCTCAATATTTTTGGGTGGATTTCAAAAAGCTGTCAATAACATTTCAGAACATATTTTAATAATGTAAAACATTTCAATTTAAAGATTAAATCAGATAATGAAGATTTTCAAAAATATTCAAGCAAAATGCTTCACTAAACTTACATGCATTCTGGTGTTAGTTTTTTTGCCTCAATAATGAAAGTGTTTATGTTTATTAGCAGCGTTAATCTTCGATAACTTTTGATTTCTTCTTCAAGCAAAAGGTGGCGAAAGTTATACAACATTGCAATAGTTTTAAGAAAAGCTATATAAAGTGAGAGTTATTCGCTGCTATGCAAAATTTTATTGTTAAAGACCAAACCATAGATGATTTTACTTAAATTCAATTTCTAAGAAACTTTTATTCAAAAGATAGAAGAAAATTTTTAAGAAGGCTAATAAAGCCAGTGCTCCGGACCCCTAACTTGAAAGTAGACCTCCAGACCTCTACTTTCAAGTTAGGGTTCTGGAACACAGGCGAGGGGGCGTTAAATCGAAACATTATGGTATGATTACTCAGGTTAGCGTATAATGTCAGAAAACGTAACAATGAAAACAAATTGACGAAATTACAAAAGTAGGATGGCACAGATTTGGGGTGATTTTCACGAGGAATAATCATTGGTTTGGATAAGACAAGAATAATGGTCGATGGAAGAGCCACTATACACATATGCCAAATCGCTTAGTCGTGCTCGTAATTTGTTAAACTCGACTAAGCGATTTGGCATATGGCTCTCCCATCGACCACTCTGATTTTCTTTTGCATAGAGAACATTTCCAAGCACAAGAATAATGGTTATAGCTATTCTACCAGCAATAACATATGGTGTTGAAACATGGACACTAGCATAAATTGGCAGTGGCACAAATAAGCAGTGGCGGGAATTCATTTTTCAAGTGGGGGGGGGGGCGTCTTTTTATGCATCTCGATTCTTCGAGAGAAACCTCTCACATGTGATCAGGGGAACCGCGGAAGGGATTCAGCCCCCTTAATGACCACATGTATGGTTTGACCTGTTCTATTTTGGCAATCCTTTACTATACTGTATTTTGTGTGTGAACAATTTTCTATCAGTCTTTTTGGGTCGTGCAGGGGTGTCACCAAAGGGGGTGCGGTACCCCCCCAACACTTTTTCCGTCGGCACATTAAGGACTTTTGTCGGGTAAAGGAAGCAGTTTTTGTACTCTTCCTGTAAACTTTTTGCAACAATTGTAACGTATTAACATTTCTGTAGTAGTTGAGCTTTCAAAGTGTGGCACTAAAGTATGAACTTTGAAAGAGAAATGCATAAAAGCAGCATATAAGAGTATCTATATTTTGACCACACCCGTATAGGGTGAGACAAGTCCTATTTTGTCGGCAAAAGCCACTTCCTTACTCCTCCAAAATTTTGGCTTCGCTCCTGAGTCGGTGAATACACATAACCACTTTTTACTTTTTAGGACGGCACCCCTGATTATATATCGTAATATTCTAGGGAGTTGAGATATTACGAGGAAATAGTCAGTCATGTTTGACTGACTTATCTACGACAATTAATTACACCATGTTACGCTCTGGTGCAAAAGGTTTCTTTTTGGAATCCGTTGTCCTATGCTTTATCTGTTCTGTTATCACGAAATAATTCTCAATGGATATTCCTTACTAGTTTTATCAATATTTGATTGACATGCGTTATGCATTGCATGTTTTAATTCAGAATTGTGAACTTGACGATTCAACATCAAAACGTTTATAATATTAGAAAGGTACATGGACTTTCTTCATTTTAGTATGAATACTGCTCCCAAGAAAACGCTGCCCTTACAGAGCTGGGGCTAAAAGCTCCAAATTTGTTGAAAATTTCATTTATAAGCCGTCTAAAATTTATCTCCCGTTTTTCCCCCGCCCTGCACAACGCTGTTTAACAGTTATAGATATGGACAAAAACAAAATTTATTAGCTAGGATAGCAACAATGCCAGATTGGAAAAAAAGATGGCTTAAGAGTGAAAGTTAAATCCTAGAAAAAATTGTACTGCTTTGGTATGAAATAGATAACCCCGAAAGTCAAACGCTTGACAATAGGTTTGGCCGAGGGGCAAATCACTCTAAGAAAACCTCGTACACCTTTAATGAAAATCCTACTGTTTTATATGAAAATCTCCATAAATCCTTTTGTTTTAGGCAAAATCTTGTACGCTATTTGCAAGAGTGAATCGCCCCTCGGGTTTGTCAACTAATAATCCATTGTTGAGCCACAGAATATTGTGGTTGAGCATCAAGGAACAAAAGATAACTTATCAAGTTACAACAACCATAGTCAGTTTACACGATTCTTGTTGACAGGGTTACCAATATAAAACACACAAAGATTTGTAACTGGAAAACGTTAAAGTAATTCTAATTCACACAACACATCAACAACCAAAATATATCAGTTTTGCTAATTCAACAATATTTCTGTGAAGCACATCATCAACAGTTTTGCCAAAAAGGGCATCCTTATCCTTATGCAGGTTTACAAAGGCAGGGGGTAGTTCCAAAATATATCTATTGTGATGAGGTTTGAGTAAGGGCTTGGAGCATTGAAATGTAAGTTCTGTGAGTTCATACTGGAGTCCACTCATATTCCAGTAACTAGATGGCTAAAAGTTCCATCGGAAGATTCTTTCAACATAGTGTTTAAAATCTTGAGTGGTCCCATTTTCCCTCTAGGCACTGACCCATCTGGGTTTTAAACAGGGTGAACCCTTGGTCAAATATGGGGGGGCAAGCCTATTGTTTTGATAAGATGATGTCACATTTTCCCATTGTTTTTGAACAAATGAACATCGTCCTCAAAGACATTGGGGGGTGGCAACTACCCCCCTCACCCCCTGGTATTCGCCACTGGTTTTAAACAGATCCTATGGGGGTGTTGGTTCTTAAGGTATTTTAGCTCCTACATAAAACACCTCAGTTCATAATCCTGTAAAACGCAAATGGAAACACTGAAACTTGCTAGGAGAATTACTACTGGCAAGACAGTTTAGATATGAATTACTTATATTCAATTAGTTGAAATTTTAAGATTGGACTAAATTTTGCTCACATATAGTTAACATGTTAAATATATATTATTAACACACTTTAAACAACACAAATTATAACTACACATATATACTTCAAGGAACAAGTGATTGAGCTTGTAATTGACAGAAAAAGTTCAAAATTATATAGCTCATGTTGAAATCATACCTTATTAGACTGTTGTTGGTACATGCAACAAATTTTAACTTCATAATTTAAAACAGTAATTTAAACAGCATAAGACAGTGATACAGAAACATCAGATAAATTTTAATTCATCAGAAAACAAAAACGATCAGATAAATTTCATCTCCTGGATTCTAGATTGGAGACAAAATCTAACAGAAAGACTGCATGATTAACATGAAGTTTTTCATAAGGTTAATTTAAATTAACATTTATAAGTCACACGTATTTTTTAGATATGTATGTTATACTGGGCCCACCCTTGTTATACTGTTCAATGTATGAGCTATCATATACAGGACTTCAAGTTGCTAACCAAGCCATTCCTTTTGGATCTTTCTTAAACAATTCCCTTTTAATCTCCATAAAATCCTATTGCTATAAAAAAGTAAATGATATTTCACAACATCTCTTATGGTTCAATTTCTTTGGATATTAGAAAAGGAGAACTAGTTTTGAAAAGCAAAGTTGCATTAAAGCTTTTTGTTGTGTTAAATTTCAAACAATTTTGAAGGACTGTTGAGTTAGTTGTGCAATAAATCACAAAAATATCTTTCATATGTGCTTTAAGTCATGTCTATACATAAATTTAAATATCTTTGATCACTTACCTAGCATCAAGAATGACTGCATAGGGCATTTTACTGCAAACTTTTGAAATTTTTATTTCTTAAACATGAGTCTTCAGAGCCCTGATTATTTTCAAACTATAATAACTAAAATTTCTGGTTACCTTGTAGGCTAGTAACTATTATTAATCATATCTGGAAATGTATATTTTCAACATAATAAATTTCTTGCTTTGAAAACTGCAACAGCAAAGAACACCACAAGTAGTAAACATATCAGCGGGTACAAATTAAGATGCAAACACATCCAGACAGGTAATGAGTCTCCCAGAGTCATGGCTCTGTGGACACTGTGAATTCTTGTAGCATCTAACCCATCACCAACACCCACCAACCAAGAAAAATCACATAAATGGAGATAGTCTAGGAAAACTGGGAGATGTTGAAACTGCACAATCTTTTCAAGTTTGAATGGAGATACACCAAGTTTATTAAGCGTGATTCCAAGGTATGCATCATCGATATTGAAAGGTTTAAGATGTGCGAATGCTCCCACAACTGAAGACAGCAAGCTGCCAGACAAAACAATCATTGATCCTTTGCAATACAATGGATAGTATCTTTCTTCATAGTCAAATTTATGGACATAATGTCTATGCAAAGGGTCTCTTACAACCTTGCCGGTATAGGTTGTTCCACCATAAATTGGGGTTGAGAACCCTGGTCCAGTAGCTATGTATTCAGCTAGCCTTGGTAAATTAATGTAAACATCATCATCAGATTTAATGAGGTATTTCATATCAAAATGTGATGTAAATTGCATTGCTGATCTTAGTTTCCATGTGATGTTTCTATAATTCTCTTTGACACCAACAATTATTAAATCTTTATAAACTGTGGCCTCTTTCTTCATTCTGGCATCCTCCGTTTTATTGCCAGTTTCTCCAACAAAAAAGAATACTTTACACTTATAATAATCCTTTACAAATTCACTTCCTTTGGCAACAGAATGCGCCAAACTTTGATTTTTTAATGCCTCTTCTAACTGGTTATTATTGCAGTTTCCCCAAGTCTTGCGAATGGCTTCTCTTCTATCCCTGTTTTTCTGACTTCCCGCTGAAGATGAAATCAGTACCAGGAACAAAAGTTTATCATTGGTAATATCAGGTTTCACAACAATTTTGTTGAAATGGTAAATACCAGGTTGCTTGAAAGATTCCGGTACAGCAACAGCTTGAACATCAATGTTTCCAAAAGTTCTTTTAGTATGAATTCTGTTACGTTTCCATAAAAACAATGAATACAACAAGAAAGCTAATGAAAACAGCAAAAATATCTTTAATATTTGTCTGTGGTGACAATGAAAAGTCTTTGTTGAGCAGTCCCTCCACAGTTTAATGATACTGTTTAAGAACATTGCTTTTATTCTAAAAGAAAGCATAAAAGCATGTATCAAAAACAGAAAGCAACAAGACAAGTGTTTAAATTCAATAGGAATCTATCAAGATTATCAAATATCTTTATAGATATATATGTATCAATTTACAACTGTTATACATAATTAGTCTCTACATATACCTTATCATACCAGAAAATTTGAGCTCTAAAGGCCCAGAAAAATTGCTAAAAAAATTGTGTGCATAAATATAGGAATGTTTCTTTTGTTTTTACCACCAGTGTCAATCTTAGCAAAAAGAATTAAGTTCCTAATTTAAAAACATTAAATTTAAAGTAGATAGATTTAAAAAAACCCCTGGAAAAAAGAGGATTTTTTGCTTCAAAAATCAAAAGTACTCACTCCTAAAGGCCTAAACTATCCAAACACAGAACTTAGACACCCTTAGGTTAACAGTAACTCATTAAAGATTCTAAAGAATTGCAATTGAGATGGGGAATAATTGACCCTTTTGTTTCTGTTCTCTTGTTTCTAAACTACACATCAGCTAGGGACAGCAGATATGTATTTATGCTATTACTATAATTTAACAAGTTTCATCTGTAACGGAATCATATAGTTTCAGTAAAACTACAGAATCATATAGTGCTGATATGATAATTCAACTGCTTTTTTTATAACATTTTTCTTAACTGTTTACTGTTTAAACAGATGAATAAAAAATATTTTGTTCTAATTTTTCTGACACTTTAATTCATCCCTCTGAATTTTTTACAGATCCTTTCCTGTAGCACCAAGTTTTAAAAAAGAAACTAGACTTCCGAAGGTAAAACAGCACCCTACTCAATGTATACATAATATTGTGAAATGAATTACATATTAATCACTTATATATTAGAAACAGGTGTATTGGTTTTGGTTGGTTTCTAGAGAAAGAAATATATCAGATATTTCTTTTATGTTATATTAAGGGTGTCTTTTGCAACAAAATGAGTTATGTCATAAATGGCTGCATAAGGCTCTGTTGAAAATTGCACTGAATTTAGCTCATTTAATAAATTTAATATTAAAACACTCATTTCTAACTTTATTTTTATCTTACTTTATTGATTAAATGTTGTAACACTTTTATTTGAATTACGTAGTCATGACTCAACAGGGGTCTTTGAAAAGGGTCGGTGGGTTCAACATCTTTAAATATAAATTGTTAAAGATGTTTTGTGTAAAAGATAAAACTGACTGCTTTTGTTCAACAGGGATGAAAATCTAGTGATAATAGAGTACCATCTTGTACCGAAGTGTTTAACAAAGAACTCGTCTACAATTGCTTACACAAAAGGCGCATGAAATCGCACCTGTGGTATGAACATGGTGACTGACAATGAGAATCCCTTTTTAGGCCTGAACGAAGGACGGTGAATGAAGTTCCATGGAACTGAGCCACATGAAAAGGGGCATCCTAAACTGCTTACAACACGACGCCTTGTTTTAACTAAAAAAACTTTAGCAGATTTCAACAGGTTTTCTTTTCGTCATAAAATATCAACCTTTTCTTCATTTTGACGTTGAAGATTTTCAACAAATGACTTCTTCTATAGCCTATTCGGTCTTTCTTGCACACAACTTGATAAAACAACTCGAATAATAAAGCATCAATGCAACACGTTTCATTTTTCAATACAAACAACGCTGGACAGCAGGTGTAGCTTCATCAAGTGCAACATAACACTTTTTCTTAGCCCTACTCCACTACTCATCTCATCTTCAATACGGAAGTAACCAAACCTAATGATGTCACTTACTTGCAAGCATTCCAAAGGCTTTGATATGTTCCTGTTACGAATCAGATTTCATATAAATAGGTTATCAATTCTTCAGGAAACAGCGTTTTATATCTCTTCATAATTCTCATCCTCCCCAGGCAACGCAAATCGCAACAGTTCAAACCAGGCCTATTCAAGCTGCGTGTGGTTGTTGCTGTAAGCTCCTTCGCAATATTATATTGAAGGATGAGTTCATCCACTGATGTATTGTTTGAGTAAATTCTGACGTTATTGAAAAATGCAAATTTGCACTCTACTTTTTAATCCTACTTTCAAAACATATACAAATATAAATCTATATTCCTCTGCCTTCTATATCCTCGCTGGCTGGCAGTTCTGTTGTGTATCAAAACTTGCATCACGTGTCAAAGGAAAGCTTGTTGCTTTGCCCCATTGTTTAATCAAAATCCTGTTTCTTTTTCCTGTTTTTATTGTCGCGTCCCAGATCAAAGAACCAATTGTAATCTTCTTCTTGATAAACAAACAATCGCATCATCATTAGCTAAGTACATATAATTCCAAAAAGCAGGTTGTTGTTTATTCCAAGAAAAGCAATACGATACAGCAAGAAAAGATGGTTTGATAAGAAAATATACGAAAACGATTTTTACTGAAAATTCTTCTAGCACACAACGAACTTTCTTTTGGAAGTATATTTTTCTCAAATTGTTGATTTTGAATCAACACACTAGTTTGATTTGGCAGAAATGCTGGTATAATCCCTGCCAAAAGTCCTTGTTTACCAAGAAGTGGTGATGGTTCGTGATGCTAGCTGTATGATGCGGGTGTTCTGGCAACAGCACAGTCTTGAGTCTCTAAAACAACAAATCCCGTTTTCACATTTAACTGCAAATATGTTTTGTAAAATTGTGTATTCACGAACAAATAAAATGGTGGTAATGGGTAAACACGCAAAGTTAAGCAGGTTGTTATATGTCTGGCGTTTCTGTGGAATTCACACCACACCAACACAGTAGGTAGGGGGTACCAGGTATCCATTCTTTTCTGTGGAATTCACACCACACCACCACAGTAGGTAGGGGGTACCAGGTTTCCATGCCGAATCACGCAATCACGCGTAAAATGAATGCAAATCGCGCTTCCAGGGTACTGGAAATTTAATTTCACGATCACGCCCCCTAGAAGGTCTCTGAATTTTTTAATAACTATCTAATAGTAGTAACTGTTTGTTGGCAGAGCTATCGGCATTGAAATCTCTGAATAATTGAGACATTTACCTGGTCTGGTACCGGAAACCAAGACTTTCTGCCCTGAATCGTCTGCGTTTTGTTTACACCTCAATGGAAACACTTCCTCGAGATGCTTACGATCGTCAGCAGTCGTGGATCAGGAACGTCGGGATAATTTAACTGAACTGTGATGTTTAGCATTCAAAATTCTAGTAGTTAGGAGTTCTATGGTCATCAAATTTAATCAGATTAAAAGTCTGCATTTTTCATCTATAAACGTTCTGCATTTTTCACATTTCAACCAAAAAATTCTGCATTTTCACTCGAACCTAAAGCTACAGTATATTCCTTTTATGAAAGTGAAGACCTGGCATAACGTACATCCTGTAGATAGATTTCTATTTTATTAAGTTTGCATGTGCATTTACTTTCGTTTTGCATTGATCTACAAGGAAGTGCATCTTTCACATGTTTATTTTTTAAACAGCCTCAAAGACTTTTTCCACGAACACAGTGCAAGCAATAAGTTTGTTGGGGCCCAGACCCTCCTTGTTATCTTCGTAAGATCCATCATGTATCGTAGGCATCATGTATAGCGTTATAATTTGAATGTTGATTTAATATTTGATTTAAAACAGTACTAGCTTACATGTTTTGATTCTCCATACCCAATAAGGACATACATATGGTAAATGTCAATCGACAAGTAACAGTGATCATGATCATGTATGTTGACTGTTAAGAATTTTTTACATTACAAGGATATTTTTAAGGAATTGTGAGATTTAAGGAATTTTTTAAGGAATTGCAAGATTCAAGCAATTTTTAGAGTATCAACTTTTTTTCCAAAAGTTCAAAATATTTTCAATGTTTGCTTTTTCAGATGTGTAATGTAACAGCGAAGATATAGCGTCTTATGCGTTAGCAACGAAAAAGTTGCGGTAGAATTGTCTTAATGACGACCCAAGAGGTTGTCGGTTGTTGATTTTCTTATATCTGAAGGTTGCAATTATAGAGCCGTTAGCGCTTTTAGGTGATGAAGACCCATCACCGATTCAAATGGAAACACGTGTTTTTGAATAACTTTTTCCGTATTTTTGAGTAAGTCAGATCGTTTCTTTGGGCTTAAAACTTCATTTCGAGTTGATCTATCGTCACGATGAAGCGAAATTGTTTTGACGGTAAAAGTGCAGCTTTAGCAACAGGAAAGAGAAAAAGATACTAGCAGAAATTTCGGAATACGTGGCTAGAGGATCCCCTTTTTAAGTTTTATAATTTATGATGATTATTTTACTGTTTCAACACCTTGGCATTCAAACGGCCATTTAAAGCATAAAATGAATGAATTGTTCATTAACCGTTCAAAATTTGTAGATGCATACTAACTGTTAGTCATGGCAAGACCAATCTTTTGGATAAAACTAACAAGGAAATATTCAAAGAAAATAGAAGTTCGGTTTAAGGAATTTTAAGGAATTTTGAAAAATTTCAGCCTCGCTTTAAGGAAATTTAAATTTGAATAGTGGAAGCACTGAGTTAAGAAGTTGGTTGGCGTTAGAGTTGAAGTAAGAATTTTGATCGGCGAATATGTAAAATGAAACATTTATGGATTTGAAACTAAACGGCTTATACAAAATGGTTAATTTTCTCTGAAACTGCATCCTACACTTCGTCCATCATTAAATTTTAAGATAGGGGCACCGCTAGAAATAGTGTTCCCAACAAAGTTTGCTAATGTCACAGAATGGTCTGGCTACTAGAAAAGCCTGTCAAATGAGGGTTAGAGTCGAGAAAAGTATTTATCTTCCCTATGGATAAAACCTTTGCTCTACAAAAGCCAACTTTTGAAGAACAAGAAAACAAGACTGAGTTTGGGCACGGCATATTATCTCTCTCGTTTCACTAGCTTTCCTCGAAGTCTTTGAACGTGTTACCATTACGGAAGAAAGGCAACGACAAAGAAGCTAACAGATTAAAATCTCTGAATCCCTTCCTGGAACAATTTTTGAATGTTCCAAAGGGCGTTTCGTGTACCTTTTATAGTTCTTATGAGAAGGGTCAAAGAGAAGGAACAAAATAGAAACGACCATTGACCTCGAGTAAAAGAAATATCATTTCAACCGAGTTATTGCTTAAGAAATATCTGACTAAAATTTCATAAGTTACATATTGTATATTTGGTCTAGGTTGTCCTTAATTTCGCTGTTCCAAGAAGCCAGAGGAGAACTCTGTCAACCATGAACGCCAAGGCAGCATCCAAAAGGAGAACTTTCATGAGTGTGCTTCGGAACTGAGACAGAAAAACAGACAATTCAGTGGCTTAAACAGAACAAAATTGTACTAAGCAAAATGGCATCTGTTTGTTGGAGGAGGTGGAGTGAGGAGGGGCTAGGGAGTGGGGTTTCCCCCTAGGGAGCAATTGTACTAAGTATAATGGCATCTGTCTATGGGGGTGGATGTGGGGCTGGGGCTATGGAGTAGGGTAACCTTTAGGAAGAAAATTCAGTGGTTTAAACAGAATAATATTGTATTAAACATAGTGGAACCTGCTAGGGGGGAAGGATGTAGGGTTGCCCTTTCCGAACAGCAAAGTTTTGTTAGCAAACAACAGGGTGAGCATTTTACATTGTATTGGGGGCAAATTTAGCACCCTTAAAAATTTGTCCAATGATGATCTTATAAAATAATTTATATTTTTTTTGCAATGTCTGTAATTGAACTTTAGGCTTTACGAGATAAAGTTGATGTACCATTGAAGATGCTTCTAAGAGGCAAGGTGCAAAAGTTAAAACTCTTTTTGAGATACAATTCTAACTAGGAGTTATCTAATTCTTCTCTTAATACGAACTCAAACAAAAGATACATTCTTTAAAATCATATAAAATAGCTATGTAGCCACTCTTCTTATATTTAAAATTACTTCTTAACACTTCTTATAAAAAATATCGAGATTCATGATGAAAACTTTATCAGCAAAAGGAGCTTGTAAGATACCTGAGGTGGAAAGTCGATGATCTCAAACTGTGCAGCAAAGTCGGGTAAGAGGCCTGCAGCTAGGCCAAATATTATAGCTCCTGAAGCACTTATACTGACAAGCAATGGCTTGTTTTCGACGATACTTTCCATGAACGGCCGCCCCTAAAAAGTAAGCATTGAATTCAGAAGCCATACAACACACGATAAGAGCTTCTTAGCTGTACCATATAACAATATCCAAAGCACAGTAAAGGTTGTACTTGAGGGTTTCAATGATATTCAACAATTGGCAAACGATAACTCCAGAATCAATACTAACCCTGTAATTAACTGCAAAAGTGGATATTTGAAGAGCAACTGAAATAATGTAGACGGTACTATTTAATAAAGAAGGCTCGAACTTCTTTTCCAAATCAACATCATCTCTAGAAGAAATAAGAATTAAAGACTTCAATGCAAATACATGCTCTCCTAAATGATATGAGAATATTTAAGATTTGCCAGTTTGTCTTTGCTATACCAGTCAAACTACCAAACAAGAAAAAGTCAAGTATTGGAAACAGATATCGCATAATTGCGGCTTTTTCGTTATGCATGCCATTTAAACTCACGCTGTTGAATGCTGTTAAAACATTATAACTTGGGGACATAGTACGCTTGCACCATTATGCGTTCATTTAATTAACCTGGCTGATATTTAGTTGGGTAGCCAGGAATGAATTTAGTGGGACACGCTCTTTACTTTTGCTTAGTAAGAGAGCACGAGTTATTGTTCGTAGAATGGCTACAGTTGATACAATTAGGATTAGAAAACGCAATGCAGCTTAATAGACAGCCATGGAGAATAAACGAAAGACCTTATCATCATATTGCCATATAATACATTAGGAGGGCATAACACGACAAAGAACTGGTTTGTAAAGTTATGACAGGCAAAAAAATTTGCTACTTCACTTACAATTTTGGCACTAATCTATATACTTCCTGGACTAGAAAAAACAATGCGGTGAAGTGGACTGCAAACTGACACAGCACAGTTCCAATTGTATAGATATTAAAGATGTTTGGCAATGGTCTCTCCTTTGATAGTATTGTGAGAGGCTGCGAAAGAAAGAGATTAGTTAGGATGTATTGAGGTAGACACAACGATTCCGATGCCTTATGAAAAAAGTATCAAATTTTATGAAATATGATACAAAATAAGGAAGTTTATGTTGAAATACCTTCGATCTTGAGATGAACAGAAAACAGCCAGCTAAAAGGATGCCTTGGAAAGTAGCTTGCCTAGAAGTACAAAAAGTATCGACTAATGGAAAATTTTCCAATGAAATGCAGGTTTTATCACAAGATCATAGCAGACGCTTAAAACACACAGACAGATTAAATTTGAGAGTTCTAAGGAAACAAAAAAATTATGGTAACATATTTCTAACGAGCTGGTGGGAACATGACAGACCAGTAAACAGTAATTTTCATTACACCTGGTACATATTTAATGTCAACGTTTGTATAAAACAAAAGCAATTGATTGCCCACTTACCCATCACTGAACTTGACACCGTCCAAATACAGGACACTTTGACAGTAAGCCAAAATGAGTGCATTCAACGCTAGGATCTTGAACATCTGTAGCGTTGTGACCAGAGTGCAACGGCCTTGCTTTATCACGTGGCATACTATGAAAAATGTGACAAATTTAACTGGAACTTGAATGCAACTCAGATGAAACGAAGATACTTAGACTACTCGAATAATTCATTTTACAGCCTACAAACTTCAAAGTAACTGAGCAAAACATATGAATAACAGAACCCCTCAGAAAAGGCAGCTGTGTGCTTGTAAATTCATAGGGAAAATGTGAGCGAGTCACACCACTAGGGCAGGAACCAAACCAGCGACCTTTTGCATCGTTTGCGGATAACATTCTAATATAATGTAACTACTTCGATAGCATAATAATATTAGGATAATAACACGGAATAGAAGATATAAACTTAACTCCTGCTTGATAACTTTTCTTTAGGTTCATAATTGCTGGGAAAATAAGCCTTCTGCTTCATATTGGCGAAAATTAGGGCATATCTCTACGTTGAGCTGTATTTTACGATTTTTTCTTCCTGAGAATATTTTTTGTCTCGACTGTTTGGGATGTAAATTTAAAAATATACTTACTGCATCTTATACTTGCAAATCTAGATGTAAATGGCGAAGCGATTGACGCATCTCCAAGTTTGACGATTTGGCCTTGCTCTTGTTCTTCTAACTCCTTCAGTAACTCTTTCAGTCGTTTCTAGAAACAAGGTTTAGGAAGAAATTTTTATTGGTCTAAGAGAGAAATTTTTATAGGTTTAAGAGAGAAAAATACTCAAAGGATCATACTAAGGTTTCCATGGGGCATATAGAAAGTGTCCTTATGGTAGATGCTGAGGCCTATCTGTACATTTCAGGTAGGGGTCAGGTTTGAAACAGTATCAAGGTCAAACTGTATCAAATTGTAAAATGTAACGAAACTAGCAATTATGAAAACTTGAAGCCAACGTCCTTGATTAAATGCTGCGATTACTGGTTACTAGATTAGGTTCAAAGAAAAACATCAAAATTTGCGAGTGAATACTCAACTTCTTGAAAATAAGGACTACTTGGATCGGCTACGGCATAAAGATTACTGTATTAATAGATATATCAATGTATCAATAGATTACTGTATCATAGATAAAAGGCATCTGGGACGTGCCAGCATCAAATGACTCTAAGCTAAAATGGCTATAGATGGCTTGCATCACTCTTTTGCATCACTCAATGTAGTATTGTAAACACAACAACATAATATCAACTCACTTGGTGATCATTAGCTGATTTTAAGGCCGGAGATTCAGTGTCTCCTCTTGTGACAGCTCTCATGCGTGCCGCTTTGGAGGTGCCTTTACCTGAAGGCATATTGCGTGACTTTTTAATTCCATCTTCATGTTCCGCAGCCTGTTTAAAAACAAGAGACAGATATTTTATTGCTGAATAATCAGCTAATCACGTGTTTCACTTAACAACATAGCCTCATGAAATTAACTCTATAGAGCAGCACATGACATCAAGACAACCAGCCCCTTTACGGTTGATTGTAAATGACAGCAGTTATCACGGCAAATTCATAATTCATTCATACCCCTTCTTTCTCTTTCTTTTGTTCTCTGTCTTTTCGTCGACTTTTCTCGTTTTCAGGAGGGTCGATCCACTTTTCTGGGGATCCAGGCAGTAGTGCCACTCCTGAGGGGGAAAAGAATCACGTGTTATAAGAAGAATATAACAGCAAAAAAGCATAAAAGATACCGGCCTACTATTTCCTCTAATTAAAATTCGCCATTTAATCAAAAATTTTATTAATATTTTAAGGGGTCTTACAATCCTTCCAGATTATTTATCCAAAAAACAGTGTGAAATAAGATTACTGCTACTTGAAGATGTTTAGAAATTTAAACAACTCCAAAAGTTCCTATCATTGGTTTGAAATGAAATAAAACCTAAAATGGTGGAGCTGCAAAGGCTTCCATTATCTGAAGGCAGCTTCTAACAAGGCTATAACTAGAGAAAAAATTGTTGAAAAGAAAGTTTGCCTATTACTAGGTTTCTGTACGGATGCCTTACTATGTTGCCCAACGTAACAGTTGGTAATAATAAAGTCACTTTCCTAAATATTTGATCTACTTTCAGTTCCGTCATGTGTCCGTTCCGTGTCCGTTTCAGTTCCGTAATCTGACTTGTCGAAACGAACCTACCAACCACTAAACAATCAATCAAATACTATTAAGAATCGCTACAACATATCAGGAAAAGTCACGTGACAGTACACAAAACTTTCGCGAAATCACAGATGGTTACTTACACCATCTGTGACGTAAGCCTTGGATGCGAGGGCTTAGTGTGAAAGAGAGGCGACGTACCGACATGAGAATGCTTGAGCGCCCCAACATCGTTTGTACCATCACCACACATAAGGACTATATACCCAAGACTCTTCATTTTTGTTACTATAAACTCCTTTTGCTTAGGGTCTACTCTTGCAAATACTCGAACGTGGATAAGGTACGTCTTCAACAGCTTTACATTATCGGCCGACTGAAGCATATAAGAAAGGCCCTGAAAAAAAAACTTTGGGTTTTGAGCCGATATGCAAAAAGCGAATAGACAATAGTTAGTTGATCCTAAAACAATTTATTTGGGTATATCATTAAATAAAAACAAATAGAACACAAAGTGGCAAAAACTTAGACCCCGTTTACACTGTGCCGGATAAATTTTATCCGCATCAAAATTAGTACAGATAGGGCTCCCGTTTACACTAGACCCACGCTATCCGCACGAATTTGAGAGCGGCTATCCGGACAAAATTAGTTCACCTAGGAAAGTGGATTAAATTAGTTCAGATAGCTATGTGGTACAGTGTAAACGGTTTTATCTGGATAAATTTTATCCACATCCGCTGCGAGGTTGATTTTGATTTACAGCGAGGCTCTTTCAATAAAGAGAAAGAAGGTGGTGCGAGGCGGCGCCAAATCTCATTTCTTGTAAACAGAATCGTTTTTTCACCAATCTGCACGTCGTCGTCGTTTTGACTTTACTTCGCGGGGACATGTACGAGAATAGGGAAAAGGTCATAAAAGCGCTGATTATTCTTTTATCTGGACTGGCTGCAGCGGCAATTTCCACTGTCATCGTGGTCTTTCTGGCCACGCATTCCCCATCACAGCCCCCCCCCCTGCGCTTTCTTGTAGCTCCTTTGTGCTACAGTTTATTCATTGACGCTTAATGCCTCTTCTTTCGCACAGAATTCGTTATATTTCATTATAATGTCCATAATTAAAGTATAATAAATTGTAAGCAAATGCGATTGTTGAAACGAACGAAACCAGCCGAGAAAACAACAACAAAGCGATGATTGAATTTTGGCGCTCTTTAACCAACTGCGAGTGCGCAGAGCCAACAATGTTGGCTGAGGTGGTCAGACGATCCAACATTTCACCTAAAACTTCAAAACAATAGAATTGTTGGATATCGGCAGCCAATATTTTGACCTCAGTCAAATTTCATCCAACAATAAAAATGACAGTGTTGGATGACCCAACATTATCATTATTATTATTATTATCTGTTTATTTAAAGTAGGCGTATGAAAATAGCTACAAAATAAAAGCTTATTCAAGCCTACTACAAAGCAAAATTGTTTAAAAATAAAAAAAAATAAAAATACATATATATCGAACATAAGAAATAATTAAGTATAAATACATATATACATATCTTACAATGTTTTTTCAGCATTTTTGGCATTTACAATACATTACAACATGGTGGTCAAACGATCCAACATTTCGCCCAACATCATGTGATGCATTCTCAAAACTGTTGCGCAATGTCTTACCTCTCCAGTCAAAGCCAAGTCGTAGTCTTTAAGAAACTTTTTAATGTTATCAGGAAAGAGTTTGAAGTGGATGCTCTTGTCCGTCGATTGCCAAATCCATCTCACTGGTGACTCGTCTGCATTGTCACACCGTGTTAATGCCAGAATGGGCTTTTCACTAAGATTCAACGATCTTGCAACATGGCAGGCTGTTAATACATTGTCACCAGTAATCATTACTACCTGATAAAAAAAACCAAATACTTTTAGAATAAAAACTTAAATAGTTCTTAGCAACTGTGTCAAATTCTAAAAGTTCTATTTACTGATTTATGACACATAAAATTAAATCAAACTGTACAAAAAGCTCTTCAACAAAATTATACGAAAACATTAATAATTGATCTAATGAAAAACATTGTTTCTATAAGTTGTCATAAAAATTATAGTTCGATTTTTCAGGCTTAAGCAAATAATTGCAGTAGAAACTTTTTAGGGGTCTGCATTTCGCTCCGGATTTTTCCTTTAACTTTTCCAAGAAAATGCTATAGTCTTTTGTTTTGAAAAGTTTGGGAATTTTTTCAGCAGACAAAATGAAGAACATTTTAGAATCGACCCATTCGTAAAGTAATTTAAAGGACTACATTTCTACAAATATCAAAAGTCTACATCAGAATGCAACGAACAGCTTTTTCATAATATAATTGATTAAATTCAGGGAAAATGAGTCGTGTATTAAATGGAATGACAGCACAACTGTTTTGCAGCTTTGAGTTACTTTATTTTATTTTGTGAAGTGATAAATTTACCAGTAAAATGCAATAGAACACAGTCTTACATATCTAAAAAACAAACATCTTTTGCACAAAGCAATTATGCTTACAGAGTTTATACATAGAGATACTAGCTTGTGTGCTGTACATTGTAATCGAATAAAACTTCCTGGTACAATTTTACTTGTTTTCCTAGTACAATTTTATGCAAATTCAAAGTTATATAAAGTTTATAACACGCCACATTAAACGTATTTCCAAGTTGATATGTTTAAATAACCATTTTGTGGTAAACCCTAAGATAAAAGGCTCGTAAAATAGCCACTACCCTATACCACTAATTCCCTATAAAACTCTAAAGGGATTTTACCTCAGTACACAACTTTATTATATCCTCAATTAAGGCAATAATGTTACAACTCACATGATGGGAAGAATGTTTTATTTCCTTGATTGTTTGGCTTGAATCAACCTTCAAAGGACAGGACAAAACAGCGAAGCCACCGAACATCAGACCACACTCGGCCTTTTCTCTTGTGACGTCACGAACCTGATGAGAAAAAGAAAAATGTCTTTCACATCAGCAAAACTTCAATGTTACTTAGCCAAATTGATAATATTGACTGGGAGGCCTTGGTTAGTCAGCGAAATTGCCACAGGCAGGGCACGCCAAGTTAAGGCTTATCAAACAATGATGCTGAGGATATCATATACCATCAAGCATTGTACAAAAATGGTCACCGAGCAGATTACAATAAGCATTTATATACAGATAACAAAACGTGCTCTATACAGTGATAATAAAATAGTTATCGCTGTTCCCTTAGCATTTTCCCACAAAAGTATCTAAGTACCCATGCATTACCTATATTCCTGAAATATAGTCTTTTTAGTATGAGATCTCCTTATAATGAGATAGAAGCTGATGTTAGGTGACTACAGAATAAAAAGCTGAACGCATTTGAAATCTTCGTAGATTAATGTTTAAGTTCTGGTACAATGTTCACTTCAAAATTGTTTCTTAATGGCTACTGACTCTTTATAAATTCATAGTTTTAAAAAAGGCCTTTACCTCTTGAGAAGATAGCTGGCCAATATCTTTGTAGCCAAGAGCAATGACTCGTCCACCTTCACAAGACAGCTTGCGATGAAGGTCATCATAGTTGCTAGGTACCTCTAGAAACTAAACAGAATTAAAAATAACAGCAAATTTGCATTATAAAAATTTGCAATTGTTGGAATATGCATCAGCAAATTAGATCAGTAAACTGGACTGCTATGCAAGCTTTTTTAAAAATAAATTAAAATATCAAAGTTTCGTAATATAATTATCATAGAACTAGAAATTAGTAAGTAAGAGATGTCATGTCAAATTTTGCAGGTCTACATGATACAGATAGCAAACTAAAGTTAAAGAAGTATGCTTTAAGGCCGATTTCCATTTGACATTTTTTGTGCGCGCGGGCGTAGCGCCAAAATCTGAGCATGCGCAGTTAAAGTCAAGTGGTCTCGATTTTGCGTCCGCTGTGAGTGCCAGAAATTTGAGACCCTATCAACTTTCTGGCGATCACTACGGACGCAAAATCGAGACCATTTGACGCGCTACGCCCGCGCGCACAAAAAATGTGAAAAAAATCGGCCTTCACAAAAGCAGACTGGAAATGCTTACTAACCATTCCTTTTAACGTTTCTGGGGCTCCTTTGCAAGCTACTAACACAGTTTGGTTGGACGATTCACTTGTCTGCATAGAAACTATCACAGACATTCGACGCAGGGCACTTGTAAAATGAAATCGATGCAGAATCTTCAAAGACTGTCTCTGGCCCTTTTTAGGAAGGCAAACGTCACCTAATAAGGCAAGATTAAGATACAGTAAAGGCTGCTGATAACGAAATGTACGAGGAGATAATTACAACAGCAAAATGTATGTTTTTTGCAAAGAGTCATGTTCGCAGAGATTCCTAGCAAAATTAGCAACAATATTAATATATATATATATAGATAATTGATGATTGTTTACACATGAAACTCAGAGTTGTGTCACAATAGTATGTTTGTTTTAGCTTATCTAATCACTCCGATAAGTTGAGCACTCTAGACAGCAATATGATAGTTACTATAATATATAAATATATATATACATAGATCTTCAAGAAAAACACTCTCATGTAAACGTTTCGACCGAAGTCTTCATCAGTAATTACTGATTACTGATCAAGACTTCGGTCGAAACGTTTACATGAGAGTGTTTTTCTTGAAGATCAATATTATTTTTATTACACTTATATATAAGTGTAATGCTTACTACAATTGTCAAAAATACAGATTACTACATAGGTAATTACAGTTTACAAGCAACGCGTCAAAAACAACAATAATGAGATTAATATAAGAATCAAAATCAATTTAGGCCATAGAATCAAAGATGAGATTTGATGTCAACAAAAACTTAATGACAGCTTTGATAAAAGATTTTATCTGCTTCCTTTCAATGAAAATCCGAGACCAAATTTTGTGGGTACAAAGATCAAACAATCTTTTTGTGGCACAGAATTTAAAAACGGCTTTGAAAATAGTAAACATTTAAGAACATACTTCAGCTTTTCGTCTGCCACTCTTTAAAGTATAAAATGTCAGAACATAGATCGAAAACTCTACGCCAGGAAATATACAGACTCAAAATACCTAATTTCCAGAAGCCTGTAGCATGCAATTTTGATAATAAATTTAGACTGGTTACCTTTCGTAAACGTCCAGTCAACGGAATTCAATAACGCTTTCTCCATTGGATCGCCAACTATAACATCATCAACGTATGTTAGAGAATGGCATGATGCTAGAATACGGACTGTTTCTATAGGAAGGCTCTCAACTGCTTGGATGTCATCTACCTCACTAGAAAGAATGAAAATGTTTTTTTTTAATTTTTTGGCACACCTACAGGACAATGACAATTTAAATTTTACGTACACAATAAAAAAGGATACACAGTATACAAAATTCCAACTGACAGAGGACTTTGTAGTGATTCATTTTTATACATAGGCCATTTTATACAATCCATCATTGCTTCTTCTGCATACCTACGTAATTCTATATTCATCATTTTAACCTAATCCATCACACCATTGTTAACCATCGAGCATATCCTTTCCTTTGTATAACTCTTAATTAAGTTTGCCAGTTTTCTATATCAATACGAACTCTTGTAAATTATAATCAGTCAGTAGAAATCACGTTACACAGCCCAAACAGTTTGCATCTCTCTGGCTCCGTGTCCTCTGCACTTTAAATAAGATCGCACTGGTTGAAACAGCACGTTTGTCGTTTAATGGAAAATTTAGTCAATCATCGATCGATGTTCCGATGAACACTAAAACTTGTTCCAAAGTTTGGCTTCTGATTTTCAAAAGAAGGAGAGCTTTCTCTCCCTCATTTAGTCTGTAAGGTATTCATTCTGTAAGATTAGCTTCAAATTTGTCGAAACATTACAGCGTCACTGTTCTTTCACTAATTAACATCACAAATCATAATATTTTTCTCTAATAAATAAGTATCTTGTGATCAAATAACATTGCCCTGCCTTGCTTGAGACAGGACACACAAAGTACAAACAACAAATTACTAAAGAGTAAATTGTGACTTGATAAGCTTATTCTAGATACCATGTTAAAAACGACACAGTACAAGAGAGTAAATAATCGTTTTTCACAAAAAGAACATACCCCACGCCAGCCACTCCTTCTACAACCAAGTTGTCACTTGTCAGAGTTCCGGTTTTATCAAAACAGCAAATGTCAATTTTGCCAGCAAAAGGAATTCGGAAGGGTTCAGTGCAAAAGACACCTGAAATAGGGATAGAAAGAGAAGGGAAATCGTTATTCCTTAGCAGATACTAGTGTAACCAATTTTATAGCCAAGCAATTTTAATAGGCTAGCTTTGTAAAATTTCATAGGCTAGTATTTTAATAACAACATGTATCAACATGTTATCCAGCAACGTTTCCACAATTTAGATCAATGAAATCTTATATAGGTGAATAGTAGTTTAATTTCTGTCATTAAAGGCACGTTGATTTCTTATCAGCACATGTCAACCAAGCCTTTTTTGAAAGGAATGAATTCAGCTAATTATTTAAAGTTTCAAGTTATTCCCTTATTAAAATAAGATATGAAATGAGACGAGATCGGCATTCAGTCTTCGAGATGATTTACATCCTCTATGGCTAGTTTCATTCTTTGGAGACTTAAATCAGTCAACAAAAATTCAAGAACAGGACATTATACCATTGGTGAAACAAAATAATAATTTGATAAAATCAAATTAGGCATTTAATACCAAAATCGTCAAGTAGCATTATCATCCATCATATATAAAAAATTTCAGGTCTGGCAAATTTTACACATTATAAAACTTAAAGATGAAGACAATAAAGCATATAAATTATGAACTGCAAAAATCAGTAAAATAGAGCTTAATAGACTGGAAAAATAGCTTTGCATTCGTTTTTTCTTTCCATGAAATGGGAAAAAAACTTTCACAGCCTCAATGTTGCCATAATTCTTAAAATAAACACATATATCATTCTGTTGCAATAGAAAAAAGCCTCAGCCTTTCACTGTTGATTCTAAGGCTCTTTACTACAAAAGCAACTTGATATAATTCGTTATATTTAGTCACTTATAGTTAGTACTTACCAAGTTTGTGAAGAGCAATCAGCGACGAGTTTACAGCTAGTGACAATTCGATCGGCAACTCAGGTGGAACAACCGATGTTAGAATCAAAGTACATTCCAGGAAAAGTTTATATCGATTTCTCTTTGGATTTTCAGTTCCTGCAAAAAAATGTTATTAGATTAATCATGATTGATTTGAAATACAATCCCTTTATTTAGGCTGATGGCTTGTATTTAAATTTTCTTCGAGGAACCAAAGACAGCAAAATGATACATAGCCATTAAATCTTTTAAATATACTAGATTGCGTGCGGTACAATATGATGCTATAATAAAAAATTTCAAAATAACTATAATAATAATTTTTTTAAATTTCACTTGATAACGGGCTATGCTCGAAACTTCGTTATTTATTTTAAAAAAAATTTTCCTGGTACAATTTACTTACATTGATCGTTATTAAATCTTTTATACTAACCTTTGATCCATACATACGAAGCTGCAGTGATGGCAAACACCAGAAGGAACATGATGAACATCAACGTTTCCAAGCTGTTCGCAGTTACACGCTTAACACCATACAGAATGGTTTTCAGCAATTTTCCCTGAAGAAAAGGAAAACTATGCTGACTTTTTGAGAGCACCAGAACAAAAAAACCATTTAAGGCAAAACATCATCTTTCAAAACGTTAGCACGATACAAATTTATTCTTTTTGACTATCATTTATGTAAATTCATTTGCATGAAAAGAAGTTATCGACATAGAGTGTTATTGTAAAGGGTGATTGACATAGGTTTCAAGTGACTAAATACCACAAATTTTAACAATATCATGGAAGAAATCCTTTCAATATCTCTGCATCTAAAGTAGAAAGCACATACCCCATTGAAAAAAAATTTACAGCCCACGGTAAACGACAAAAACTTTATGTACCCTGCTTCTAAAACCTATGAATATGGGGTTTTGTACCAATCAACTCTAGTTGCAATAATGCAGCTCTCCAGTCTTGGTATGAAGGGAAATCAGTACCTGAGACGTATTGAAACCAGTTTTGATGACGTATGCAACACAGCCATTGTCAGGAGCTTGGGAAAGAGCAAATATCAACGTTTAGCATTTAACAATTATTAAACAAACTTTAAAGGATGACATTTATAAAATGTAAGCAATAATGAAGTCACAATTTATATTAATCAAAAACCAATTTAGACTCATTCTCTAGTGGTATTCACTTTAAGATGATACTGCTGACAGAACATAGGTGAATATGAAAAACGCTGTTTACCTTTTAGGCCAGAAGCTGTCTTAGGAACTGGAGTGTTGTTGACAACCTTAGTACCTGACGAAAGGACATGCAGTTTACCATGTGTCTGCTCTTGGAAAAGTTCATCACCATTGCATTCTTCTATTGGCTCCTACAAAAGAAACACACAAAATAGAAAATTGCAAAGTTCTCTGCACATTTCAAATAGATAGTTTAATTTCTTTACGGATCTATAGTAACCAGATAACTCTATCATATAACTGGAACGAGCGTTTAGAAGCTTAGCTTTATCTTACATCTGATGATCCTCTGCATACATTTGTGGGACCTTCCCAGTGTATAGGGCCTTATTACGTACTGATGCTAGAAGATTATTTTTTCAATATAAATATTTTTGGCATAATTACGGCTGCTAAAAATGAAGGGGGCATGATAAGTGATATTATAAATGAAATAAAATTGTTACTAGGTAACTTTGAGATCAATATTTTTAGAGTTGAAATTCAGACTTTTTGATGACGTATCATTCTACAAAAAATAAATACGCAAGAGCGGTTGATTCTTCTAAAGTAAATGATACGGCAAACATGGTTAAAGGAAATTAAAAATTTGAATAAAATTTTGGCCTATGGCAAAGAGGAGAAAGGGACCCCAAAACATGTGCATTGGAAAATTAGAATAAATGGAAGCGACAGGAAAATAGCTTGGTAGTGGCGACCATTATGAGGATAGGGTTCAATAGTGGAAAATTTGTCTCAGTCGTCAGACATTTCGGTCTATGACGTAGAAGGAAAGTTCATTATCATTGCCTAACTACTAAAAGATATAATTCTGCCACTGATAGTGAAAACAGACAGAAGAGGATATTTGGAAAGACAACAAGAGGTGGAAGATACGCTAAATGGGTGGAGAATATTTGAATACGGAAAAAGAGAGGTATCATACATTGAAAAAGCAGTAATTGTAGGGCTAAGCCTATAGAAAGCACCCACCTTTAATTGTGGTACAGACTCGCCAGTTAGCATCGATTCGTCAACAATACAAGAACCTCTGAGCAAGATCATGTCACATGGAAGAACAAAATCTTGTTTGGGTCTCACTGAAATAGAAGACAACTGATTGTTGAAAGCAGATATTGTCATTGGAAATACCAAGTCAATGCAGTTGTTCAAGTTAACAATTTTCAAGGGTAGATTGCTCAAAACATTTATCCACTCACTCCGAATTAACAGAATCAATATCTTATACTAGGAGAAGGAAGAAGGAAGGAAAGATATTAAAAATGGAAAAAAAAATAAAACCAAACCAATTGAGCAGATATCTCCAGGTAGCAACTCCTCACTGCTAATTGGCCTCCATTTTCTATATCTATAAACCTGTCAATATTAAATTTGAAAAATATCAGTTAGAAAGTATCAAGTATTATCACTTCAGTCAAAAGAAAATTATGTTACTTTAAATAAGGATTGTTACTAGAATCAATTTGTGAAAGGAGAAGTTCCTTGAGTCTTTTAAACTAGCACTTGATACATATTTGCAGTAATTAACATTGGTGTTTATGCAAATTAAAGACATACAACAGACAAAAGTTCTTCATATTTTCCTATTATGATTTGTCAGCAGCCAATTGATCTAAGAAAAGTTATCAAAATAACATGCATAGAAAAATTGTTCAGCGATGTGAATTCAGCTCATAATTTCAGACAAGCAGATTGAATTATTGGAAAGATGGTAGATTTCAAATCAAGCATTAAGTTGCTGCAAAGATATGGCAATTTTACTTTCAATGTTAACTCTTGTTTGTTTCATAAAGTATGATCAAAACTGAATCACAGTCGTTTCTGTTCAGCAAAATGAATTGCTTTGGTACCTGAATCTGGAATGGTTTGCTGCTCATGTTCCTTATTTCCTTCATATTTCTTTGTTGCTGCAAATACATTATGCGCCACATTAAACATTTTAGGGCTACATTAAAAATAAAATAAATATATATAAATGCAATATTGTACCTTAATCTCTAAGATTTTCTTAGAGATTGAGCTGACATCATTAATTTCACTAAGACATAGAACCAATTTTTATCCTCACCAGAGCTTCTCTGATTTACCCCCTTTCTTGAGTATCATTCTAAAGCACATTTTGAGTTGTTTCCTTAAATACATGATTTCTCTCCAACTTTCCCTGACACCTTGCCCTAAAGCCCCTCAGAAGAAAACCCTCATTTTGTAGATGCTTGTGCTACCAACAACATTTGTATCAAAACAGCCTTGGGATCCCAACGGGCATTAACTTGTTTAAAATGGAATGACCTATAAAGCAGAGCCAGGTTGGGATGGCATATGCTAGCAAAAGCTAATGCTTGGGCAAAAGTTATGTACATGCCAAGCTACAAAAATCAATCTTTTTATATAAGACACTTTTATTGAAGAGTCTGCTGTTAAATAAAGGCTCTAGCATGCAATTGATCTATTTTTTATGTTCCATATCATTATAAATAATTTTAAAGCAAAATAGATCTTTTAAGATACAACAATGAGGTTGTGGTATCAATAATTTTAACGCAAAATAGATTTTTTTAGATACAACAATGAGGTTGTGGTATCAATAATTTTAACGCAAAAAAGATTTTTTTAGATACAACATTGAGGTTGCTGGTACCAATAATTTTACACAAAATAGATCTTTTTAGATACAACATTGAGGTTGTGGTATCAATAATTTTACACAAAATAGATTTTTTTAGATACAACATTGAGGTTGCTGGTATCAATAATTTCAACGCAAAATAGATTCTTTTAGATACAACATTGAGGTATAAATCAAACTACAGACCTGCTGTACAAAAGTGGCTTCAAAAACAACTAACACACAAAATAGATCTTTTTAGATACAACATTGAGGTATAAATCAAACTACAGACCTGCTGCACAAGAGTGGCTTCAAAAACAACTAACATGAAGAGGGTGAAGATACTATAGTACCAGTATTCATCCAAACACCAAAGTCCAACACAGAAAACTTGGAAGACAAAAAAAGGTGCAGTTGCCCTTTCTTTGAATAACTCCATAAAATCTGGAACAGTCATTTCAATCCTAAACGGTAAAAAATATTTCTCTGGTAGTTAGAAAGATTTACAACAGGTATATCAAAGAGGTTATTGATTGCAACAGATAATAAACTGCTTTAAGTAGCTTTTCAAAACACATAAATCTTAGCTTCAAAATATCTTCCTAGAAATAGACCTAGCATATTGGTGATGTTACTATAAAAATGTCAATACAGAAAACAAATTCAGACAGAAAGTCAAGTCCACAATAAAAGTGCATTAGTAAACTAGTGCTATGAAAACATCTAGACAAGGCCTGAAAAACAAAAAGATGTAGCTTGAGACTGTTCCCCAGCACAAACCCAAAGACTTACCTATTAAATCCATATTTACGGTTGGCAATCAATACATCATCTTCTTCAATATACCCTTTAGCTTCTTGATAAAACTTCAAAGAATGATCAACTGGAAAATCCACTTGTAAAAATTCTTTTTTCTCTTCCTTATCATAGGCATACTTCAATTTTTGAAATTCAAACCAAATAACTTTACCAAGAACATCCTAAAAATAAACATGCAATTAACTTTTGCTCTATGAAATAATGTTTAGTAAATGTTGTTGCTTAGTTGTATTTACTAATTTAAATGAATCTTAATAAGCTAAGCTGACTTGTTTCTCTAAGGTAAAGTGAAAAACCAAAGAGAAACTCTCACGTGTGTCTCTGTGAAACTTTGTAACCAACTAACTTCAAAAAATAGCTTTGTACAAACTAAAAAGTTGATAAAAGAGAATTATTGAATTTAATACAAAAGGAAGAGAAAAGAGGTAGATGAAAACAATAGGGCTAAAGAATTACTACGTAAGTTCAAAACAAAAGGTGTTCTCTGCTATTGTTTTGTGAGTTTGTTTGTTTTGCGAGTTTTGTGAGTTTACTACAAATGAATCAAACCTCAGGATTGGAGAAAATGTATTGAGAGAAAATGTGAGCAAGTGGCAGGACTCAAACCCAAATGAAAGGACAATCTTACACTTCAATAAAGTCACTGGGGTTTCCGAACTGGGCCTTAAAAAGGAGAGCATGTGAAGAAGCTAAAAATTTGGGTCTACAGTACTTTTAGCACATAATTTCTGTTTCTTATAGTTCTCATAATGTGGAAAGAGGCCCTTTATGACCCCTAAAGATGCGAGCTATTTGGGCAGGAGCAGTGGCCGCTGGCATACAAAAAAAGATGGTGCAGGGGCTGAGCAGGGGCAGAGCAGAAGCAGAGCAGAAGCAGAGCAGAAGCAGGGGCAGAGCAGGGGCAGAGCAGAAGCAGAGCAGAGGCAGAACAGAGCATGGTCCCTGGAAAATTTTTGTTTACTTAACTAATATGGCCAAACTGTTATTTGATTGCAGGTCAGAAGTTTTTGAACATACTTTTGACAGGGCTTTGGTATACCTTTGTTGTGTGTCATCATTTTATATAGCTGTTAAGGCTCCAGGGATTAAATGGTCACATAGTCTTATATCACCAATACTAGAAAGAGGAATCTAGTACTGTGACCAATTTTTAAATTGTTGAATTATGGAAAGGCAAACGGAAATGGGGACAGACTTCTGCAGTATTTGTCAAGAGAGTGATATACATAAAGGGCTTATTCAATAACAATTATTCCACAAGAGTTAAGTTCAGGAGGGCTGACGACAAGAAATTGACTGTGGTGTATTCTGCTCCTCTTTCTTCTGTTTGTCTTTGCCATTAATTCAATAATCTTCGATAAAAGCAAAATCATACACTGCAAAAATGTTTCAAGTTTTCAAATTAAATGGTACCAGATTGGTACCAGTAGTACCCTTACAAGCCTCCACTGGGCAGAAGCCCGGTAGACAAATTGGCTACTCTGTCAATGCTCTTCCAATGAAGCTATCTGGTCACAAAATTTTAACATTGAGTTGAAACCTATCTATGTGGAGACTAGTGAAAGAAAAAAGAGCACAAATCTTTACAATAAATGGACAATTTATAATATCATGGAAAAACATTATTTTAGATATTTTAAAAAAAATTTAAGTTAAGAAGTTGATGAATTTAAAATATTGCAATGTCTAGGATATCAATTAAATGTAAATGAACCAGAAAAATTTTCTTACATCATCACGGTACAAGCTGACCAGCTCTGGACTTCCATTGTTTGGAGTGGGCACAACTTTCACAGCATCAGCCTTTTCAATATCATTTTCCTGAAGTCAGAAATTCTAGTTAATTTGGAATATTTTGCAGTAACTTGGCTTTATAATGGTGGAAAGAAAAGAAAATGAATTGATTACCAATGGTATAAATTGGAGCAAAAAAAACAAAGGAAATTGTGAAAGCAGACAACAAGCTATAAAAATGAAAACATGTGTCATGCCTATATGAGACATAGACTCCTGGTACTTTCTCATATACGTGCCAGCTTCGCCATACAAACATTACATGTATGTAATACTGGAGAACAAATCCATTGTCGTCAAGATCTCAGATCAGGAAGGGCACTTAGGGCTCTATACGAATGTTTCCCTGTCTTAGAGCGCATAAATGATCGATTTTTCTAAAATCTCAGGCAAGCAAGTGATAAATTAGCAATTAATTTAAAAAAATTCAAACAGTGGCATTATTACACTGCAGGAATAAGTTTTTCGTTAAAAATATGCTTTGCAGTTTCTAGTCTACACAGTCAGTTCAATTAAAACTGAGAGAAATTCAAAAATAAATTCTTTAGAAACATTTTGAAATTCTTAAGAATAAAATATGATATGATGGATCACCTTAGAACACGTGAAAGCGCACCGCACATGGACTGACCAGTGGCATGACAAACATGCCAAAACTTGAAGAGCCCCTGTAATAGCTAAAGCGATGCATCCTAGCTCAAAATGCTCTAATGCTCCATAAACAAATATCCATAAATATAAAACAGCAATATAAAGAAAGATAAATGGGGTGACATAGCCATGGTATAACAACTGTCTTCGGCGATACAGTTGAATGTAGTCTATCTCTTTGTTGAGCGCCATCTTGGACTGGGTCATCTGTTGCATTCAATGTCATGTTATTCAAGGAGTTAGAATGGAAGGACGGAAGCCTTTGTTATTTGGGACGTCAGCTTTCAAAGGCAAACTCAGCCCATCTCCCTTCGAAGGAACAATTGGTTAACTAAATAAAAAGCAAATAATTTTTTCACAATTTTTAAAAACAAACAAAAGGACGAGTAAAGACATGAGGAAAAAGGGATAAAAAGCACTTTTCTTTCAATGCCTGTATCAGTTCCTATGTCGCCTTTGCTAAAGAGGTATTCGCTGAAAATTTATTTGGTTTGGATCTAATTTAAAGCATGGGAGAGAATTTAGAAGCAAACTTCGAGCATTCAAAAAAACAGCATTATTACTGTAAAGTTCTTGAGACTGATGACACATTAAGTTTTGGAATGCATAATTAGCATGGAATCGAGGCAACGTCAGCATTAGCTCAAGTTGTTGTCGTTGGATGTTGCTATGTTTATGAGAAGAGAGAAAACGTAATCAATGTGGTTTAATTTATGAACATGGAAGCCGGAATCATAGATGCAGAAGCTTTTGAGTCTGGCTCAGAGGTGACCAATGAAGGTGAGTAGATTTTGTTGGTGATAATAAAGAATTTGATCGCCCTTTACGGCTCAATCCACAAAGCATTCTTTTCAGTGGCTCAGATAAGTATAATGTTTTATGGAGGAGTCCATATTGAAAATTTGTGGAGACCAATATGTAAGGTAGAGATATACCCAACAAAATTTAATGACCTGTGCTCTAAATCCGTACAAGACTTAATTGCTGATTTTTGTACTGAAAGTTTCTTAAAGGTTTCGCTCCTCAAGCGATAAAGTGTTATACTTTTTACAATATGACAATCGACAAAATACATGGCAACAAATTATCTTCCAATGCAGACGAGCAGAACAAAGTTCTTTATACAACATTTTAAGGATTTGCAACAAATTTAACCTATAAGGTGCAAATGAGCACTAAATGGAAATGGCTGCCCACTCCCTCACTTCATCTTCAATTCATTAATTTTTCATATAAAATAACAAGCCTTTAGCACAGGGGTTGACACTTGCTTAAATATTGAGGGGAGGGGGCTAGCCTATTGTTTTGATAAGGTGATGTCACATTTCCCCATTGTTTCAGAACAAAAGACGATTATCCTTCAAAATATTGGGGAATATTGGGGGGGGGGTGACTGCCACCCCTTGCCCCCCAGGTGTCCGCAACTGCTTTAGCCTCACAAAGAGTTTTCATATCAAAATTAATCATATGATATCCTCTACTCACCAGCAATTGTTACATGTTTTGTCCCACTTTAGGTCATCAAAAAACAATAGAACTCAATGCAGGGTTGTGAACCTCAAAATGGCCCTTGCTAAATATCGAAGAAATTGGCATCAAGTCATTATTAAGAATCCACTTTTTCTTCCCTTAATAAGAATCATTTTTCTAGCAGTTTTTAAAGCTGGAAATGGTCAGTACTAATGTTTCTTATGAAAAAGACAAGTAGCATTGGTCTGAATCCTGAAAATAGAGAAGGCAACATCCCCTACACTTTGTAGCAACCAAAGCACCTTTCCTTCAGAGTCCTCACCTTGTTTTACTCTTTGATTCATGTACAGCATACAAGAGTGTCATTGTTTAATGACTTGAGAACAAAGCCAATTTCGTAAATTCTCCAAAATTACAATATGTCTTGTCAATTGCAATGTTTGCTGATCACCAAAACAAACTGTTATAATATGATCCAACTGAAGAATTCGCCCCTATATAGCCAGAATGTTTAATTAAAACACTGTGTAAGTTACAGAAACTTCAAAACCAAGATGCTAGAAGCATAACTGGTGGTAATTCTGATGTTCCTGAAATAAATGAATCAATGAAAGGGATCAGGGAGCTTATTAAACAGGGATTTTCAACTCATGTTCCACAAATCCCAACATAAACTTGCTTCTCAATACCTAAGCCTGATGATCAAAATCTCTGTAATGTTGCTCTTAAAGTCTTCTGCAAACAGACTTAAGGCTTCCAATTAAGAATTCAGCAAATGGCCTAAATCCTCTCCTTCTAGAGAGCAACCTCATATTTGGGTCAAGCAGATATCCACACAAATACCTCTGAACAATAATTTTTTTGTTTAAATTCTAGATATTTATTTTATCAAATTTTATATCTATGTGTACCTTTAAGCATATATTCATTATATTATTGATTTTGTTTGAAAAATGCATGTTTCAAATAAAGGGCCCCTTGAAAAACAGCTAGGGCTGTAGGACAAACATCAATAAAGAATTTAGATTGATTGAAATGGATCCAATTTAAGAAAATTTAGCATATGTAAACAAAATTAAATAGATTCATAAGATAATTAAACAAGAATGAGTGCACCTACCCTCAGGTCTTGGTTTAATGCCCCCCCCCCCAGTTCGTTAATCTTTAAAAAACATTCACCCATGGCATCCTTATTCAAGAACCCCTGTGTATTATTTTTAAGCATTGTGTATTCAAAAAGGTTTATCATAGCATAAGTAAGCATAGATTAAAGAGAAAGAGTTAAAACATTTTGTGAAATTTAAATTTTTTTTTAATTTTCATCTTTCAAAGCCACTCGTTCTTCAAGAAACCAGCATCTTATTTTATATTCATTTTCTATCCCGTTTTAAGGCACTTGTAGCCATTCACCCTGTTAATTATTGTTTTGGAACTTTTCCACCCACCCTGTTTATTCCAGACCCCCTTTTTGGATTGAGGAAATTTTCAACCCACCCCATTTTATCTGGACTCAAGAATACTGATTAAAGAAACTTAATGACTACAACTGCAATAAAATGTTGGACAAACATGGTTTATTGAAGATAAGTAGCAATGTAATTGTTATTCATCTGTTGTTTTTGAACTGAACCAATGTTTCTTTTATCTTGTAGATATCCCTAAAGCTTTGAACATAGCCTTACCTAGCAGTACAGGTATCAACGATGGAAATACTGAGGACCTACAAGAAGATGACAACAAATCAAAGAAGAGATCAAAATGGCCACTACTTTGTTGGTTTGACGGACTGGATCTTCACAAGGATAAGCAAGAAGTGGAAGAAACTGAAGATCTAAGTGACGATGAAAACATTTTTGGTGTATTGCCCGAAATTCGTTTGTCTCAAGCAAGAGTTAATGCGATGAAGTTGTCTCGATATGGTAGCAGCAGCGAAGCAGTTGATGAGAAGATTAAAGCTATTGCCCTTGTAAGGATAATATATGGTGACTGCAGTGTGCAGCTGTCCCGCGCTTATGCTGAGCTAGCCGAGGGTTATCTTAAGCTACGAAAGTTACCACTTCAAGCAAAAAAACATGCAGAAAATGCGCGGGATATATTACTAGAGATTGAAACATTGAGAAATGACGAAAACAGCGGTTCTGAAAACCGTGCCGAAACAGCAGCAGTTTTGGAACTGATTTACTTTGTTTTGGGAAAAGCCAGCAAAATGCTGAAACATTACAAAAAATCAGACAACTTCCTCCAAAAATGTTACTTAGTTCAGACGAAAAAGGCAGATGAATGTGGAACAACCATTGTAGATACATATAAAATGATCGAGACGCTAACGTTACTAGGTGAAGTGTCAAGATTACGTAAACAGAACGGGTTTGCCATGGAATGGTTTGAAAAAGCAATTGAACTTGTGGAAACGAAGCTTGGGGGCGAATCAGGGGAACTTATTGCATTGCACGATCAAATCGGAAAGACTGAATTACAGCTGGGTAAACATGCAAATTTTGAACGGGTTTACGAGAGTTACGAAAAGGCTAGAAGCATCGCAAGTTCGGTGTATGGGAAAACGTCAGTGGAATATGCTAACTCGTGTGCGTCCCTCGCCAAGGCGTACCTTTTAGAAGGTGACAGGACGCATTCTTCTTCGATAGAAACCGCGTTGGAGGAGGCTATCACTGTTTACACTTCGATGATTGGCCAAAATCACAAGAAGACGATTGACGCGGAAGAAAGTCTCTGTAGGCTTTATTTGCAGGAGAGAAAATTCAAAGAAGCTGAAGTTAAGATCAGTAATATAATCAATGGGAAGATGGAAAAGTATGGCGAAATCAGTGAGCAAGTTGCTGATTCATTGAAAATGCTTGGCGGCTTGTATTTAGCTCAGAATAAGTTTAAATTAGCCATGGGAAAACTTTTGAAATGCCAAGAAATATACAGAGTTGTTTTAGGTCCACAAAACAAGAAAACAAACAATATCGCAAAGGTTATCGAGTCGGTAAAGAAAACCCCAGCTTCGAGCGAATTGAATTTACCAGAAGCCAAGCTAAAGGATAGGCCACGATTTAATAACTCTGTTTCTGGGCCTAAGACGTCCGCTTTCACGAAAACAGTCTCGTACTGAAATAAAGCACAGAGTTCTTTGGATATCTGTCAGATTCAACGAGGGTGTCTCTAGTTTTGCCAGGAGTTGCAATTTCGAGAAAAAAGATTGGCTCAATAACCTTCATTTGATGACAAATTAAACAGTACTAAACAAAAATCTACTACGTTAAGTTCTATTTGACAAAACATTTAACGTTTATTCACGAAATATTTCCACATTGAACATGGGTGGAATGGAACAGCTTTATTTTATCTTTGGATTGCTTCTTCGGACACCAGATCCATAGGATATTCATACAGAGCTTAACTGTCATGAAACTTTGGACATTGTATTTATATATAAATCTATTGTATCATGAAATCAAAGATAGGTCGATGCCTTTCATTTCATGTTCAGTCAAGAAATCGCTTTCTATCATAGCAATCTAAATACACGGCTTTAACAGTAAGATATATCGATTACGTGTAACCTTTGTTGTTTTGAAATCGGTTTAATGTTTCCCTTTACCTTAGAAGCAATTTTATTTCCAGTGAACCACGCAAAAATACAAATAAACCTCTTACACTTTGACGGGTAAATCATAGCTAAATAATTCAAAGGCATTTAGGTTACCGAAAAATTCTATTTTCGATGGGTGGGGATCTAGAAATACATTGTCGAATGTGCTTCGTAAAAGATCTAAACATCTCGTAAAAGAACTGAGCAATCTTACCTAAATGCCAATTAAATACTACTTCAATGTTAACATGTCCTACCTTTAAACATTTCCTCTAATTGGGTACGATGCATTTACAAACCACATTAGCCATGTAAAGCTATAGGAAACCAACCAAAATTCTATTGGTAATCGAGTCAATATTTCCTTTTTACGTTAATTTGCAAAATTGTTTATCCCAAAACAAGTCGAGTTGTTTATCTTATTCTTATAAACAAGAAGAATTGAAACACTGGACATTAGATTTAAATGTAAAACGAATTTAAAGTGTCCTCTTTGATTCAATATCGTTTAGAACGAGAATTGTTTCTGTCAGAAGATTCTCTAGAATTCCTTCAGTCAATTGATCTTTGACGCAAACTTCATCCTCGTCATAGTTAACCCACTGAGGCTCTTCCTCTCGAAGTTCTTCAACCAAAATCGCATCAATATAGTCTTTTTTGGCAGTATTCAGTGGTAGTCTCTTCTTCAAAACATCCAGGCTAGGCCTGCCATTTTTCAAACCTAGACAAACACAAACATGGTTCTCTAATGTTTCGACAAGTTCTTCACCAACGAGATGATGCACCTGTCGGATAAATTTTGGGAAAACACGCCGGTTTGGTTTTGAAAAAGGTTCTTTTGTTGCTTTTTGAAACTCCTTGAATTCATGAACTTCTTTAAGTAAATCTTTTGTCACATCAAAAATCATTCTTTTGAAGAGTTTTTTACTGGTAGTTTCTAGCTCACTTTCTAAAGTTTCGATATCATTTCGAAGGTATTGTTCATCTGGCGAAATTTCGTCATAATCCTGGCCTACTGCAAGATTTGAATCAACAATGTTTGCTGAATCGCTAACGAGCTGTCGTATGTCAGGCACTTTGTTTGGAACATAAATTATTGGTTCGCCAAAGTCAAAAACGCGAACCGGTGGCATTAAACCCGGTTCATCGCTATCAAGGCTTGGAATACTTCTACTTCCAATTGGTGCAAATGGTTCGTCATCATCAGAATCATCATCGCCTAACAAGTCATCAATCTCTTGGTCCATCCTTTTCAATTCACTAAGCTTTGCCGCCAGTAAGTCAGTATCGATAGCCGATGTTGGTTTATTCAAGTCGAATTCATTTGGGGATTGCGATTCAGGGGGTGAGGTGGACAGCATTGGCAAATCTCCTAACATGCTTCCTGGCATTTTAGGCAGTTCCTTGGCTGCCTTAGGGATAGGCTTGACATCATCTGCCCTTTCCAGCCTCACATCACCATCAGCACTGTGCTGGAGTTCTTTACTTTGGTCTTCAAGAAGGAGCTTTGCTTTCTTCTGCTTAAAAATCTGCGCCATTTGCGCGATTGCTTCATATAGTAATGTTTGTGACACATTACTGACTTCTTTGTCTGTTGCTACACTTGCTTCTGCAGTCAAAACAAAAGTAGAGCCTTCATCCTTAGGTACAGAAGACTTTTCCAATGAGTGTGCATCTCTTGGCAAGTTTGGCCTAGCAATCCCAACATCGTTATCAAGCAGCTTATCACCTCGAGCAGGGGATACAAACACTTCACTAACCTCCATATCATTTGCATCAAATCCTTCGTCGGGAGCATGACCTATCATGCGTTTGATTGTATCATCCGATTTCTCGGAAATACTGGAAGGAAGTTCTTCTGAAATATCGTCTGGTGATTTCTTATCTTTGACTTCCTCTCCACTATCCTTAGATTTTACTTCGGCGCTGAGTTGGTGGCCTTTTTTCTCACTTAATTGTGAATAACTTTCCAGATCTTGTGGATCTTGGTTTAGCAATGGAGACGCTACCGCTAATGATTCTGCCAATAGTTTTTTGAGAAGCCCTTCAGTTAAACTTTCTGCAAGTTGATTCAGATCTACCCTAGGTGGAAGGGGTACAGCCTCGGCATCAGATGATTCGATTTCAGATAAGGTTAAAGGGCTAGATGGACGGACTTCATCTCTGAGACTGCCATCTTCCTTAAAGCTGTCCCTAAACGGTTTCAATTCATCTTTTACAATTTGAGACTCTTCATCATCTTCATTGACAATTGAAAATCTCTCAGATATACTGTCATTTTGCGTTTCTTTCTCAGGCGACCTTTCACCAACCTTTGACCTTCCACTTGGCATCGAGCCTTCAACGCTTTTTGATGGACTCTTATCCTTCAAGTCTTTGATTGCTCTGTCTTCCTTAGCTTCTGTTTCGTCAAAGTCATCACCATATGAGACCTCTTTATCTGTTGATATCTTCCCTTCATCTTCAAAATCCTCCTTGTATGAAAATTCTTTTTGTTCACCTCTAAGGGAACGAGAATTCATAGATAAAGCTCTTGAAGACCTCTGACTCTTTCCCTCTGACCTCTGACTTATTCTATCTGACCTTTGACTTCTTTCCTCTGACCTCTGACTCATCTCCTCGTCAATGTCCGTTCTAATAGATTCCTTAATAGATTCACTTAAACTGCTGTCAGTCTGATCACTTTTCTCCGTCAATCGTTTTGCTGCAGATCTTTCACTTTCTGCAGATCTCCCTGCAGATCTTCCTGCAGATCTTTCATCAGACTTGCTTTCAAGATGGGATATGTTTGCCACAGGACTAAAAAGACCACAATCACTCGAACAAGTGAAGTAGCGTTTTCCACGGAATGCACCATCTGAATTACCCACTGCTTCATCAAGCTCTACCCCAGCAACAACAACTGGTGAAAACGATACCCTACCAATATAACGAATTGTCCCTTTTAGCATTCCATCAATAAGAACTCTGTCGTTGACACGGAATCCCTCGAATCTAGATAAGGCTTGTGAGGAATATTCTTTGAGACTGCTTTGGGAAACATCTGATGATATAGTGGCTGTACGCATCGATTTTTCTTCATCTTCAACTTCAGGGCGAGCAAGGTCACTAATCGAGTCTGAGCTGGCCTCGACTCCAGGAACATCTTTGTCTCGCGTTTCACTAGCCAGACTTTTGGCTGTTTTTGCAGAACTGACCGAGCTTGAGGTCTCAAAAAAGTCATCTTTATATATATCAATAGAGCGATCAGATTTCTCACTTTTCTTTTGTGAAGGTAAGCGTTCTGAATGGCTGTGGGACTTCCTCGACTTCTCCTCCTCTTGCAGACTCTTCTCAGAAAAGATACTCTCTGATATGGATCGGAGACTGTCTGACTGGTCGGCCAGGGACTGTTCCTCTACGAAAGAGTCTTCCGGGATATCTGCTTTTGGAGAGTCTTTGGCAACAGATAGCTTTTCACTGACAGTTCTTACTAAGGAATGATTCTCTCTGCTTGCTATTGATGACTCCTTACTAGAGATCAGATCACGAGATGATGAATAAGACACATTACTTCTATAGCTTTGGGATTTGCTAGTAACAGATTTATCTGTCTCAACTGACAAAGTTTTCTCTTCTTCATCACTAGTAGCATTCTCCTCACTTCTACTCTTTGCTTTTGCCTCCTCCACATCATCAATATCACTGGACTTTTCGCTCAGCCTCCTTAATGCATCTACCTCTTCTGACAAACTTCGAGCCTTTTTATCCGGACTGCTTTCCTTACTTGTCTTCTCCTTCACTTGCTCAATAACTCGACTGGCAATTTTCTGGGCAAGGTCTGGCTCTTTTCTGGTTTGCAACTCGTCACTTTTCAAGCTTTTTGTACCCTTGTCTTTCACTGGCTTTTTGCCAGCTTGCTCGTGCTGACTAACGGGCTGTAAAATCTTTGGTGACATGATCTTCGGTGACACAGGGCCTTTTATAAACGAGTTTGATTCGCTGAGAGAACGCTCGCCATGCAAGTTTTCTTTATTTTCTTGCTGAATCATCGATTCAACAGCCTAAAACGAATTGACAAAATGATTACTGTCAAAAACAACACAAAATAATTCTCTAAAAGAGAGAAAGAAATAATCCTTAAAACGAATCAATGAATTTACACCGACTTTTGGCTGTAAATGAGTTCAATTTTATCAAATTTTAAAATCAATTATAAAAACAAAATTTCCTAAGGCCTGCTATGAGCAGGAACGTTTTCTTTCAATTAATCTATTCCTTTGGCTTCTAATTCACAACCGAAAGCCCTGGTTGACAAACAAGAAGCTATTGAATCAAATTCAAATAACGAAATTAAAAATTATTTCAAAATACTATCACAACTAAATAATGGAAACCTTTTCTTCATAATACTGCACGACTTATAAATTTGTTTCATTTCAAGTCAGTTTGTTTCTACAGATGTAAACATTAAGTCTATTTGTCGTTACTATAACAGCGATTAAAATAACAGCGATATAAAGTGGAGGAGCGCAAGATTTTAATATCGCACTGTTCAAAAAATTCCAGACTAATTAAACAGTGATACAAAAATTTTGATAGATAGAACCTACTAAATTTGAAAACATTTTTTCTTTATACTATCTACATTTTTACATTAATTTAGTCTAAACTTGATTTGACAGAAACCATATCCTTAACTTTGACAACCACGAAATACCAACAAAGAATTGCGTTGAATGCCGGTTCAAAGAATCGGGATATTAACACAGAAAATTAATAACAAATCGAATTCAAGCCTTTATCATCAATTCAAGAGAACTCCCGGGCTGGTGTATGTGGAGTTCCCATTGCACCTATTGTGACTACCAGCACACCTAGGTGGCCTAAATTGTAAAAACATACAAACAGTCTGAGATCTAAATAAAATCGGGCAGATTTAATACTTTCGCCTACCGAGATACTGTGAAAAACGATATTTAAGCTAAAGGGGTGTCTGAAAACGTTCCGAAAACCGTCTGGAAATCAAGGAAGTTTTTCAAAGGCAACGCACGTTTCAATGCCACGCCCAGAAAATCAAACATGCTATTTGTTTATACCGGTCTTACATTGGGAATACTCATGGTTTAAGCTTATTACCTCATAAGGATTTGCTATTAAGTATATAAGTTACATACGATTAAATGAATTTTCATAAAAACGACAGTGAACTTTTCTTCAAAATTATATTTTCAAGATCTAAATATCAAGATCTTTTGGGGAACGTTTAGATCATATCCTCGGTCATTTGCAAGGGACAGATTCGATGTAAAGCCGAAACTCTATTATCACAAAAAAGTACAAATTTTCTAGAATGCAATACAGAATGCATGCATGTTAGATAAAGAAACAATAGGCCACCTCTTTAGGTACAGTTCAGGTTTAAAACACACAAAAGGTCATTAAACATTTCAATCCTGCCTGAACTTCAACATGAGGTTTATGGATCAATTAAGTAAAAAAAAAAATGACAGCATATCTGAGAGAATTTATTGTAAAGATCAGTTAACTGCGATTATAGACTTTTTAAAATAAACTTTAGCATACACATAGCAATTATTCACACATGTTGGTGCACATCTGGTGCCTAGTACATAAATTTTAACATTACCAGTGATATAAGAGTAAGCCGGATGCTAGCGTGGGAAAACACCAAGATTAGAAGAACATAATGTAGAAGCAACAGCTTGAGCTAAGAGTCTGGGAAAGCGAATCTAATGGCAAATCTGACTGCAAGAAATGACAATACAGTTGCGATAGTGTTTATCTGTGGTATTTAGATTCTAGGATGATGTATCTTCACCAAATACAATGAAAAACTGCATAGAAGATCTCCAAAAAAGAGAAACTTCCCTTCAATTAAGGTCTCGCAATTCTATCCCCACATTTAGAAGCCAATTGGTCTTTCTTTATACTCTGTTTCAAACCCTTCTCAGAAGGTTTGACAATACACACGACAGCTACCCCTTCTAGTAGCCCTTGATTAGAACCTGTCAATTGCATCTAACTAGGTAGACACTTACTTATTTAAGCGAGCCGAGTAATTTGAAAAGCAAAAAATGAGACCGAAAAAAAAGATTCAGTGTACATCATTTGGCTACTATACTTGAACTGCTTTGAGCTTGGCCTTTTGAATACAGCATAAAATTTGGTTACAAGGCTAGTCACGAAGCAATGCTCTAATGGGACTATCTAGCAAGTGAGGTTGGAGCAGTCTTTTAAAATTTTTTTAATGCTGCCCTTTAGATGGTCACTGCCTAAGACCCAAACTATTTAGATTTTTCCTTTAACAACAGTCATAACACTAACAAATAAAAAATTCACTGTGTAAAGGTCAAAAACTATACTCAAGTTTTTTCATGTCTTACGTTTGACAGGGGTGTGAGAAGTAATAGAACATAATGGGGGAATCACAAGACAAGGGTAACAGGGTTGCCCTCATGACATAATTAGATAGCACATAAAGCTTTGCCGTATTTTAAGAGATGGGCGAGTTGTCTTAAAGGGAGAAGGCAAACAGAAATTTTGATAATAATATATTCACTACTGACTAAGGTACTTCCCTAAAATTGTTAAGATCAGTTGAAGATGTTTATGTATTTTTCAAGACTCTTGCGCAACCGGCATGCTTTGCAGCAATTTTTTTCAAAACTGGCCTAATATTGTAAAAAATGAAAATACCCAATACAAATCAATTCTCTTCAAAACAGCTACTGCAAAGCATGTTGGTTGCGCAAGAGCCTTTAACTACGAAATACAAAATCAATGTAAAGCCTTCATGAACTCACCTGTAGCTCCTGTTGTAACTTTTGTTCCTGCTTGCGCAACTGGTCTTTCTCTCTTTTTCTTCTGATACGATCCAGATCTCGACGCCTCTTCAAAAGCTCGTCTTCTAGCTGACCGATTCTTTTTTCGATATCACTAGCATCCGACGTTGCATCTGCAAATAAGCGAATGCATATTTATGATAAAGATAGTAGGGTACTCGATTTATTTTTAAAAAGGCACGGAGAAAGGAAAGAGTGATGTCGTTTCAAAAAATTATTCTTAGGTGCATTTTCGAGGAAATCTGTAAACCGGAAAAACGACTAGATTACAACCCAGTCCAAGCAGGTACGTAAAGGAGTTAGTGATCAACTATACATAAAACGTGAAAGCAGAGGTATTTAGGACTAAAAACTATACTTGCAGTAACATGCAATGCTTGATTTTATAGAAAATAAAAGAGCTTCATTCAACTTTGGAACTGCATTCAAAAGATAACGACCTTTGCACTTTTTGCGGGTAGACTTTTGCAATTACGTAATATTAGGAGGCTGTTTAAACTTCGCTGTTTGCTTTGCTCTATTTTCGAAAATTTTCGATGAAAACAAAACAAGAGGTTTTAGGCAGCAATGCAATGTAATTTCGCAAAGAAGAATTTTCCGATAAATATTTCAACAATATTCATGGATGCAGATGATGGCAACTGCTAAGAAGTATGTGGAAGGAGCAACGTTTATCGATAAGAAGTTAAGGTTGAAGTGAGAGGGCCTTGGAAGGAACAACGTTTATCGATAAGAAGTTAAGGTTGAAGTGAGGGGGCCTTGGAAGGAGCAATGTTTATCGATAAGAAGTTAAGATTGAAGTGAGGGGGCCTGGGAAGGAGCAATGTTTATCGATACGAAGTTAAGGTGGAAGTGAGGGGCCTTGGAAGGAACAACGTTTATCGATAAGAAGTTATGGTGGAAGTGAGAGGGCCTTGGAAGGAACAACGTTTATCAATAAGAAGTTAAGGTGGAAGTTAGGGGGCCTTGGAAGAAACAACGTTTATCGATAAGAAGTTAAGGTGGAAGTGAGGGGCCTTGGAAGGAACAACGTTTATCGATAAGAAGTTAAGGTTGAAGTGAGGGGGCCTGAGAAAGAACAACGTTTATCGATTAGAAGTTATGAGGAAGTGAGGGGGCCTTGATTAGCCAATAATAAGCGGAGCACCCCCAAACCCCTATATCTATATCTACTGCTCAACAACCAGGAAATGAATCACAATTGTAAACATGATAATCTATGATTATTCCAGTGTGTAGAAAGTGCACATGTAAAGAGAGGGCGCGTGTAGAGAGCGGAGAGATGAAGAGAAAGGAGCGTGTCGAGGAAGGGGGGCATATACGAGAGAGGGACGTATTGAGTGAGAAGACTTGTCGAAGGAAGGAATGTGAAGAGGGGGAGGGCGTTAAAAGAGAAAGACAGATACATGTAGAGGGATAGAAAATAGGAGGGGGCATTTCTCCTCTTTTACTACATCTGAAAGAGACAGTAATTAACTATTTCGTTAGTTCCCCTTCCAATAATCCCATGTACTAAGACTAAGACGTCTTTTCAGGCCAGAAAAAGTTTCTATATCGTCAATCGTTAAAAAATAATATTTTTGAGTGGAAATACCAAGGCTTTGAGCCCCCATGAAAACTCATTTTGGCAAGGAGAGCCCTGCGTTTAGGGACTATTTGCTCACACCATTGTGGAATAATCGCAAAAGATACCCTTTAAAACAAAATAGTAAACTTTTATCGCTGCCTATCAACAATATTAAGAAACATGCCTCCCTTATGATATTCAATATCTTTAGCTCAGCAATGACAATAATTACAGGTTGATTCACTGTCGATATATTGTCGCTTTTCTCAAAAATAGCTTTCATCACTTGAAAATTTACCTCACACGAAAAACACGTCGGAAATCAGCGTGTCTCCATACACCGGCTTTATACATTGACGTCATCGTTATAAAAAGGGGATGACGCAACACATTACTGCCTGATATAAAAAAACACGTTAAGTGCAACAGGAACATATACTAGAACCACATCAAAAACTGGGCTGATAAGGTAATTTGTTATGAGGGCTGCGATATGGCTTTTATAGGGGAGCTAGATTGGCCGATAACACAACAGTGGGCGTAAAGTAAAAAAAGCCAGTCTATAAATAACGCCGCTTTTGCAGGTACTTTAAAGAAACCTGGCATTTAAACCGTTGATACTGGAAATAGAAGAGTGGCTGAACACTTTCGAAAAACAAGGGACGATTTCGGATCAGAATATGACATCAAGAACTTAGGAGATAAATATTCAAAAATTGCTATTGCAGTGAAGAAATTTATTTTTCATGTTGTAGCAACACACAGATGTTAGTTAACAGATAATATTGTATTCTTAGCCGTTCTGTTAATAAAACGTTTAAATTAAAGTTTCCAATGACGTTGATTGCAAAATCTTCCCCCCCTACCCCGCTACATAAAGTAGGGTGAAATATTCAATATCACTTTATAATCGAATTTCACTTTATAATCTCTATTCGGGCAATGGGCTAGCATAAATCAAGCAACAGGTCGAAAAATGCTTTTAAAACAACTTGAATGGTACAGATTTTGCAGCAACGACCCGGAACATCGATCATGCGATTTAAAGTTGTTTAGGTTTAAAGTCGATTGCGGTCAGGCAAGCTCCAGTGAAGATTTTTGGGTCATAGCCCATTGAGTCAAAAAATTGAAAATGTGAGAAAAACGTTAATCAATTTAAATCAAAGAAGCGTTATTTTTTAGAATGCTTAAATTCTTTTAAAGAAGGACTATGTCTCAACTGGCTTTACAAAAAAACGCCAACAGATTCAATTAAACTTTGGTGTGATTGATCACAAATAGGAAGCCTCACAGCACAGGCGAATCTGGCAGTCGTGAAATTTTTTCAGGATTAACAAACAAAACTAAAGATCAACAACAAAAGGTCGGTGTCGTGTGTGACATTTTTTGGAAAAATACTCAATCAATTATGAGGTGTGAATATCAAATATTTTATGATAACTGCGAGACTAAAAATTTTTATTACAAGAGGTCAAAGAGACCCTAGATTCTTCTATCCATTGCCAAAAATCAGCCACGGAAAATGCATTCCCCAAAAGCTAACTGTTTGGGTTATCATTCATTAAAACTTCACTCTGAACGGGTTTAAACGGAAACCTGAAACTTTCAAATAGCTATTCACTTTTGAGCCAGGCTATTCACTGTCATAAAAACGTCGTGAAATCTGGTAAAGTCTAAAAAAACTCACCATCCTTTAAACTTTGCAGCATGGTAAAAACACACGACATGAACATCCCCATTTCCTTACACGCCGCTAGACACAGAATCGTTTAAATTAATTTAGCTCACACAGACAGATACTCTCAACTCAAAATCAGCTGATTTTGAAATAAAATTTTGAAGAATTTCTGTCATGTGGACAACAATACGGCTTGCGGGGAATCTCCTTTCGCGTTAGTTCTGCATGATTGACCTGACGGCCAACCAGACATCTCCTTCGCTGCGGCATTCCGGGAACATTTTCGGGAGCACAAATAAGACCCGGTCATGCTAACAGGGGGCTAATCTTCATTTATCCGTGAAACTGTGTCCTAAAATTATTCTGGATGGGTTCACGCGGGATTACAATTTACTGGCTCACAAAGAAAAGGTGAGGATTCCCGCTACTCCCTATAAGAATCATAAAATTCTGCAATTTAGAAGTTGATTACAGGAAATAAAAACAGCGCTGGAGGAATTCTTTTATCGTTAGATGGTTGAAATTTTTGTCGATGTAATTATTATTAGTTGGGGAGAAGTGCATTCACCAATAAAAATTATTTTTAGAAAAACATGGCGCGAAACAACGGGGATAGTAACGATCGACCGTTTGAAGCCCGGGCACGGGTCTCTCTTATTTGGAATGTGGAACTATCAACGAGGCACCGAGTCCAATTTGAGGGATTTAAAACAGAATAAAGCTAGGTTAGAACTTGAATATTTAATTTTCCCACATTAAAACTTTGATCGAAGTCAAAAATGGCATAGGATAATTATTTAAAACCTTTATGGACCTATTGTTGGCCCCTTGCTTCCTTTTTGTGGTCCAGTAGGTGTGTACCGTAAGCCCTTGAATAAGCCCCACCTTCAATAAAGCCCCTACCCCAGCATTAATTGAAGGACTTGTGGTATTGCAAAATGACATCACATTATATAAATGGCAACTCCCGCGGAAGTCTCGATTTGAATCAATCCGCCTTCACAGCTTGTGATGCTTAGAATAACATATCAAATTCCAGGTCAACTGGTGTGATGATGAGACTGACTTTCACGATAAATAAAAAGAACAAAGTATTCAAGGTGAATCGAATTAATAGCAAGTCAATCATTTTCAGCTTTCTAAGATGGAAATTCGCGGGTTGCACAGAATCATACCGCTTTTACTAGGCAGGATATGGCTGTGAGTCATCAGAGGCATAATCGTGGCAAAATGTAGGAAGACACGTAAACAGAAATGTCAAGGCGACGTTTACTCTTCTTGATAATAACCAGTAAATTTAGGTTCAGGCTGAATGTTCTTAATTTTTCAAAAATCTGAGGCTGGATTGTTCTTTATTTGTTCTTAAACTAATAGGATGCAAGCAGTGCGATTGCTAGCTTTTTCCGAGGGGCAAATCACTCTCTGAAAATCTCGTACAGGTTTGGAGTAAATCACATTGTTTTATCTGAAAATCCCTGGAAATCTTTTTGTTTTGGTAAAAATCTGGTACACTTTTTGCAAGAGTGAATTTCCCCTCGGCTTTTTCGCTCTAGAGATGTGTTCAGGCCTCATTTGCAAACAAAGTGAGTAAGACAACCTTCATTTGCAGACCAGTTTGAATATTTACCGAAAAAGCACCAACACATGGCTAAAAATCCTCATCAATCTGCAATCGCTTAATCAATCTGCAATCGCTTATCAAGAATTAACAATAATGGGAAGAGAGGAAATAAATTTTTCAGATGTATCAGCAGGGAGGTCCTCATATGAAATGAATCACACGCAATGTTGTTACCATGGTGTTGGCTTATTGCTACAAAGAATGACACCTTTCAAAATATTTCGAAATACAACGAAAAGAAAAGATAAGGTTTCTGTGTGCAATCTCCCTGATCAAAATGACATGTATAATAATCATACATACCTTTGTGATTGACGTGATTGATGTGGTCGTTTTATGGATTGGTTGTGTGGTTGTTGTATGATCTCCGATTATGATTGATGATTATGATGATGGTCGTTCATGATTATGACTGTTCGTGATGATACCAGGGCCGCCGATAGGTTTCAGAGGCCCTGGGGCAAAACCGAAAGATAAGGCACCATACGAGCGGGGCGAGCAGAAAATTTTTGTGACCACGCCCTTCGGATTAGTTTAAAACACATTTCAGAATATTTCTTGCAGTCATTTCTTTTCAGAATTTTAAAACGCGTTAATATCTTTACGCATACTTTGCTACGTTTAACTAATTTTATTCTCAAAATGGAATTTATTAGTTTATGAAGCCCCCTAGACCTCGAGCCCCTAGGGCAATTTCCCCCCTTGCCCCCCTCTCGGTGGCCCTGCTCGTAAGACATAACCCATCTCTTACCTGCTAAAGACACCTCTTCTTCACTTTTCGATTCATCGCTCTCTTTAGTATGCCTCTTTTTGGTTTTGCCCTGCAATGAGAGCGACAAAGCAGCTTCTGAGACTGAGGTCATCTTTTTGCTTTGGGATCGCGTCCCTGAGGGTGACTCGAATGTGTCCTCGCCGTACTCCTCGGGAATTGAAGTGTCAGAACTTTTCTGGATGCCTGGAGAAACAGAGGCAATGCTCTCTTCAATGATGTCGTTGTCTGTTTCATTCGAGGTCATTTTGATCTCTTCAATTTGAGATGTATCGCTTTCTGAAGACTTATCTTTGCTCAGCATTGATTTGGTTGATGAGGTGCGTGATGCTGAGTTTGTTTGACTTTTGATCGTTGTTGATTCAGATGATTCAGAGCGATCTGCATAGGAAACGAATCAGCCAAGTAAAATAAGGCTTCCTTTAAAAAGAAGCCTAAAACAATTGTTTTAAACTATTACAGTAAAACTAGGGCCTAAATGTGGCTTAAGGGTTTGCTAAAGTCAAAAAGTCTCAAAAGGCGATTGCTAAAGTAAAAACTTGCTACGAAATATACTGAAGCTATTAACATTCCGTAGTGTATAAATTATGCATACAATATGCAGTACAGATGTGATCACTATCAATACTTCTAATATATCAAGATATACACTATCCAGTTGTCTAATTAATCCCTGGCATAATCGAAAAAACTTTCATCACTTTAGTAAACACCGGGACGGGGTCATCAAAACACATCTTTGGTGGCAATAGAGCCTTTCTTAACTGTCTATCTTTGGTAAATTTCTCTCAAAACATAACTTTATTAATCCTATCTTGAGTCTAACTAAACTCAGTGGCATGAAACTACACACCAATGTCCCCCTCTTGGATGCTACAGAGAGGCAAATTAATCATAAAATTATCAAAGTCACCTTCTCGTGCAGATTTACTTGGTGTTGGCGAAACTCGGTTTCGATTTTTGCTTTTATCCAGCGCTCTCTTAATGTCCGCCTTAAGCCTCAGCTCCTCCAACTCAATTCGTTTTTGCCAATCTGCAATCTCTCGTTGGTTTTTCAGCGCAGACTCAAACTGACTGCGGCGATCCTTCAGGGTTCTCTCTCGTTTTCTAAGATACCTACAAAAATTCGTGCATTGAAGCTTTTTGCTGGTTTTTAACTTAAAAATATCATCTGGCAGTCGGAAATTATTGTTGTATTTTGCTTGGCTCAACAATGAACTTTTTAAATACATGACACAACGATCAAAGGATGTAGGGTCTACTTTCAAGGGTATCACACCGGATTTGCTAACTTAGAAAAGGGGTAGTCAAATCGAGAGAAAGAAGAAGAGCAGTTCAAGAAAAGTAATTAATTTAAATGTTTTTATATGAAACGTTCATCATAGCTTAAGATAAGTGTTCCTTGCTCCCTTTTCGAGAAGCAATACTGTCCTCAAAAAACAAATCTATTGCAGTGCGGAGGGCAATGCTTGCTGACTCCACGCCAAAAAGTCATCACAGGGCTTCTTGCCGTGAGACCAACCTCAAAATAGGCGCCTTGTCTATTACACTCTTTTTTTATAAGAACCAGTAAATTTAAGTTCAGGCTGACTGTTCTTAATTTTTCCGAGAATCTGAGGCTGAATTGTTCTTAATTTGCTCTTAATCTAATAGGGTGTAAGCACTGCGAGTGCTAGCTTTTTCGCTCTAGGGTGGTGTTCAGGCCTCATTTGCCAACAAAGTGAGTGAGACAGCCTTAATTTGCTGACAAATTTAAATATTCACCGAAAAAGCACCCACACATCGCTAAAAATCCTCGATTTTGAGAAAAAACTTTGTTTGAAACTGCATTTTGCAGAAGCTCAGCCTCAGCTTGTTCTTAATTTGTTCTTAACTTTTGAACAATTTTGAGGCTCGTGTTTCTATAAAATTGTTCTTATAAAAAAAGAGTGTATTAAGACGAGCCAACTAGTGTCCAACTTCATAACTTATAAAAGTTTTCTAGCCCAGATTGTTTATAAAAATAGACAGCTCTTTGATTAATCCCCTGCAAAAATTTACCCTTCGCACATAGTCTAGTTCTCTCCCTTCCTGCCACAGAGCAACGATAGTAAGCTGAAATCAACTAGAAATATACATACTGCTCGCTGGCTTTCTTTCGCAGTTTCTTCAGATCGGTGACCATGCTGGATTGCGTGTGCTCTGTTATTGAAACTTCATCGGCTGTGCTTTCCGCCTCTTCCTGCCTCGATGATGTATGGCTTTCCGGACTCGCGTCTGACATCTTTGGCGACTGCGTAGCATTTGTATATGTCGGGAAGCTTCCCCCATCTGTGGCTGGGTGCACTTCTGTGGGAATCTCCTCTGGCACCTCTGCTGTTGTTTCGGCAGATTTAGCAGTGGATGGTGTCTTTGGTGACGTCATAGTCTTTGTTTTGGTGTATGAAGACTGTGATTTCAGCTGTTTTGCATTCGCCGATGAAACGCTACCAAAATTATTTGCAGTTCCATCAGAAACAACACTGGTTTGATCAACTGAGCCAATCTTGAAGAAACAGCAATGGATATACTTATAACAATAACAAAATTCACCGTATTATTGAATTTCGTAAGGATATCAAGCTTAGAAAAAATTGCAAAGGTTCTTTAAAAATGACAATAAAATGACTGATGCAGACTACAAATGATTTGCCGCAAGTCACGGGATCTCGAAAATTTTTATTGAATAACAAGGCAATAAATTTTGTATTTAGAGCATTAACAATTAAAAATTCTTGAAAACAGTGAAATAAAAATTATCGATTTTACTTACAAAGCGCAAATCGAGTCAGGTTCACGCAGCGATCCCTGCCCGCCCTAAATACTCGTCAAATATCATCCACGTTTTTACTTCCCAACGGTCATTCACAACAAGCAAACATAACGATCGCTAATAGCCATTAGCACTCAACTGATCTACTCTGGCATTGGTCCTAGGGCATTGTGTCCCTCTTAATGACTCAAAAGTGTGTTGCTCTGGCCCTGAAACTTCCGCAATTCAAATAAGCATTTCACGACTAGCCTAAGCTGAGTCTGTAGCATTTGACTTCCAAAAATATAATACAGTAGGGCAGCTTAGGTTAACATGCCAAACCAAAAGCAATTAAACTCTCATTGATCATGATTCATACAATCGTGATAAGTCTATTTAAATCCCTTTGAAAAAACTCACCGATGAAACTTCACTGACAGATTTCTCGCCATTTTCCATTGATTCCTGCGACTTTTCTTGACTTTTGGCCACCTTAACTTGCCCCAATCTGCTCCATATCTTCTGCGTCTCGTCTTTTAACCGCACAATCTCCTTTTGCTGGTAAAGCATAAATCTTCTCTCGTGGCTTGCTGCTCGATATGCTTGCTTCAAACGGCGAATCTCACTCTGCAACAACAACAACAGATAGCATCATAGACGCAAAACTCACAGCTTTCCCAGAGGTTTCTCAAGATTTCAAATGTCATAACAACATCATAACAAAAAATATTTTGATCTGAACAATTAACAATTAACCGCATCAAAGTGTCCTTTTGATGGAGAATTTTGTTTCCAAAAACACATCTTGATTCAATCACTCTGAATAGAGAAAACAGACGGTTTTTTGTGTTGTCAAAAAACCTGCTCTTGTTTAAAGGTTATCAGTGGTAAAAACGCCCCGCCCCTTGAAAAGTCAACACGAGGGCCTCCTTGAAATTGGTGCCCATGAAGAGCATCACTATGTTGTCATTAAAGTCAGTGCCAAAAAAACTAAAGATACAACTATGACTGTAGTTGGAAGGACTAGCAATGGCAAGGATGTTAATTGCTAGCATTTCTCAGACAGCTAATTTTCGATGCTATCATGACTATGTTATGGATGATGATGCAGGTGCTACCGTATCACTGAAATTACGAGAAAGCTTAATAGGTTTTAGAGATTGAGAGGAATCTCAATATCGATCAAATGTAAGAAATGTATTAGATGAATTAATCAACAGCATGACATCAACTCGTAAAGCATGCATCCAGCAGCTACAATCCCGGACAAAAATGGTTGTGACTTTTCAAGGAATGCTTATATTTTCACTTTCCTTTAAAAAATAACTTTTCCCTTTCCCCCAATTCAATGTTGAATGCATGATTTTGAGGCAGAAATGAAAGAACTACAAATCCAACATTGCTTCGGGGGGAAAGGGGGATTCGAATTTACAGAGGCATGGTAAAGTAGAAAATTACAAATATTGCATTATGTCTCAACATTTTTGTCCGGGATTGTAGTTCCAACCACATCAAGTTTCTTAAAAGTCATGAAATATACAGCATACGGCAAAATGCAACGGAATCTTGTGGAAATATAAGACAAAAGCTCAAAAATCACTAGATAAGGTATTTGGTAGAAGACATGCATGTTACAAACATTTGTAAAATTATTTAAAATCCCATACATATAAATATCAATAAATAAAAACATAAAATATACCATCAAAGAAAAAAATAAAAATATTAGAGATGGAACAAAGCATAATTAAAAAGTGAAAAAAGCTTGGGATTACTCGTTGTTTTGTTCTAGTGGTAGGGTAGGTAAAGCTTATTACAAATTTTATTTATTTGCGAAATCTATGAAACAATTTTTCCATATACTTTTTAAAAACAACATTCCTATTTGTGTCACAAAGAATGAACACGTAGAAACTCTGGAAGAGCAATTTACATGTTATAAGAGCTGAGTTCGAATCTCCCAATAAAATCCAATACATAGCGTTCTTGAAAGTTTTTATTTTCCCAAAGCACTGTGGCTGAGAAACTATTTCTGATCAAAATACTTGAATCCTTGAATTCCAACGTGATTAAAATATTCATTTAATTATGGTAGCCTGAAAGAAGTAATTAATATCATAGCATTATGCATATTTTAGAAAAATTTTGTTGATATTCTGTTTTAAATTATCAACAACTAGTAGCAAGGCCTTGACTCTACATATTTTTAATTGTATTTACATTCTTGATGGTCAGCGTATTTGCAGAATTGGAATCCATTTGCTTATTGTCTTCATAAGCTTGGCCACAGAATTATTTTTGATGGTGTTGATTAATCATGTTTCATTATCACAGAATTGCGTTGATTATCAAAGATATGCTTGGGTTCCGTAGAGTACGAAAGTGAATACCACAGAGCACATTCATGATAAACACAGGCCTCCAGTTATACTGGCTAGCAGCACTACGACATCCAATTAGAGATTATTGACATATTGACATATTGGCAGATTGGAGACTGCCTTTTCCAAACATTTTTAGGATATTTTTCGATGCTTATGAGTTTTGGACATTGTACCTTTATCAACAAACTGTACATTAGATTGGAAAACAACATACAATCCTTGCCAAAATTGTTCGAACACTTGCGCAAAGCTGAAGCTTTTTTTGAAAAATCCCCCTCTACCCCCCATTACAATGTTGTTCAATTGGGCTGTTTTGATCCTGAAGGTAAAAATCTCTTTACTGAAAGATTTATGAAGGTATTGAGAAAATAAATCAACATTGTACCGGGGGAGGGGGTCGAAACTTTTGAAGCGCCAGTGATATTTTGGTAAGGTAGTTTTGGACTTGCTTTATTTATTTGCATGTTGCAATGGGAAGGCGTTCCAGTTATTTTTGGCAAGAATTGTGTGTTTGTTAACAGCAAATCAAACAGTCTGAAAAGCATTTTGTGTAGGCTTAGTTCAGCACCCTTCATGGTAGGTAATGGCTTGCACTTTGGTGAGGAAAGTTGCCACATTATAAGCTCGATTCTTACTTTTTAATTTCTGTCAGTTTTGTGAGGAATTTATTGAGATGGACTCTGAGATGGAAAAATTCCACAGATAGGTATGTAAACAATACTAACTATTAGGTCGCAAACTTACAAGAAAGTTTAGAGTGGGGATATTTTCACTGATTTCTTGTTTTTGGGTGTGATATCATTTCAAATGCAGCACGTCGCATTATTCGGAAGTAACCCACCTGAGGATGAAATACTTCAAACGATCTGGAAGTCCGAAATAAAACTGTGACTTTACCTGCTCGGACTTTAACTTCATCCACAGACCTCGCTGTTTCTTGTTTAGAGGGGGCATCAAATCATCAGCACCTTTACTCTTCAGCGATGTCTTCTGCATCTCCAGCCATGCCATTTCCGCCTTCGCCTTCTCAATCAATGCCTTTTCTCGCAGCTTCAACAAAGCAGTTTGATGTTTGCTGCGAATCTCCTCTTCTTGAATATATTGCCTTACCATATCATCAGTAAATTTAGTAAAGGTATCTTCACCGGCAAACGGCGGGCGGGCTGCAAGCTGAGCATTAAATAAACATAGATATGGTAAATTTTGGCATTGTGAGTGAAAGTAGGACATTTTTTGCATGTTTAATAGAAATGTGGTGTTACATGTTATAAGTACAAACAATATTTCAATGTTGCAAAGCAAAGCAAAGAAAACGACTTTCCTTTAAAATAGAATCCCTTTTACTCAAACCTCGCAGAAAAGTTTAAAATGGCTTTCATTACCATTTCTATTTCACTTAAAGGGCAAATTAATCGGTTCCTTTTTTTAAAATCCTGCTGACATTAAAGGTGTTTATTTATCGAATTTGCATTATAATGTGTCTCAAAGGGAAAACATTAAAATATGAGAAGCACAAATATGAAAAAAGTCAAACTAAACTATCCACTTATAATTGACGTTAGTAAACTCAAAGGTAGCTGCCAAACCTAAATGCGCTGTACTCTTGAAACACAGTTATTAAAAAACAAATTACATTGCATCCTATTCTAAATAAAATTCAAAATTTCGTAAATAATATTTTAGATAAAAAATAAGTTCAAATGATGTTATCATCCGTTTGTTTAAAGGATTTGTAAATTAATAACATTAGAGTCACAACAAAGAGTCAAGCATGTCTCCGACCCAAAGGTCAGTAGAGCTTAAAAGTATATCTTTGATAAAAGCAATCAACAAAGTAAAATTATTCTAAATTAGATGCAAAGCACGAACCTTTGATGCAGACTCCGGAGAAAGCTTCCCATCATCCTAGAAATGTAATTAATGGCATTTCCATTCAAATGCTGAGCAACTAGAGTTGGAAAATTTTCATTTTCTGAAAGACTATTCGAAAATCACAATATCATTGTGAAAAAGATTTGTAAAACTACTTTTGTGACAATGACAAGGTATGACGAAGTTGATCCTGATGTAAATTTAATTAGTTGAAAATTTGATAAGAGCAATGATCAACTTTCGCCTTGTTGCTCGGGCAAAGTTTAAAAATGATGCAAGGAGAAAAGCATAGCATACGAAAACACTATTTGAGAAATAAGGCTCCAATTCTGAAACAGTGCTTAAAAATTCTAGAATACGATTGCACAGAAAGATATAGGAATAATGATTAAAGAATGACTTTGCAACAATGTGTTTCAAATGTAAAGTATATTGAACTTTCGATGTAAAAGTTTCTTAAAAATGCAATCGCCAAAACCCTGCGCTTGAAATGCGTCCATATGCCTCTTTGACACAATAGCAAAATAAATATGATTTCCGCCACGGAATGCAGCAGCCCTTGGCATTTCTTGCAATTTGAAAAGTTAACTCGATGGAACTCGCGCTTGGGTGTTTTCTTTCGCATCCAATCCAGATTGGAAGTTTTATAAAAAATACTATGCCAGGCTAGATATGAACCAGTGGCGGAAACTTTGGGTTGAGGTGAAGGGGGTGACTGCATAAATAATTATAAATAAATTTCAAAACAATGGTTCCCGAAGCTTTTTTTATGTTAAGGCATTGCCAGGGTACTTTCGAAACAACATGATGCAGGAAACAGGTGAGCATAAAATAAAAACAAACTTTTGAAACTTCCTAGAATAAGACAAACAATTGCCTGTACCTAGAAATGAATTTCTTATTCTAATCAGTCTCGGGGAGTTCAGGAAGTTACCAAGCAATTTGTGATTATAAAAATGTGCAAATCCCTTAATAACATAATGAACAAATATAATGAACTTAATAACATAATGAACAAATATAAAAGGGCGTTGTCCCTGTTCTCTGAGGGTTTTGAGGGGATGGTCTCCAAAAATTTCCGTCTGTTCCCCAATCTGTTGCCCCTCACTAAACACAAAAGTTTTCCCAGCTGACTCAAAACAATGAAAAAATAAAAGACAGTACTTACTGAGGATGTGCCATTGTCAGATAAGAGTTTGTCGATTTTAGATCGTTTTTCCTTTTCCAAGCTCTTTCTACGATGACTCATTACAGGAAGGACCATACGGAACCCACTGTCAAGTTCATCTTCGGTTAAAGATGACCCAAGATTGTCATCAATCTTGAAGCTTTGCTCCTCGATCTCTGAATGTTGCAAAGATTCTAAAATTGGCATTGGCAAATAGATTTGAAAACATGCAATTTCAAAATATTGAAAAAATTATCCTAACCTACAACAATCGAATCTGAATGATTTAATGGCGAGGGTCAATCAAGGAATCAATCAAATGCTTCAACTCTATTTCCGAGTCATTTCCGATCCACGCCTGGCATCGATTTGAAAAAAATTGGCTCCGCTCAGGTCACGTGATAAAAAAATTGCTTGCACTCTTGTGCGCATTAAATTCGCACTGCTGTGTCTATCGCTAGGAAGGGGAAAGCCTTAAATAGAAAGGGGGTAGAGAATCCCCCTTCCTAGCGATAGTCACAGGAGTGTGAATTTAATGCGCACAAGAGTGCAAGCAATTTTTTAATCACGTGACCTGTGCGGAGCCAATTTTTTTCAAATCGAGGTTAATACACCTCTTGTCTTTTCCGAGGCTAATCTATGTACCCTGCCGTAGGGCCGCTGGCAAGCCCGCGTAGCGGGCTTCGTAGGGGAGCTATTAGTCAATATCTGACGTTATATACACTGGAGGCGAAATAGTACATTAGTATCCTGCTTGTTCTTGTAATTTTCAAACAGGCAATAATGATATTAGGAAGCCCGTTATGGTAGTCAAAAACAGAGCAAACCAACATACCATCTAAAACGTGTCGCAGCTTATCATTTTCCCTTGCAGGAGTGCTATGTTTATCATATTCAGTTCCAATCTCACTGGTTCTAGAGAGGTTGGTATTGTCTTGTCCACTGCTTTCCAAACTTTGCTTTATGCTTTCTCTGATATCCTCTGCAATACTTTTACCAATACTCTCCCTTATGGTCGGTGTAAAGCTTTTCTTAGAAGCAAGAGAACGACTTAATGATTCTTCAACAATGGAGGATGTTGCTTCATTTTTCGATTTGATTTTCTCAGTTATGGAGCTGTGAGAAATAGATTTTGATTAGTAAATCACCTCACTCATAAACAAAGACAACATTGTTACTCAATTATTTATCAAAACTATTCAATTTTCTCGGTAATGTATGACTCTTTCCTTTCTCCTGAAGTATTGTGTTTAGCAAAATATTTCCTTTACCACAGAGGCTACATAAAGATAAGTATGATACGAAAATTTGCCAGGGACACTTTTATTTAAAAAGTGTTTAAATTTAGAAGTTTAAGATTTTAAAATTACTAGGATTTTAGATATCTGAATAAGATCCTGAAGAATGTTATGAAAAAAATGAAACCCACAAAATGAATTTTTAGCAAGCAAATAAGGCATAACTTTGCAACATCAACTAGAGGTTAAGATATTAACCTTTTCTGAGGAGAAGGTTCTTCAAAGTCGTCGTCTTTGTACGATATATCACGACTGCTTGATTTTTTCGAGCCTTCCGTTGAATTTGTTAAAGTTTGATCGCTATCTGTTGAGCGTGTTGACGTTGAAGAAAAAGTTGACTGCGAGTAGCTTTTGGAGACTAAAATAACAAATAAAACGTAACGATTTCAACGCAAAAAGAGTAGGAGGATATCGATACTTCAAGTAATTTTGATGATGGTAACAAAATATCAGTTTTGATAAATGAGAGCTATTGTGGCTACGAGGTTTGGAATGCTGGAAATTTCAGTGGCCTAAATGTTTTGAATATACTGGAAACTTCATTGTCTTAAAATGTTTTGAATATACTGGAAACTTCAGTGTCTTAAAATGTTTTGAATATACTGGAAACTTCAGTAGCCTAAAATTTTGATAACTTCAGCATTTTCTTACGACAGATTGCTTGCAGGGCGAAAATTTCTAAAAACCTAAACTAAAAACAAACCTGTCATTCTGGCAGTACTCGTAACGTTAGCTGTTTATAGCATTGAAGCAAATCAACAATAGCCGTAAGTCACTGTTATATATGATCTCGGAAAAGATTACACAAAACCAGAAAACATGCAGACCTTTTTTGAGTGCCTCGTTTCTTAGTTGCTCGAGCTGTTCCCTGTGGAATTGCATGGCAGCCTGCACAGCGGACGAAGCTGCAGCCGCAGCAGCATTCGTGGCCATGGTTTGCACATCATTGGAGTGACGATTTGCAGATTCGATGGCAACATCGGAAGCCATTTTCTGGGCCTAAAAATAATTCATTCTATGTACAAAATATCTTTAAAAATCACAGTAAAATAAATATAACAAGAGGTCTATGAACCACACACACTTTCAAAGCTTTGTAACTCTTAAAACACTCATAACCAGTTTAAAATCTCTTCATGACCATTCCAGAGATTCATGCACAAAGCAGAATACATTCTTCCATTTATCTGCGGTTTCAAGCAACTTTTTCTCGAGATCAGAGCTGTAAAAGTTTTACTTTCTTTATGAACTATCATCTTTTGCTAATTATATAATATTGCTAGATTTGAGATTTCCCAGGATACTTTTAAGCAAAATATACTACACAACTACAGAGTCGACCTTTAACTCGATGTTTATCTCCATGATCACTACTATATTACAAAATACACTAGCTTATGCCAATCCCATTTGCCAAATATCAACAAATTTTCCGCAGCAAACGGGCAACATATCACAACATTGAGCATAGATCTGTCTAACATAAACCACAATTTTCATTGGCAATAAGGTCTATTTTACTTAAACTGAGCTTATTTTACTACAACTCTTCCAAAGAACTAAAAAACACGGAAGGAACTTCTTAATATTTTCTATTTGAGTATTTTTCTATTTCTTGGGTAACAAGATTGAAAATCATATACCTTTTCGACTTTTTCAGCGGCTTCCTCTGCTCTTTTTGCAGCCTCCTTCTGAACCTAAAAAAATTATTCGGAGAAGATGTCCTTACAGCATTTATTAGATTAAAACGACATAATCATCAAAAATACTAATGTTGTTTAAAAGAAAGTGTGGTAACCGTAAAAATACGATTATTAAAGAAGATATTAAAGAAGATATGATGTATGGCATGAAGGAAAAGTTGCAACAAAAGGGGACGAATAATACTATGGTCACTTAACACTTAACAATGCTGTGTAAACAGTGGCGGACACCTGGGGGGTCGCCTCCTAAATATTTTGAAATACAATGGTATCTTGTTCTAAAAGAATGTGAAAATGTGACGTCATCTTATCAAAACAATAGGCTTCCCCCCCTCCCTCAATATTTGAGCAAGTATCCATCCCTGTGTGCTAAAGAGCGGAACAATATGGCTGGAAATGACACGTGGGAAGGACTTTGAAGTTAGGACTAGCAAGGACGGAAAGGAGAGATGGCGTTTACAGGGGTGATAAAAATAGGCAGACCAAAGAGTAGACATAGAAAAAGCATAAATGGACCTTTCAACAAATGTGGAGGAGGTGAACCTAAACCAGCAACAACTCAATACAAGTAAACATTTATCTGCAGTCTTAGGACGGAGTTGAGATCTGGCACCACCTCCTCAACCAGTTCAATGTTGATATATCTGCTTTTGAAACAAATTCGCCAAAGTTTGAACTGGACAAGAAGGTAGATGTTAGATTTTATGTGCCAGTGACCAGCATGCGTTTAGGGGTCTGTGTAAAAAGCTATGGCCAGTATTGCAAAATTTCTTTATTGATTTAGATAGTGTTTGACAATTTTTAAACATGTGTTGATATCAAGTACCTTGTGTTTGTCTCATTACTCTGGGTTGAGTTTAATAGTTCTGGCTAGAATTCACGTAAAACACAACGAATCTGTTACTTATCTAACCTCTTCAAGCCTTCTAGTTGACTCTGCAACAGTTTCTGCTGCTTGTGCACGAATCTGCAAAAAAATAGCAATAGCAATAGGCGAACTGACTGTAAAATATAGCTTAAAATACTTCAAGCTGCATGCAACTTCAATGTTGTTTGTATTCAAATGTAAATACAATTTGGATAACCTCTATCTACAGAAATGGCAAGATAAATAACATACGGTTGTAATACTTCAGATGTTTAATCATACGACCTCAATCAGCAAAACTAAACAAATTTCGAATAAAGAAAAAACAGCCAGGAATGCCTGATGAAAATTTTCAACTACAGGAAATGCATTTAACTCTCTTACTGATCATTTGTCTATCTTGTACGGTAAGTTTTCCACCTCATAGGATATTAAAAATACGCTCGGTAAAGGAGGCCACGAGCTATATAAAAACTATATTAAATGAAGCTTAATAAGGTACTTTACCTCTGCTAGAGTTTTGTTCACACTTTCTGTTGCTTTCATTGCAGCTTCTTTGGCCTATTTATCAAATTGGAAATTGGACTTGTTAAAATGTTGAACATTCGAATAGAAACGAAGAAAAATAAGCCATTATTCTGTGCCAGACAAAATTGACCCAATTCAGGAGGTATATTTTGGGAAGTGTTTTAATATGTAGAAAATCAAAATAAGAAAATCAAAAGGCAAAGGATTTCAGTAATTGGAAAAGAAGAGCGCCAAAGAAAAAGTTGGCATAAATGCAGGGAAAAAGGCATAATTTTGAATCAGATAGGACTGCCCTATGAAAAAACTTTCAAGATCGGTCCATTTTGGGAATAGCTTCAATATATAGCGCAAAATTATAAAATCAGAAGACAGAAGTTAAACATGTTCAGGTTATAACCGAATAGTCAAACATAATTTTGGCCATTTAAACCACTCATACATGAAAAAATGACACAAACAAGTAACGGGTACATATACATATCTAAACAGATATCAGTATGAAGATCAACGCACCGTGGCAACTTGTTCTGCGTTTCTTGTGGCTTGCTCGTTGGCATCTTTAGACATCCTTTCCATTTCTTGTTTATAACCGAGCTGTCTCGCCTAAAACACCAACGCAATGTAACAGCAAGAGCCAGCACTGAATATACTACAAGTACAGCGAAAAGCAGGCCCAAGAAACTAAACAAATTAACAATATAGAATGCAGAGGGTCCTCAATTAGCGGATATATATTGAAACAACAGAAAACCCTTGGCAACAGACCTCTCTAATAAAGGACAAATAATGTTGCAACATAGCATAAAGGAAACATATCATATTAACACTTTTTATCCAACACTTTTTATCCAACACTCAGAATATGAACATCCGATAATGTCTAAAGGTAGGCCGCAAATTTTCAATTTTTGTGGCACCAAAGGGTTATCTTTTCAACGTTATAACAATAGTTCTTTACTATGGTCATAGACTTATTCATGTAGTCACCTTAAAATGGACATCTGATTTTAACAGAATGCTATTGTGACCACAAAGATGTTCATTATATGAATGATTCGCTGTACAGGCGAGTTTATAAGATGTGGCCTTGAAACTATTTAAAGACAGGCGACCTTGACCCACCAGCTTCTGCCAAGGTTTTCATCTAGCGTACCTTATTGGCTACCCTATGAAGAAGATCTCAAAAACTAGGCTTTTTTACATTCCTTTACAGCAAAAGCATGAACCAACATAGGCTGTTTTGTTGTTGCCAGACTAAGGTGATTATTTTATCTGCTTTATTGCTTTGACAATACAACTAGGATGGAAGTTAGAAAATCAACTGTCAAGACTTACCTTTAGAATCTGTGCCAATGAAACAGTTTCCTGCTGGGCAAGACTTACACCCCTGACTCTTTCAATGTCTGTTACTTGGCGCAGAGCATCGTCCATAGTTTCAAGCTGATTAACCTCTGCCCTTAATTTTCTTTCCAATGTACCAGGCGAGAATTTTTCTGTGACTGCAGAAGTGGTTGTAAGAGAGCTGTCTTGTTCATTTAGTGCTCTCCTTTCAGCGTGGCTAATCGATGGATTTCTCTGGAATTAAAATAATAAGAAAAGCTGTAGAACATTTGGTATTCAGAGCAAATGCTGCGGCATGCGATGTTAGCGTATACATATCGTTTGCCAGTTCTGACAAACTTCATCTCTACAAATTAAGATCTTACATCGGGGGCTTACACAGCTGTATGTCTGGCAGTCTTGCCCCCTTTCCATTACCCTTTTAGAAGAATACCTATCTTCCTTTTCTTTTAGCCTGCATCAAATCCTTACAACATCAAGATAGATTAAAATGACAAATATGATTAAAAATAAATCTGTAAAGAGCAAATAGAAGCCGCCATCAAATGCAGAAAAGCGAGAGTGCTAAACAAACCATGTTCAGTATCAAAATAAAGTGCCTGTCAAACAACATGATGCCTTCATTATTTTGAGACATAACTAGGCTCTTACCATAGTTGATGACATAACAGGGTCCTTTGCAAAGTCGACACTACCGTCTGTCAACGAAGCCAGGCTTCTTGCGGGGGAAATGTCATCAGCATGTGACGTAATAGATTCATCCGCATCACTGTTGTACGAATGGATCTTCTCGCTGGCTTCTTTCTGCGTCACGTCTTCTGGCAACAAGGTCAGTGTTTTGTCTAGATCTTCCGAAGTTTCTTCATGAGAATCCTCATTGGAGAGTGAGGGTTTCTGCGAGGAACGTGTTTTTGAAACACCTTCATCTCCCTACAAGTTTAATGAGCAGCTTAGTATAAAGCGAAAAAATATCCCAAAAAAAATTGGCAAGGGATTATTTAGCAGTAAACACGTTGCTATATGACAGAAGGTTTCTACAAGAATAACACTGTGATGCTTTTTGCGCTGTGGTGTGCTAACATCAATCTCCTTTTAAAGAACATTATATTTTGTACAATAAAGCCAATAGCATTAATAGAAACTGTTAGTCGAAGAAGAAATAAAAGGAAGTACATAAAGTTCAATGCATAGCCTAAATAATCATTTTAAAGTAATTTAAAGGAGCAAACAACTTGAATCATCATTTCGAGCAGGTCACACCATTTGAAGTTAAAAGCAAGAAAACGTTCAAAGGCAAGCCAAGAAAATAGCACCATTTCATTCAGGCCTTTTTTAACATACTTACTCGGGAGAGGGGTGGGGGTGGAGTGAGGGGGGTGAGGGGGTGAGGGGGGTCAATGGCCCTCCCAGCCCGAGTGAACTTCCATTGTTTGAAACAATAGACAACTGTCCTCCTCTTTACATAAACCTTGACCAGCAGCTTGACCCCTATGCATGCCATATGTCTAAAGCATTTATGCTACGCCACAATATACAACAAAAACCTAATTACCTTGATATCAGCTAATGTATCAACTTCATTATCCTCATTCTCTGACTCTGATTTAATTGTTGATGCAAAACTATCAAAATCTGCATCGTCGTAATGCTGTTCTTGCAAACTATCGTGACCAATGTGCGAAAAATCTTCCTTTTCCTTCTTCTCGGGTGAAGTGTAGGCCCCTTCCTCCTCCAAATGCCTCTTACTTGCTTCCTTCAACCTTCTAGTATAAATATTGATAACACTGTATCTATCTCCCTTCTTTTCCTGCGCCTTTCCTGTGAGGTTCTTCAGAAAGCTGTCCTCGTTCACCTTGGTCTGTTTTCCACGAAGGCTTTCGAACTAGGGAAGGTAATATTAAACAGTTCTCAACCTCCCAATTCAATTATTGCAGACAAACTTCTGATATTTCAAAACGTGTCGTAAATGCACGAAAAAATACGGCACAGAGCTTGAACTTTTTCGTATACCAAAAAAATTACTGCAAACAAATATATACATCGATATACTGGTCAGGATCATTAAGCATATTTGTTGATCTAGACATGAACTCTAACTGTTTCTTAAACATACTAAAACCATTAAGACCACTGTAACGTATATATTAATGTTTGTCACGGTACAACTCAACTGAAATCATGAAGGGTCAACAGATGTGCCAAATTCTCTAGGCATAACATCACTAATAAACAAATCGTAAAAATGTGCTCCCTCTCCATTATTAACAACAAAACTCGACACGCGATGACGAAAATCTACGGCCATAAAACTATTATGTGTCAGTCCTACTCTAGATGAATGGAACAACGAAAACAATAAGAAACAACTAAATCGGTACACAACGGTACCTTTGGTCTTTGACTCTTCGCAGGAGATGGTCTTTTCGATTCCTTAATCAACGACATTGTGCTGGTCTTATCAGAGAAAACAGACTTGTCATTAGCAGCATCAACTGCTGAACTAGCCTCGAATGCAGAGCTATAACTCCCAACCGAGGACGGCTCCATACGATCTGTAAGCTGCTGTCTGTAAAGGTTGTTTTCAGTTGTCTTCTCCCTCGCCTCGCGCATAGTAGCTGCCAAAGTTTTTCCCGAGGGCAGTTTCCAGGTAAGCCCTTGCCTGATGCTATGACCTCGATAAGCTGCTTGAATTCTTGTCGCAGCCTCCTCCTTGGCCAACTAAGAAAATGTTAATGTTAAAACGAGTAGAAAAAAACTTTCAACTGCTTGGAAAAACATACATTACTAAGACTGAATTCTAAAAGCATATCTAAAAATTTTGAGCCAACATCAATTCTTACGAATTCTGACGTCATACCAATAATACATATATCTATTACTCTATTACACAGAATATACAAGCTTCTTTCGATCGTTGTGCTTTTCAAAGAGCCCCTTGGAATACTAACGTCAACTTTCAAGGTCTACTACGATGTTGGTTTACGTTAAAATGATGTAGAGCATTCGCAAAAAGGCTTTTTCGTGTGACCTGTATGAAATTAGCCTGAACTTTCATAATTGATCTGGAGTAAAGGAAGCGGTTGCAGAATTCGAAAAAAGAATTAAAAATATAAAAACGAGACTCGGTGGGTGTTTGATGATCAAAAATTGAATATCAAAGACATTTTTATTGCTGCTTAATATAACAGGGCAAACTCACCAGTTCTTCATTGGTCTTTGCTTGCTCGTGGATACTTGCCGTACCTATAAGAACAACATAAATTAACGTTTTAGCCGGGCTTTGGAAAATGGGCAATAAAGAGACATACACGAGTAGTACTTCACACTTTGATGATCATATTACATGTTGAATTAAGAGGAAAAAGAAACTTGCTGTCAAAATCAAAGGGAATTCCCTTAAAAGCCCAACAAGGGTGGTTAAAATTTTTTCAACCTGCATACAGAGGCACGACTCGAAGTCAAAACTGAAAATTATGTTCAAAATTTATAAAATATATATGGGAAAGCGGCACTACAGAATTTTGCAACAATTCTAAGGCTAGTTGTATCCAGCAAAAACAGTTCAAACCTGGTAGCACACCCCTGAATTCACTGATATGACTGAAGCCAGACAAAGGCACAGGTGATGCTGCCGGGGGCTTCTCCTTATTGGCAAGTACACGTAAATTTGCCAGTCTGTTAGCTTCAGCTGCAAGCCTTTCTCTCAGCGAGGTCGCAGTTGCACTGATAGCGGCAATACGCTCTGCTTTTGACATTTTGGCGGGATCTAACGAGCCAACTGAAAGAAATAAATAGCTTCATGTTTCACAGCCTCAATGATACAGAAAATATAATCACTCTTACCTGAAGACGTATTCGACATTATTTTTAGACAGAACATGGGACCTGGAGTAAAGGTAATTTACAGGCAAATTTCAGGCAAAGCTGTCTTTTAGGTATTGGAAAAATGCACCTTTGTTCCTCTCAGAGTTAACAATTTAGTAACAATGTAACACGTCTAAGTGGTATCAATAACATAGGTATTATATGACACTGATTGGTATCAATAAAGCTAATTAAATTCACCATCATTCCTCTTAGTAAAATTTAATAGAATTTTATACAACCAACATTGTTCAGAATCCTTAAGCAATTTTGCACTTTTCCTCCAACGTTCCAACTTGCGGCTAAGAATACTTCTCTAACGTTAGTGAAATTTTTGCATTGCTCGATTCCAAAACAGGAAGCAAAAGAAAATCACCTTTAGTAACACTTGGTGGCCTTGAAACCGGCTGCCTGCTTGACTTATATTTTTCGAGAAGATCTCGAACCTCTTCTTCGACAGAACGAAATGGCTCAGACTTCGGTTTTTCATCTATAAAAAACAAAGCTATGATAACCACAAAAACAATGGACTTCTAACAGCTTAACAAATGTATAGATAAAGTTTATGTATTGCTAATAGCAGAGTCTTAAGAGCCTCCTAAAAGAACAATATTTTAATGCTAGCAGAATACATAACGTCGTTTCTTAAACAGCTGAAAGCAATCTTTGCGACGGCACAATATATACAAACCTACCTTCGGATCTAGCCTCAACAGGGGAGTCAGTTCCCGTCTTTCTCACAGTGACACTTATTCCATACATGTCATTCTCGATCTTTTCAAATTCCAGCGAATCCTTAAATCGCTCCTCGTTTTCATCGGCAACGCTGTCGTCGAGTTCATCACCAGAAACGTCTCTTTTTGAGCTCTCGCCAACTGGAGGAGAGATTGGTGGCACATTTACGTCATCGTCTTGGCGGCCACTGCCTGTCTCTAGAATATGTCATGCAAAGGCTACTGTTATTCATACCAAGTTGGTATAGAAAATGACGCACAAAGAACTTCTCAATGACTAGAAAAATATCGATCAACCTTAAAATATTTTAGGATCGAACATGTTGGGTATCAACTTTAGAAGATCAGATACCGTAAAGCTCTATTAAGCCCCGAGGGGCTTATTTATTTCTTCAATCCTAAGGGGGGTATGGCTTAAAAGAGAGGGGGTATTTTTTCGAAAGAATTAACATCATTATCCTTTTGACTTATAATATGCACAAGTAAGTCTTTACATGGGCAGTATTTAATGCACACGATCTGTCATCATCAAACACTACAAGAGACCTACTCAATGCGCATGTTTTCTTTGTTTGACATCAGGAGTTAAAGAGGGGAGAGGGGCTTAATAGGGAGAGGGGCTTAATAGGGAGAGGGGCATTTTAAATTTTGGCTTGGTAAGAGGGCTCAATAGATAGGGGGGCTTAATAGAGAGGGGGCTTAATATAGAGCCCTTACGGTAACTGCATAATAAAAAACTCGCCAAATTTGCTAAAAATTGAAAAAATCACGTGGCTAACTTACCGTTCAGACTGACTCCATTGTCATCTCGCAGCAGTTTCATTGCAGTATCAGACTCAAACTTATCCTAAACATAGAAAGAGTATCAACATGTATTCTTATTATTGGACTGAAGTTATAATTTCATTGCAGATAATGTTGGTACCCATTCACCACAGCATTTAATCATTACTAGTTTATTAAAGGCACTATGACCTGGAGCATTTCGCTGGCCATTTAAATTTACCATTGGTTGAACTATACAATAGACCCATTGTTACCTAACCAATCATCAACGCGCTGTAAAGCCTATTGTTAACTCTGAATGGTTGACTGACGGGACATAGTGCCTTTAAAGGCAACCGAACAGATACTAAGGTGGCTTCAGCCATCTTTCGATTATCAACTGGCCAATCAGTGAGCGTGACACCACTGACATATCTGTTGATTGGCTGATGTTGATTGACAGACGCCTTCAAGACCATGCTTTTCAATACTATAGTAAAATTTAAAAATACCAATAATGGCGATAAGAGATTTATCAATACATATGTTGAAGTCAAATAAGAAAATTGTTCACGAACAGGCATTCAGATTTTTAAAATCGCTGTTATTTTTAATCACCAAAGTTTGGCAATCACTTCAAACAGAAAAAAGGCCCACTACGAGACAAGCATACCTGACTTAACTTTGCCCAATCTTCGCCTTTATTTGACTTGGTAAATGTAGATCCCATTAGTTTGCTTTGTCTTACAGAGATACTCGCCCGTAGATTTGTTTTTTGCTTCATATAGAGCTCCTAGAAAGCATATGAAAATAACAAATAGTAAAATTAGAAACCTAAAGCAAATAAATATGGATATGAAGCTTCCTAAATAAGATAGATGTAATCAATTGATCAGGTTTTGAACAAATGAAAAAAGATCCAGTTTTAAACTGCAAAGAGGCACAATAGCAAAAGAGAATTTATCAGGATACTACACTGCTGCCTTTCAGCGGTAATCAAATTACATTACTTTACAATGCAAAGGACAGAAAAGTGTGCTTCTAAGACTTCAGAGATATACTGATGTGAAAAAATTAAGGACACTGTATGTACATTATACCTTGCTAATTCTGGCTATGGAGCCAGGACAGTGGATATTTGTCTTGAGGTGACAAAATTGGGAACAAGGATGTTTAATGTTCCTGTTTTGGGTATGCTTAAAGGAATCTATGATCTGCGAATGTCAATAATGCATTTCCTTAATCTTCCTCAATTTTGCTGTGACAGTTCTAGAGAGCGTTTCTAATTTTCTTTTATTAGCATCATTCTGAGGACTATTCCTGATCTTGCTCAGGGATAATCTGCTGTCGTGAGGTGTTTTGTTCCAGACAATATATTACCTCTTTTGATGCTGTCAAATGTCGTGGGTTGCAAACCGAATTCTTTTTGCTATTTTGAAGAAGCTAAAATAGGGGTGTTTGGAATGGGTAGTGAACTGGGATGTGTTGCTATGAAAAATACAAGCGGGTCTCGCGAGGCATTTGGAAAAACTAAAAAAGCTAATTTTTGGTCTGTGCAAGGGGAACCCATTTCAACTGAGCCCCAGCTCTAGCCCTCTTTTACTAAGACAATTTTAAATTGGTTAGGGAGATAGCAGCGAATATAAATTGAAGCATAAATCAGGACCTTTAGCTATCAACCAGCATTTCATAGAATTGGAAGTGATTATTCAAGCTTGCTTAACTAGTTGTTAAAAAAGACAGCCCTCAAACAAAAGTTAAAAATGACTTCAGAAATAAAGCAAACGAGAGACAAGAGATAAGTGTCTCACCTTCAGTTTTTGTTCTTGCTCAAACTTCAATTGCTGCTGTCGCCTCTTTTCTTGCATTCTTCTTCTCTTTCGTTCAGCAAGCTGCTTGGCCATGTAGTTCTAACAAAAAAATTAGCCTTTAAGCTAGACGAACTTTAACAGTAGCAGAAAAAGTCAATCAAGCTTCTTCAAGTTAGAGAGCGTTACGGCAAGACAGGTCACCAAGTAGAAATTGCCTAGAGAGAATACCCAGTCCTAGGAATATTGAACTTCACTTCACTCCTAGAAAATAAATGACTTCACTCCTAGAAATTTTTTTTGTAGCATCATTCAAATTATATAGAAGATGTTTACCTGGATTTCTTCTTGATTGTAGTGGCGAATTTTCGACTTGCTAGATTTTGCTTCATCTGCAAAAATAGCAACCAAACAATACATCAAGCAGTAATTTTAATTCAATAAAAGAAAAAGAGCTGCTTATCACGTTTAGTGTCCATCATAACCGTGTAAACAAATCTCACAAGACCTGACTTACAAGTGTCAGTTTAAAAGAAACTCGAACACACCTTTATTTTGCCCTGTCTGTCCGGCTTTTCGTTTGATCCTTTTTCTTGCAGTTGGGCTTTTCTTAACCGGTATATCGTTAACCGGCTCATCCTTAGAAAATGGGTCGTTCTCATCAGCTAGAACAAAAATGAAATTACTAATGGTTTGTTGAAGGTGAATGGAATAAAATGTAAATGAAACGATGTTTTCCTGTTAATGCTATGAATTTTCTTTTAAGGTGACCACCAGGATCCAGAAATCTTGAAATTGTTTTACCTCATCACGTTGTTGAGTGACATATCCTTAACTGGTCACTGATTGGTTAACATAAAGCCAATAAGACAAGTTGCTTTTTTTGTTAGACAATATCGTTTCGCAACTGGGAGACAAAAACGCCACCAAAATCAAACAAATCGTTCTTAGATGAAAGTAAGTTGCTTGCTGTAAAATTTTTCCAATTTTTGTGTTGTTCAAATCAACTCTGAAAAATGATGGCCCCCAGCAGAAAAACTTTGAGCAAAGGCTCCAAACAAAAGCTTCAAACGCTGTCAACAATAATCTTCTTTTGGCTTTTGGGCTAAGATGCAGACACTGAGATGCAGAATTTTTTTAAAAAAATGTATTACTTAATAATATAAACTAGTTTATAAATACGCTTCCCAGGTAAGGAAGGTATTGAAAACGAACAAAGAGATTTCAATTTTGGACATAATTTATCAGTATTTTTTCCTAAATGCCACATTTACCTGATGAATCCATTTCTAGATCAGCAAGCATGCTTTTCGCCTCTTCTGGAAGGTCCTCGTGATTCCTTAAATCTTCACTGATCTTTTTCAAATCTTCTTCTTCACCACTTTTACTATCAGTGGCATCGGTTAGATCATCGTGTGACGTCACACCTCTTTCACTTGATTTCGCTGTCTTTGATTCGGTATTTTCTGAACGCGCAGAATCTTAAACAGAATAATGAAAAGTTAGCCTTAGATTACCCTTTCTTTATATAATTTTAAACAAAGTTTTTTAGGTCTTTGCAGAATGTTTGGAGGAAGAAAGGTTTTTTTTTTAACCAAGCTCCCTAACTGTAGTTGAATCAAGAAGATCATTCCACAGTCAAAGGCGATAGTTTTGTTTTCAAAAGTATTCCTTTTTATGGAATTTATTTTTGAGTGTCTCATTGAACACGTCAACAAACTTGAGCAATTATATAAAAGAATGGCAGTAAACATAGAGCTGCACAACTAATGCTGAATAATTGTACTTTATACAAGTCAATCCGTACCGGTTTTATAGTCTCCGGACATTTGTGCTGATCGAGCATCCGTGTCTTTTGTTTTGGTATCTTCGTCTTCCATTTCACTTAGGCCATCATCGTCATCATGGTCACTGTAGCCATCCTGTCCCCCTTTCTCCTTTTCAAAATCGTTCGCTTTGTCTTTTAGCTGAGCACCCTTTCCTTTCTCCTTGTTAACTTCCGAAATTTTAGAATCCTTCATCGCTTGCATCACCTTTTTAACTGCCTCTTGGCCTACACGCCAGGAGGTAGTTGAGATTGAAGGGACTGGCTTCTGGGCTGCAACTATCCTTTGCATTTTACCTAGCCAAAAGCATAACAAACACAATATAATGTACAACACATAATATAGAAACGATATAATACGATGATACAAACGAAGGAAAGAATGAAAGTAGCAAAAACTAAGCTATTAAGTTTATGGATATCTTTAGGCTATCAAATGAAAATCATTAACTCGACATTTTAAACTGTTTTAACAAATAAGCAACTTTCTTCTTTATGGATTTTCCCCTTGTTTCTCAACATTCTAAATATTTCTTGAAGAAAATTTCGCCTGATCTAACATATATAGTTTGCCCTAAACTATATAGGGTTTTCGCCCTAAACTATATAGTTTGTTGATCAGAAAAACAAAGCAACTTGAAATTCTGTTATAAAAAAATAAGATCAGATAAGGAAAATTGGAAAAGCAAAAAGCAGGCAAGAATTACACAGAATCAATGTACACACCAGGTGATCTTTTGAGATCTTTTTTCAGTCCTTTCTTCCTGTCACGAGCATTAGATTTTGACAGTGGCTTTCCCCTTGGTTGATCTAACCCAACTCTTTCTTTCCTTTCCTTGTGAGTGGCTAGCCTTCTGTTCTGAGCTTCAGCTGTAGTTTGAATGAGTGCTGCATTTTCTTTGGCTCTTGGTAGATTGAATCCTGCAACAAATAAAAATTTACATAACATTATTAAAACCTCAGCAAAAACTGCAATAAAACAGAAACAGTAACACATGAAAGAAATACCCGAAGAATATTGGTTAACAATACAGTGCAAAATCAAGGTTGCCAGTGTATTCAGGAAAAAAACTTCAAAACCACATTTTTTACCTTGCAATGCTGAAACAAAAATTATAATTGTTAAAACAAAGATCTTGACTGTTTTTTAATCTACACTTGATAATGAAAAATTGACATGGTTCTTATTCTTACAAAATAAAAAGTCAGAAATTCATTACCTTTGTAAGTTGGTGCAGTGGATGATGATGATGCTGTTTTACGTTTCATGGGCTCCTTTGGTCTAGTATCTATTGCCACAACAGGATCATCTTCATAGTGCCTTGATTTTGATGGAAAGGCTGAAATGAAGAGACAAGTTATTCAAAGTTTGGGCATTCTTTTGTCATTAAAGAACTGTTCTCAGCAAGTAAGAGTTAAACTGATTCTGGAAATCAAGTTCATCAAAAAAACATGAAATCAACAGAAACAAAACACAAATTTGAAACTGGGTAGAATAGAGAGTTATTTGGAGCGATGAAAGAAGAAGTACCTTCAAGGTCTAAATTCGCCAAGTTCTCCTTTTGCTGCCTTATTTTATCTCGAATTTTCTGCAATGCTCCTTGTAAAAAACAATGTTACATTTGGCAATGTTATCTCTAAATAGATTATTTCCATCATGACAAACCAATAAATACATATAAATGTATACATGAGAGATTCAACAAAACAACATATATGCATTCTTTGCAATTTTGGCAGCTAAGGGGTAAATGGAATGAGTTACTAACAACTTTCCAATGCAAAAATATTGTCAGACAGGAACTGATTATACGTGTTGATACCTTTCACTGACAAGAGCAACTTGCTGACTGCTTCTAAAAAGGTATGCTTTCAGATTTGTATCTTTCATAATCAATGAATAGTGATCGTAATCTAGCTAAATAGTGAGAAATCTTCTCAGACTTACCACTGTCCTTGATATTTCCTAAAAGGGACTTCCTGCTGCTACCAGATGTATCCAGCCTTGGAACTTTCGGAGTGATTGGCCTGTCATTGACCAAGACATCATCAGGATCATAATCAAAATCATCTTTAATGTTGCTTTTGGCTGTGAAACCATATTGATCTTCCAACAAGGGGATTCTTCTGGGCACAAATTGGTCTATATTTTCACTGTTGGATCCTGAAATGTTTAAGGACAGTAACAAATTTGAAATCAAAGTTGAAACTTAAAATAATTCTTTATATGCAAAGCTTTTGATTGATGACATCAAGCCCGGCCTTTGAGCACTTGGTCACTCACATGGGCTATTTCTTAAAAAAAAGCCTGTCAAGCCTTGCAGAGTGTACCACAAGTGCTTACAGGTAAGTTCTGTGACAAGATGAAAACTGCAAGTACATCTTAGAAATTGATGTCTGCAATATGTGGAAATGTTTTGATATGTTTGCAAAAGCCATTTCTAGAGCAAAAGAAACATAGTAATCCAAGAATCAATTAAATCTACTTAGATATAGTGGATCTGGATGTTATTGAAAAGCGTCAAACCCTTCAAAGATACTTAGCCCTTGCTCAATGAGAATGTCTGGTGGTTTTCGTAAGATATGAGGCATATATTATACACTCTACGATATTGCAGGAAAATCTTGCAACATTTTGTGCTTGGAAGCAGACAACATTTATGGAGGACTTGGTGACAGAAACACAAAAGACTATACTCACTGTAAGCATTGAATGTCTGTATAACAGCAAAGTTATCTGATTCCTAGGAATAGAAAATTGAAGGTATAATTACAGCTCTTCCTTTTCTTTAACTTCAGTAACTGCAGTATGAATAAAATTTTGCATAACCTCAATGGAACGCAAATTGTTGTTTATAACATTATACTAATATGTTAGATATTTTCAACTATGTAAGCCTTTTAGAAAACTAAATAAAAGGATATTGAATTCCATTAGCATATTTTTTCAAAGGATAAAAACTCAGATTGCAGAGTATGGCTGACTTTGACAAGATCTTTGGAATGCAAACAACCCCATATCTCAGGTACAGTTAAACAGAAATCATTAGAAAATGCCGGGTGTTACAAGTGGACAATTCAGTCTCTTGTGCTCCCAGGATGACCAGTTTTATTAACAGAAGACCATTTATCACTTCATAAGGTAACCCTTGAGCCACCAAATTTTTACTGGAATTTTCCACCCTTATCACCAGAGTTCCTTTTTGGAAGATCACATGCAATGTGCAAGAAACCACTGAAAGAACTGCTGGTCTCCTACTGGGAACCCACCTTTTTACCAGAATTGCCCACCCCTTAGGATGAATTTAATGTAGTTTTAAGTTGTGCCTTTAAAACTAATATGTCTGTATCTTGGGTGCACCATTGCCACGCTTTGCGTACCGGATAAAACAACACATGTTAAATCTCAGCTTTATTATATATATAGACAAAAAAGGAAGGACATACCTCATACTCATAATCACCTTCTGGCTCCTTGTATTTGACTGTTGGGTTGGGATCAATCACCACTTTACCCTTTTTTGGTTTGCTATACTTTCTTGTGAAACCCTTTTTCACTGGTCCACTTACTCTTTCTGAAGGTGGGAATCTTCTTATGTCATCAATATTTCCAGCAGTCCTAATTCTTCTATCTACATCATCAAGCTGCAAAGATAATTTTTTAGGAATTATTTTTTATGTCACTTTAGGAAGTGTACTACAAACAGGAAACTTACATTTAATATGGCACATTCATATAAAATATACAGTTTTATTTTTGAAGGGAAAACTTGGTTCGCACCAGACAAAACTTGCAGCTTGACAAGTTGGTAATTAAATAAGGAAATTTGTTTCCCCTCCCAACACACTTTACTCTACTCAGTTCTACTTACGTTTTCTTTCGTCGAGGCAATGTTGCTCCAGACATTTTCAATCGCTAGAACAAAATACAAGTATAATTTCATAATGAAGCGGAATGAATATGAGTAAGAACATAATATTGGATGATAAACCTTGCCTGGTAGCTTCTGAATAATGGCGTCTAAATTAAAATTGTTAGTTCTCTTCGAAGTAATAAGTTATATAATATTTGGAATAATTAAGTCATAAGCTCTCTCAAAATAAAACTTAAGGCTCCCAAAATTAGGCCTAAATAAAAATTCATATCTAACATTTTTGTACTTTAAAATTAGCCCAACACCTTCGTCGAGCACAAGTAAATTTCCTCACCTGACAGCGATGTCTTGTACTCCGGTGAGAATTTTTTCGATGTCGCAGAACGGGATTGGAAATTAACCGCCATCACACACACAAAACTAAGATAGGCCTACCAGTACCTATATTTGAAAGCACTGCAGTTATAAACTCCTATGAGCAGCTCGGTCCGTAACTCAGAATTTCATAGGCTTTAAAAAATCAATCCATTGTCGCAGACAATTTCGATAAAAATTGGAGTAATCGAAGCAACCTTCGAACATAGCTCTCGCCTTCCACCATCTTTGTTTGTTGCCACTTGCGCTAGCCTCGCTGCGTCAAGAATGATCATTATATGTCATTTTATTCGAGGATGTTTCAATCGAAGCATGAATCGTAAAGAAAAGCTTAAAAATTCTCAAAAACAGCATAAGTATGATCCTTGTGTGAATTAGATTCTTCTGCATTTGTTAATTCATTCTTCAGTTCTGCTTTCTTTTCCTACCATGCTACCTCTGCTCACTCTCAGATACATGCCTGACTAAAATGACATCCAACCAACAATGAATTAAAATGCATGCTGGGAGATAATGAATTATTTTCCCGCTCCCAACGGCCGGCTGTATTCATTTCAAATTTTGGTCGAGAAGAAAAAGTACGGTCGTTGAAGTGAAGTGATGAACAAGGAACAAATTAGTAGAAAAGCAAAACGTACATAATTTTACGTAGAATTTGTTCCTCTATAACACACCAAAAATCGCCTAAAACCCAATTTGGGGAAAATTGTTTCTAGAACTTTAAAAAACATGAGCTTTTGACGAATGCACAATAGTGTCATCTGCCGAGGGATTCTGCAAAGTATGAATAGCTTGCAATAATTCAAGGCGTAAATTATAGATTTGGAAGCTAAATAGGTATTTGAGTGGACAATTGAGAAATAAAATTGAGTATCAGGGCCCACGCTACCGGGGGGCCGGAGGGGCCATGGCCCCACAATTTTTTGGTAAGCAACAATATTTCCATAGATATCCTTTTGGAAGCCCTAAATTAAAGTTCAACGTATAGAACTTGGCCCTTCCACTTGAAATTCGTGGTGTTTGCCCAGAGTATAGGTTGAAAAGTAGCAAAATAATCAAGTCTTGTTGCTAACCCGCCAAAATTTTTGAAAATTTTTTATTATAAATGAGAATACTAATTTCACAGATACATCAATTCTGTCTTTCGAGGACCTCTGATATTTGGAATTCTTATTTCCAATTAACTGATTTTTAACAGGAAGTTGTCGACTATTTCAGCAATATGCATTTTTTATTCGTCGTGGTTCTTATTATCAAGTTCATTGAACTGTATATTCGTTGTACGTAATTTTTTAAATTCAGCTTAATTTGCAGTTCTACTAATCAATACCCTGTACTCAGTAACTTTTTCTGTGAATGAAAGTTTTTGAGTTTGGGATTGGCAACATGAATATCTGGAATCTGAATAGAATCTTAAGAGCAAAGCTCCCTCAGATTCGGCGGGAACCGACATGTGAATGAGGCAAGTTGGAAAGTAGGGTGGCCAAGGGCAAAAAAAATAAAGCCCATAATAAAAGATTTTACAGAAATGTAGGGCCCCCGGCCACTCCCGCCCAGTGGTGTAGTGCTACAAAATAACAAGGGGTAGTTTGCATAAAATGTTGCAAAGAACTATAGCAAAAGTAGAAATTTGCAAATTTTTGGCATTAACAAACGGAGGTCAGCCCCCCTGAGCCCCTTAGCACTACACCCCTGCTCCCGCCCGGCTTTTAAGGCCCTGAACTTGTGAAAAAATTCAAGGCCTTTTTCAAGGTGGAATAAGTTTATCGTTGACTATCGAAACTTTGATTCTTGATTAATTTTTAGCAAAGGTGGAAGAATAGATTTTGCAAAAATCAGGGTGGGAACCGGGGGTGGACCAGGGGCATGTGCTCCCGCAACATTTGCGAAAATGTTCCTTTTCTTCTTTGAAACTTCTTTGAAAAAGTGCCCCTTTTCTGCGACATGGTGCCAATTTTCAGTGAAATGGTGCCCCTCCCCAATCGGGCCTGTTAATAGATTCCAGCAAGGTCTATAGTTTTATCATGTGGTTTTATGAAATCACTAGAAAATTTCGATAGCCTCGTATTGCAAAAGATAGATCGAGGTTAGAGCATAATAGATTCCACTTCTCGTGCTTCATATGTGTGTTGCTGCCTCTTGGGTTCATTTTTTAAGCAGGCATGATGGATTCCAAAGAAGCTGTTAAAGACTTAAAGAAAGTAAGTATGGAATTCTATTATTCTAGAGCCTTGAAGTGCACAATTAAAAAAAACCGAGTTTTCCCCCTTTTGTTGTGTTTGCATCCTCGATTATATTGTTGAATAGGCCAATAATTTTTTCTTCAATTTCCCTATCTTTCAACCCAAATGTGTGTCCAAGGCTTTTTTATCTCTAAGCATGTTTTTTAACTTCAAAGCTCCGTTCAAATACCCTCCTTTTTGAATAGTTTAAGTAAAAGTTGTCAAGACTGTGACCCGCTATTAAAATATAGGTATATATAAGATGATAATGATGTCGTCGTTAGGGTAAGTATCTAAGATTATTATGCCTTTGTCTGGATAGAATAGGGTTTTGCGACCTTATATTTTGTAATTCTTTATAAAAAATAGTAGTTTGCTCAATGTTGAATTCCCTTTTGATTTCTTGATTTCTATGAGCGGTATTCTGCTTCCAAAACCAACAATAGAAGTCTATTGCAATCGCAAAAGCAGAAGCTTTTTTTTCTAAGTAAAATTTTCAAAAAAAATATGAAGTGAACAAAATATCATGCGAGTCTTGGGTTGACACTAGATTATGTGACACATACCAAAACTGTAAACATAAACATAATTATGTACGTAAACATAATTTTGAAAGTTTTTCCTGCTTTTGCTACAACACTCTGCTCTTGGTAAGACAATTTACTCTCTATATTTTTCCTTTCCAATGTTTCTTCCTCAACTCTTCACAGTTTTTCAAAAAGATGTCATGAAAGGTGATTAAGAATACATGCAGGTCAAAATAAGACAAATTTATATAATGATTTAGCAGGCCAATGAATATGAGGATACATTTCTTTTATTGATATTATCAACGGTTTCAACTAATTTTCTTAGCAGGGAGTTAAAGAAAATAAAGATGAAAAGACTCAAAACATTACTAATGTGAATAAAAAGAAGAAAAACAAAGCTCCAAGATATTGGTCTGGAAACAAAGATAATACAAAATTGAAAAAGAAAAGCAAAAATGATGGAGGAATTAAAGAAGTTGAAGAGTTTGTTATTGATCCTGAAATTCTAGAGAAGTATACCCGTGGACAAGGTGTTAATGTAAAGGTGATTAAGCTCAGAAGTTTTATTTTATTTCAGAGATTTGACATAGATGGCATACAAATGATTATGAAAGTTTAAAAGATTTTAGAATGTACACATATTTTGAATATTGTTTTCACTTGTACAGTGGTACTGCTCTGCCTTAATTATTAATTTTCTGGTAAGCTTTATTTTTCAAATATTATTTAGAGAATATGAAACAATGGCTAGAAATGCTATATAATTTTGTTTATTTTACATTTTTGAGTTTTTTAGGTTTTATCGTTTTTCTTTGAATAGATTTTTATGACTGATTTGATATTTTTTTTATTTTTTTGAGACTCTATTAATGGAAATGAATTCATCAGAAATTATTTAGATCAATTGCATTTTCTTGTTATATTTTTTAATAGCAAACATGGGTTTGATTGTTTAGCAAAATACCAATTGGTATTTGTGTGTGTATGTGATATTACTGAAAATTGGTGCACTGTTCTTCTTGAAGGATGTGTCAAACAAAAAACTCCAAAGCAAGTTGAAATCGAGTGAGGATAATTTTACTAAAGCATCAAGACAAGCTGCTAGGGCTGAGCTTCTTTTGGCAGAGGAATCTGGGTAAGTCCCATTTAAACTAAACAGCATCTGGCTACAATAAATTTGGGATCAAAGTTTTAAATCTTTTGGTGCCTAATGTAATGAAATGTATAATGTACCCATTTTATACATATGCCTTTTTGTTCAATCTGTTATTGTTTAAAAACTAGAAAAGTTGTCCTGGCATTTTGCCAAAAAGTATACACTTCAAGCACATTGACTTTATTTTTGCATTTAATGCACTCTGCAAATTTAATTGTACTTCAAATGGCACTAGCTATATTGTTTGATATTCTGCTTTTTCCTCTCATAGTTTTCTAGAAGCAGATGAAATGGAAAGAACATACAAATTTACTCAGAAAGAAATATCAAAGTCTGTGGATGTTGCAAGTGCTGCAAAGGTGATTTGGTTTTCAACTCTTCTTAGCTCATCATTCATTTCGCTCATTGACTCATCTTTCTTTGCCATAGCCAATAGTTAGCATAAGGAAGGACATTTCACCTTTATATGATCAACTGCTCCATTAAACAGAGCTCCGTAGAGCCAAACCAGCTCCTACAAGAAAAATAGATTTAAAATTCTTTTTAAAAGAGAAGAAAAAAACAATTCTACTTTTGCCATCAAAGTAACTCAAGAAGTTTATGTTGTAATGTTGATGTCAGTAAGAACATCAATAGGTATAGATTTATTTTTTAGCCTGAATTACATATTGTCTTTTGTCACTTTTTTCATCAATGATTTTTTATGCAATGTGAAATGGCTAGCTGTATTTGTAATTTTCTTGTAGGTGTTTTTACTTGAATTTTTTCATAATTTTTTAATGGCTTAAGAAGCCAAATATTTCTTGAATTCAAGGAAAGTTGCTTTCTTCAAGTATCCTTTTTAGCAATTTCATATGTGCTCTTGCTAATTATCTAGATATATGGCTTACTTACAAATCTGAATTTGTTTACAGTCCTTTGAATTAAAGCTGGATAAATTTGGTCCATACAAAGTAAATTACACAAGAAATGGAAGGTAGAATTATATTTCTTATTTATGTCCTTCTTATAATAAGGAAATCCACAAAATTGAGCTACATTTATGCTAACTTCCACATTATCAGAATAGCAAATACCAGGCTAGGGTTTTTTCAACATCTTCTCAGAAAGTTTTGACATACTATCAGCAATGTGAAATTATTGACATTGAACTTGACATAATTCAATGAGCAAAGATGCAAGATAATTTGGTTATAATCCTGCTGTTGAAATATCTATCATCAGCTCTATTTGACTCTATATAACTTACTATGATTTAATTCATGGGGGTAGTTAGGAGTTTGACATTGGAGGGGGGGGGGGAGGCAAAAAAAAATTTTATAATCATTTAAAAAAGACTTACAAAAAGGTAACATACAATTATGTACACACTAAAACACTCAGTATATCTGCACATTGCAATTTACATGTGACGAACATTTGTTACACTGTCTGCAAATATTTTGGTTTTGGGGTCCTCTAGAATATTGGGGCCCTGCCCCCTCTACATACCCTTACCCCCTTATTTGATTTATTGTTCTTTGTTGATTCAATTAATGAAGTATTGTTGATGATTATTGCTTGATGTTGGGAGGAGTTGCTCTCAAAAAATCATGATAAACAGCTGAATTTTTATGACATGATTGAAATTTTTATTTCCAAGTTCAACCATAAAGTCTTATTTGCATCTTTTATTATGAATCATTTTGTAGGTTTCTCTTAATGGGTGGCCAAAGAGGACATCTAGCTACTATTGACTGGAATTCAAAGAGACTTGGGTGTGAGTTTCATGTCCAAGAAACAGTCAAGGATTTAAAGTGAGTCTTGGTTTGAAAATCTGTGAAGTACCTAGAGTGCCTAACAGGCAGACATTTAAACTGCATCGACAGTGAAACTATTTGAATTAAGCTTTCTCTGTTTCAAATTCCAAAATAGCATGAAAAATAAAACATTGAATAATACTTTTTATACTCTGGCACCGTGCATTATTTTGCTACTTCTTTGCTGTTTTAGTTAAGAGATAAAACTACTGATAGACCTTATAAATAACCATATGTACTGGACTCAATTTTTCCAAGCCATGGCCCTTTTGTTAGCTTCCTTGTGTTGGGTCAAAGCTGAACAGATGCATGTTATGTGTTTTCCAAGTTTAAGGGTCTCCACTGTAACAATTAGTCACTATTTTTTATAAAACAGAAAAAAGGTATAATTTTCACCTAATTGTATATATTTTGTTGCTATTGTATCAGGGGGTGGATTAGTATAAAAAGCTACTACGGTAGCGAGTGAGTAAAAATTCTTGCTCAATTAGAAATGTCTCACTCAATTAGATGGTGAAGTATACTTAAAATCTTTCACACTATTTCAGTGCGTCATATTTTGCAGATTATTTTTCAATGCATATATATGTACTTTCTTTAGAATAGGTGCATTTTTCTGCCACAATACTACTCCATTTGTGCTAAAATTGAATCTTGATTTACCCCCTTCTTATAGATGGTTGCATCAAGAAACACTATTTGCTGTTGCACAGAAAAGGAATGTCTACATTTATGATAACACTGGATTAGAAATACATTGTTTAAAGAAACATAGAAATGTTAACAGGATGGAATTTCTACCATATCACTTTTTGCTTGCAACAGTGGTGAGCAGAAGCGTTTTAATTCCCATTAAGATAATCTAAGTGGTTAGATGTATGGTAGGCCAATTTGAGGTCAACACTGCGTTGCAGTTTACTTTTAATATTGAATTTTAGGTTTCAATTAGAAAGTTTTTTTTTTCGTTAGAATAAATTGTTGATATTGATTTCCTATTAATACTTATGTTTTTTTATAGTTGTTCACACCTATATGGTACATTAGAAGTACTAAACTTGAAGCATATTTAATCATTGTTGCCAATATAGAATTTATCATTATTTTTACTAAAACCTTGGAGTTGTCTAGGCTAAGCTGCAACTAGTTTTGAAAGAACGGTTTATGATTCCAGCAGTTGTGGAATATAATTATAACATTCAAAATTTTATTAAATTTTGTTAAATTTTATAATAAAAATAATAATGATAAAAGCACTTAAGATTCGAACTATATTTCCAGGGCTCATAGGCGCATTTTTATGAAAAGTTCTTTAAAATGTAACTTCTTTATTAATGTTTCTTCTTTACTCAATCTTGTCACCAATTCTGTTTTAAAGTCTAAAAATTGTTGATATAAGCTCTCTCTAATAAGTCATTTTTTCTAACAATGATGCATTACTGTGTTTATTGGAAGCTAAGTCACTGCTCTTTTTCAACAGGGAGACAATGGTTACTTAAAGTACCAAGACACATCAACGGGAAAGATGGTTGCAGAACATGCAACAAGACTTGGGAGATGTGATTGTATGACACTGAATCCTTACAATGCGATCATCAACCTTGGTCATGCAAACGGTGAGTTAGTTGTGCCTGTTTGACTTTATGAAGTTAAAGTAAAGCAAACTGCTCTCATCTTCTCCAGTTCTTCGACTTGCAGCACATGTTGTTTTTATGTTACATTCTGACAATAATCTTCATTCCATGCAGGTACAGTTACCATGTGGAGTCCTGCTGTAAAGGAGCCATTAGTAAAAATGTTTACACACAGAGGACCAGTTATATCAATGGCGGTGGACAAAAATGGCCTGTATGTATTATCAATGACTTATCAATAAAAGAATGCATGTCATTGCTCAAATTACCTTTTCTTTTTGTTGCTCTTAGTGCATTTTAGCTTCAGACTATTTTGAATTTCTTAATCAGATTTGCTTATCAAAATTACGACTTCTGTTATTAATATATTTGTTATTATTGTTTAGTCTTTATATAGTAAAGCATATTTAATATCCTGCTTATTTAATATTTTAGCTTCTCTACTTCCTCTTGTTTGGAATTTTACACTGTGTTGTCGTTTTCTTTCAGTTATATGGCCACCTCGGGGATGGATGGTTTATTGAAAATCTGGGACATAAGATCGTACCAACCACTGCATGCCCATCGTCTGCATCGAGCGGCTCATAGTTTATCGCTCAGTCAAAAAGGACAACTGGCTGTCGGATTTGGACCCCATGTTTATGTAAGTTAATACGCAAGATCACAGACTTTGTATGTAAATAGAAGATGATGTACCCATATCCTCCTAAGTTGGGAGACTCTGTGCTCTGTCATGTTAATCATAGAATTAACGGTTATTATCTGACCAGAAATGGTTAAATAATGACCATAAAAGGTCATGTTATGGCCATAAAAGCCTACGCTACGAGTATAAAATGCTACCTGATGATCATAAAAGGCTACATAATGGCTATAAAAGGTTATGTTATAACCATGAAAGATAGATTTATGAACGTCCTACCATAATGAGTCTGCCTTTAAGCCTTTAGGGCTATGATTTTGGTATTTTGGGTTACGACCTTAGATTTTTTTACTTATGACCTTAGAATTAAAGACTGTGACCTCATGCAGTAACATTTCACTATAAACGGTACACATGTTAGGGTCTTTGCTCTAAACATTTGCGCTACGGCCTTGAAGGTTAAGATACTAGATATTAAAGTTCTAATTATATTTGAATCACTTCATTTTTCTTCAAGGTTTATAAGAACCCTTTTACAGAGCAACAGAAATTGCCTTATATGTCACATCTTATACCATCATCTGAGGTAGTCAGTCTGCAATTTTGTCCGTTCGAAGACATCTTGGGTGTTGGACACACAAAAGGCTTCACGAGCTTGTTAATACCAGGGTCAGGAGAAGCTAATTTCGATGCTTTTGAAGCAAATCCGTATGAAACAAAGAAGCAAAGAAGGGAACATGAAGTCAAAATGCTTCTTGAAAAGGCATGTTCTAGCACCTTTAATAAGACCTCGCTTTTGTGTCGATGCAACGTAAAGAAATAACTTTCGTTGTTTCGAATTTTGTTTTTCTTTGAGTTTATATTCTGTCGTTGAAATATTTTACATAACAAGCTTTAGAATATATATAATTATGTCTAAAATAGTAATAGATCAAACACAATTTTTATAAGAATAATATAGACTTTCAAAATAACCAGTTTACTGATTACTTCGCTTGTCAAAATGTTCACAAGATAGTGTTTTTTGAAGGCTGTAAATATAGAAGCTTTTTCAATATTATGTTTTCATGGAATTTTCAATCGACTTTTTAGATCCAACCGGAATTGATAACGTTGAATCCAAGTGAAATTCTTCAAGTCGGTTCTGCAGGCGGGGGTAACAGCGATGAGACTGAAACTGCAAAGGTTTGTGGTGTCTGTATACCTTACAGTGTTTGACTTTGCATTGTTTCCTTGTGTGTTCAACCACGTAGCTGTAGATGTCGGCTAGGGTTGGCAAACTCGAGCAAGAACCATACCTAAAGGGGGCAGGCTTTAAAACAAGAAAGCAGATATATAACAAACAGATGTATTTGGACTAAATCAAGCTCATAGAATTATAATTATGCCAATTTTTCACAATATCATTTGGAAAAACTGTAGCCAGAGGGGGCAGATTTTTGTCATCTAGGGGGGGGCACAGACCCCCAGTGCCCCCTGCAGCTACGTGGCTGCTGTGTATGAGTTCCAAGATTACCAACGAAAAACGCAGGCTACAAAACTAGAGTGGGACGAAATGCTGGGAAATTCCTTGAGATGCCCTTTATTGGATAGATGCATCTGCATGCAAATGGAGCTATATTAACCAAATAAAGTATTAATTTATAATATCGTCAAGTGATAGTCAGATAGTGCCCTAATATTATTATAAGTGTCAACATTTCTAAATTCAATTCCTGAAGTCTTGGTTATATGCAAAAGCTTTCATTTTTTGTTCAATTAGCAGAAATATTATGGAAATTATACTTAGGCAGAAAGATTTGGAAATATGTTTTCAAGAATAGTTTTTAGCTCTGTTTTGTTAATTTAGATCTAGACAATGTTTGGTAGCTCTTTTTCTTAATTAAAGAAGTTAATTCATGTTTATTTTTGTTTGAGAATTGTATGTCCTAGTTCGATAAAACCTTGACCGGAAACTTCTATAGATTGTAACTGCTGCTCCTACGGCGTAGTGGATAACACTGTTGCCTCTTACCCGTGGTGGGCAGACAAGTACCTGTTCAAGCGCACTACTTTAAACAAGGTTAGGGACCAAGAAGGCCTAGCTCCATCGAATCAAAGAAACTAATAGTTAAATAAAAGCAAACCTTGATACACAGCAATATAACATTGAGGTTGATGAAATAATAAACAAATAGTTATGTTTCGTTTAACGAGTTTCAGAATTAATAACCACTTAGAATTCTTGAAGCATGACAATTCACCTTTGGATGAATATGTTTCAGGGAGAATTTGAATTTCTAACAGTTTAAAGTAGGAAATTCTGAGTTTGTAAAGCAAAGAGTTTTTTATTGGTGGAACACCGTGACTTTTTGTTATTGGTTAGGCTGCTGATGATTTGTGAAGTTGATTGACGATTTATGCAGTTTTTCTGTTGTTAAACAAACATGTATAATATTTTTGTGACCTCCTTCTTTGTTGATTTGCACGCACATTAGCCTATAGTGCCACAAAATCTATCCTAAGTTTTTTTATCCCCGCCCAAAAATATTTCTAATTTGTACTCCTGTACGTAGAAATGCAGCTGCTTATATAAGATGAATGGCCTTCTTTCATTGAAAAAGTATTGATTTTTATATGCAAGCAAAAATTTCAGATCACAAGGTTGGGCTCTCGTGTTAAGAGACAGTGTCATTGAGAAAGTGTGTTTGAAGAAGCCTAGTCTAATCCATTTTTCGATTCTAGCCAGCAAATGCAAACTTTTCTATTAAAGTAAAATCAGCGATTCAACATTTTTCTTACGCAAATTTTTTCCCCCAACAGGCAACATTTGAACCGAGATTTAGGACTAAGGGAAAAGGAACTACGGTTAAGATTCATCAGCGGAAAAAGGGCATGAAAGGAGATTCGAAACGAGTAAGTTTAACCAACCCAGTTGATTTCCCAATAGCGGGCAACAGAGATTAAAAGTAGTTTGCTGCAGAGCCTGTGATTTAAAGTGTGACATATGTTTGATTATTTATTTGCCGTTTCTAAGTCTCTCTGAAGTCGTTTCAGCATTTTCTTATTTGTTTTTGTTTCAAAAATATTTCATACAGGCCTTGTTATGACCAATTACCTCTTCATTTAAAGCATTTCTGAGCAAGCATGTGCTTTGTTTACACCTGATAGTCTGTTACAATTAGAATGAGCGTAACATTATGGAAACATACGCCCCTTGTCTGCACATTGATAGATGATATATTTGTACTTATCTGAATCTAAGACTTAAGCCTTGACTTTTACCATTTAAAAATAATTAGTTTGGTACCGTTGATGACTGATGCGTTGTTTGTACGAGCAAATATTTGAATGCTATTAACACACACACGCTTTTCTACATCGCACATTTTTTGCGATTTTAATTGTTGATAATGTAACGAAAGCAAATAAGAGCTGAGATTGGTAGATGGATTTGACTTCGGAGTTTATCGACCATCAGTGGCGTTGCCTGCTATTGCAGTGTGACAGAGCAGTGGGCGTGTCCTTTGAGACCACACCCTTTTGCCTCATTTTTGTGCCTTATACCACGTGTGCTTTTCTTAGGCAAATCTATAAAAATATTACTTGCCTAATCCATTTTTATCAGTTTTTAGAAAAATCATGTGGACCGTGTTATGACAAAAGTACGGGTGATAATTACCCCCATACCAACCCTTGCCGCCATTGTGATGACCATAATCTTTTTCTTTAACTGCTTCGATTGACCCAGGTGCATAACAAGTTTGGAGGGATAAGATTGTAATATAGGCGCTTCGCGCTTGTAATTTTTCTAAGATTGACTTCCTTGTCATGAAAATCGACACAGTTTTAGAAATACTGCGTCAGTTTAAAGCCCCTTTATTCGCTACTTGGTTCGCCTGCAGTTGAAATCAATATTTGAATAATAGCAAAGTGATCCAAGTCATAATTACGTTGCAAGGTGGATCCGATACATATCATAATATGTGATGCGTGTGTTGTGTTCTCTAGTGCCGAAAATTTTTTCATAAATTGAGACCCAGTTGGTGAGCAAGAACCTACCATAATGTGGTCTTGGTCTTTAAGTTTCTAAAATTTTTTTGATTTTTTTGCATTCGGTATAAAAACTTACAATAACAAATTACCTAAAACCGTACGTGCGAACTACCAAACTACGTTACAAGGACGGAACCCAGGAGGAGCAATATAACATGACTGCCCCCTGGGATATGACATGTATCTGAATATAACTAATAATAAAACTTTAACACTACATATACATATCCTAGATTGGAATTGTTTAGTTGTTTAGTTATAAGCATTTCATGAACTGCATTATGATATACAATCATTACGATGCGTCTCTCATCTATTAAAAATTGAATATGTTTGGCAATACATCCAGTGCTCTTCAAATCTTTGACCCTTTTAGAATGAGAAGCATCAAGATGATTTCTCTCTGAGGTCACAATACCTGACAATTCTTTATTCCTCATAGATGTGATTGTCATACCCAGTAAATGTTTACGTTCCTTGATAGTTTTAGATAGGTTACAAATGAGCTGGATTAACCCCCTCCCCTGCCAAGCTACTTAGACAAAATTCTATTGAATGAAATATTATGTTTAAGTAATGTTTCGTTTATTTCAAATAGGAGCAAATCAGGAAAGAGGTGATGGACAAAAAAAGGAAAGAACGACAACAAAAGATCAAAGAAAAAAGAAAAACTAAGGACCTTGCTTTGGAACCAAAGTCGACCCTAGAAAGATTTACCCAAAAGAAAACCTGATGAAAACGTTGTTTGAAATCTATGTTTTTGAGTTTATAACATGATGTATTAAAGTATAGAGCGTCTGAGATTCTTAAGAATAGGGTTTTGATGTATCTGCAGTAAATATTCTGATGTATCTATTTTTCAAGCAAAAGGATTTTGATTTTCAAGACAACTTAAACTCGGTAGCCCTTTCACTCAACGTGATCCTGAGATGAAACAAGTTTGGTCGGTGTTATCTATAAATACCAGTTTGTGGATGTGAAAACAGTGAATCATTTCTTAGGCGGACCGTTAAAATTGCATATCCTGACGTTTTATAGACGATATAAGTGTACAAAAGCAACATTATAAAACCAACCAGAGATGCATACCTGTTGCCTTATCAAAACGCATCTGAAATTATAACAATACCTCAGCTTTTACACAAGGAAAGTATTAGGAAATTATTTCAAAGTTTTACACTGAAATTATTTCAACGTATTCAGTATACCCGGAAAACATAATTTGATAAAATGATAACACAATTCGTTGCTAGAGCTCAGCTTGGTTCAAAATAATCTATTAACTGCGCCGATTTACATTTTCCCTGTTTTGTTTATTAATTATTTAGCTGATGAAATATTTATCGATTCCATTTGTGATGGAAATATCATCTTAGGAAACCGGTCTTTTTTATCTCAAATTGTTGTCAAACCATAAAGGTTATTTGTTTTACTCATATATATACATGGCTGAAGTTAATAATGAATTATGTGTACGAATCAATTTTTTTCCTTTTTTGGCTGTCATCTTTTTGGCAATATTATTAAATTTTTTCTATATTCTACCGTTATTATTTGTCTTCGTTTAGTTCAAAGATGTTTTCTTGGGTGTTTTTGTTTCATTGTTCATTGTTTTCTTAAGCACACTTCAGACTTACCTTTCAACAGTTTCTTAAGGGAACTTTCTATAGTGGGAGTGATCTTTTATGATCTAGTTTTTATGTTTTGACCTTGTAACATTGAAGCTGAAGAATACTTACCGTAATGCCTCGAACAAGCGCCCCCTTCAAATAAGAGCCCCCCTCGAATAAGCGCCCATCCTTCAACCTTCAGAAACTGGCGCTTATTTGAATTTTCAACGAAAACACAATTGGCAAGCAATTCAACAAGAAAGATTAATGAACAACACAATTTGCACCCAAATCTAGTTTTCAAATAAGCACCCCCCTCGATTAAGCACCTCCCTCGAATAAGCGCCCATCCTAGAGCCTCTTAAATTAAATAAGCACCCGGGCGCTTATTCGAGTCATTACTGTATCGAAAATATTTGAATTTTTCTTCGAGAAGCTTTGGGGCCTCGGCTGTAATCTTGCATAAAAAGGGCTATTCAATGAAGGCTGTGATGTTAAACAAAATTAAAATTTTCATCACTGAGGTAGAAATGATTCTGCTATTTATCATTCGCTCTCTAACAAGCTAAAGGTTGATAGTGTCATGTGAATTCATCTTGAAGGTCGATTAAGTGGTTGCTGTGCATGCTGTGGAGCATCGAAACCTTGTCAAAAATAGTAACAGTCACGTGATTCATTGTTATCTTCACAACAGCAACAAATGATATGAATGAGTTCTACCAAATGGCTTTATGCAAGTTGACAATAATTTAAGATGAGAGACATGTTTGTAGTCATGCTTTTAGATGTGTTGGGTTTGCCTGTAAAATGCTAATGTTTATTGATTGCATTGAATTCTCTCATTACTGAGTTATTCGGAAGTTTCTGAAATGCCTTCACAGAGAATATTCGATTTTCGTGGTCTTTATTTATAGTTTAGTGAAATCGTGAACGATAGTCGTGAATTCTGGTATCTTTAATCCATTAATGGTGAATACAGGCTTGATATGAATGCGCTTTTTATTACAGGTATTTTGGGGGAGACTAGGCAATCCCTTATTGAAATTCAATGTCATTTACTAATAAAAGTCAGTACCTACCTAAAGAATCCGAATTCACTATGTAGGTAGCATTTCTTACGTACTCACTCTGCTATCAGGTGGCACTTTGGAATGAGCTAGACTCTCGTGTCTTTATTACCGACAGAAAAGTTCGCTGATAGTCTTTGGCGATAGATCTGGTACACTGAGTACGGTTCAGCATTTTGTGACGTAACACACTGGAAATCCACTTGTCGTGTGTGTGCTGTTTTTATGGTAAGTAATACATATTTTAATTATTTGGACTCCCCTTTATTACTATACATTTGTCCATCAAAATTCCTTCTAGAGATTTTACCCTCTAGGTCATTAGGGGGTAAAATCGACGTCTCAGACCCTAGAATAGCATATTGTCTTTTTATGCCAGAGTTTAGGTTTCTCTAATACACAATTAAATAGTGTTTGTTATTTTGTGCATCCTCAATCGTATAAGCTAGTTGGCAATAAACATCTGAAACATCATTTCTAATATTGACAAAATAGAGTGGCTTTCACAGGTATTACCGGCCACCAATGAATAACTTGCTAAAACTTCACAAACAAAAGTTAAAGCTTTCTTTTCACATCTACTTTGGTATTTATTTGACAGCAATGCCTGGTGATCTAGTTACGAATTCTGTTTCGAATGCTTGCTTTGCGCCAACCAGATCTGGAGCCTTGTTTGTGTATTTACTGCTGGTAATAAAGTGTATGCCAAAATGCTTGAGATACCGTGTAGTATTGATGTATTGCCATGACTTGCAATCAGTGTGCACCTATTTTAGCGATGCTCGTGCGGCTTTTTTGTATATTGTGTGTTTTGCATACTGAATTTACTGTTTACAGACAAATGGTGAATGCAAGGGAAATCAGCTGAGCTTGTGAGACGAAAGGGTCTGCTTAACTTCCGATGAAAAATTAAAAACCACAAGAAATTTACAAAGTCGTTCAGTTTGCGCTACTAGATAATTAGCTTCTTCAATTTTACTTCAAGTATTTCACAATATGTCTCGATAGAAGATTGATTTGAAAACATCGACCTGAGTAGCAAAAGGAAATGTTTGTTTTCTTTGATTTTCTCATGCATTTGTTTCATTGGTCAGATGCCATTAGCTAATGTACTATTATGTGTGCTACCTCTGCAGATTGAATTGAATACTGGAAGTTTGATTAATAATTCAAATTTAAACAGGCAAACATCACAAGTTCGCTAGCAGCAAAGCACAAAGAGATCCATGAGCGTCACTTCGATGAAAACACAAACTAATTACACAGACAATTTTGAACAGCCGGATCTGAATAAAGATCAGTCAATTTGATTGAAGACTGTTATCAAGTCTTGTGATGTAATTTGTGAGCAAGGATCTTTCAAAGGCTTATCGAAGAAAGAAGAAATTGTTATTTTATCTTGGCTGCTGCTGAATCTGATAGCAACTATGTTTTGTTGATGCAATTAGCCGGTAAATGTTGTGCCTAGACGTTTGAACAGTGAGCATACATTCGCGTCAGGGATCAGCATTGTTCATCGTGTTTGAATCTCTTTTATTAAATATATTCGAGGACTAGCATTTAATCCTTCGCGAACTATCTTTAGAGGCCAGAACTTCAGTGGAATTATTTTTAGACACGGAGTCTTGGAAATAGCAAGTTCCCAACCATGATCATTAAAGCTGTGAAAATATTGGTCTTTTTCGTTACATGGTCAAAGATCCAACTTTCGGAGTCCTCTGAATCGTGCACAGAGTGGCAAAAGAACACTCGTCTGGTGGCTTCGGTGTTGGAAACTGGAAATGTATATACAGTATTGCAGTGCCAGGACAAATGCTTCCGTAACCAGCTTTGCAACGCGTTCAACTTTTTTAAACAGAATGCCCCTCTGCCTACCAACAATTGTGAACTATTAGGGGTAACAACCGATGCAAGCATCACGTCAGAAGACGGATGGATCTACAGTAAGATAAACCGCACAGAAATTCGAGCGAAGTTTGTAAGTACGATATTTTGCTTAAGAAGTGTGTAATTTTAAGAATGAAGTTTCAAACGGCTTTTGATTATGGTTTCTATATTTTTTATGTTTTCTATTCTCCTGAAATGTTGTCTGAACTCTCATGATGCTTACCACCTTTCTTACAGCTAGGTTCGTTAAAGCTGCAAATACTATTACATGGAACAGCCTGTATGGATTGGCTGCTTTATCAACATTTCGTTTGATTAGCTAGATAATTCAAATGACTTTATAGCAGTTTTGTGTTCGTCAACCTCTTCTTTTTCTTAATGTTAAATCTCGTTTGTAGTTTGGAAATGATTGCCAGAAACAATGCGGTGAACGTCAAAAATGCAACAGGGAGCTTGATGCTTGCGGCTATACGCGTTGCGCTTGCAAGGATGGCTTTCTTGATGATGGCAGTGAAACATGTTCTCTTCGAGGTACCTTTGTCTATAGTTTGATCTTTGCTTTGCCTAATTGCAATCAATTTTTGTGATTCCTTCTAGCAAAGCCGCCGTCAGGCATTCTGTGCTCCGGGATAAAGAACATAACCTGGCCCTCACTAGCAGAAAATATTTGGGTCTACACCCATTTTAGGCGGGAAACGCCCTTTGACTTAGTTTTACGGACCCTTTTAAGGGCCTGGGCCCCGGGGTCATTGCCCCGGCTACCCATCTCACTCAGCGGTCCTGCTCTTGAAAGAGCTTGAAAGAGCCCTATGTTAAGGAATATTTTTCAGACTCAATAATACTACTAGTCGGTAGTGGCTTGAAAAATTGTCTTCTAGCTTATAGGCTAATTTGCAAATAAACGAATGGAATTGTAAAGAGAAATAAGAATTTTCCGTAAAATTTGTGAAGGGAGGCCCGGTAGCCCGGATGTGTCAAACTGTTAAAATGAAGAGCAAATCATAAGAGGTTAAGTTCAGTTCACTTCATTGTGTTATTCTAAAGAATGCTGCTGAAGAACTTTCATTCATTTCAATCAGCCTTCCATCTCCCTTCCATCCCCCTTCCATTTCCATTCCATCTCATTCCATCTCCCTTCCATTTCCCTTCCATCTCCCTTCCATCCCCCTTCCATCTCCCTTCCATCTCCCTTCCATTCCCTTCCATTTTCTTCCATTTCCATCCCTCCCACACCCCAATTTGAGAAAATTTGTGTAGGGTGTAAAAGGGAAATAATTTGACAACCAGCATATTGTCTACAACTGTGACCACAGCGTTTGTTTCGCAACTTTTTCAGCTTGCACCGCACAAGGATTGTTGAAGGGCAATAGTGGACGGATCGAAACCCCAACAACACTGATTTCTTTTTGTGGAGATCCAATGAAACGGTTAATCCCTGAATCTTTCACATGCTATTATCAGATCTTATTCGATGAAGTGAAAAACCTTGTTTTGCATTTCACCGCTTTAAAACTGTTTGGTGGCATCCCCAGTAACTGTGGTATAGCATCACAATATTTAGACGTAAACAACAGCACATACACTATGAGGTAAGAATATTGCAAATAATGCTTAATGGTTGAAATTTTTTCAATACCAAAGATTTATCTGATGTTAATTTTCTTGAGGCTACGTTTCCACAACTTTGAAAACGACTTCGGCCATTGGTGCCTAAGCAAAAGTCGAAGCCATTGAAAATTGAACTCAACATTAGAATGATGCAGGGTTTATCAACGATTGTTGGTAAATATAAATGTTGTCAGAAATACGATTTTAGAAACAGTATGATGATAATGGAAGGCCAAGAGGTGATGCAATATCAATTTTTCCATTTAATTAATTCGATTATTTATTAAACTCTTTTGTTCATAAATTCCAGCCTTCCCGATATTAGGGCTTTGTCCCGAGCACCCCATTTGGGAGATTCTGCCCCGATCTCATTAGAATCAATCGCATTACGTTATATAAGGTAAAAAACAAAACCAGTAAATTGATTAAATCATCAAAAAGCTTTATTCTGATATAAAGGGTAAGGTTGTATTGTACAAGGTGATAAAATTGCTTCAATGACTGAATTTTCCAGCAAACTAGAGGCATCAAAATTTGAAAATTTCTTCACCCTTCCGCAGCAAACATGTTACCGCCTTTGGTAATAATATATTAAGTGTGCTTGTTTATTGCTTCCGTCGAAAAATCTTAAAAACCTTACGAAACCTCATGCAATCTTATATTTTAGCTTATCCCTTTAATTCCTTATCCAGATGTACATCTGGATAAGACCACGTGACCGATACCCTAGCCGAAAATATTTTATTTTGGAGCTCCAAGGCAACATACCCTCCTTAACTTATGCTAAAATTGCTCAAATATGATTGGACAGTTAGAAAATTATACTTATTTGATTAATTTATGCGCTTCTTTCGTATAAATATCCCAGACAACGTGGGCCTGTAACCGCCATCTTGACTGATCTTGTTGCGTATGTCGTGAATGAGGCGTGTTTTTCAAAATTGATTTTAAAATGGATAATGAGAACGGACTTGACTCAGAAGATGAATTTGAGATCGACTGTGCCTTATTAAGTGGTAGAGAGGTAGAAATTCGGTTTGTAGCACCGCTGACGGAAAGAGTGGACGAACCAAGACGAAGGAAGCCCCGCAGGAAGCGACAAAGAGAAGAAAATCCTGAAACTTCGAATGAGAGTGGATCGTAAGTTTACATATTGTTTCCTTCAAACTTTTGGATACATTAGCGATAAAGAAGAACCATTTCTGAAGCTGTAGTGAAAATCTTAGAATAATGGCTAACTAAGTACGGCCAAAAATTTTTGTTTTTTTGGGAGTGGTTTTCAAGAAATTTTAGGCCCGTGATAAACAAATCAGCTGATTTTGTATATGGTGGCTCTGAACAGATTCACTTAGATTTCTTTACTATTTGTTGCACTACTGCAGAAATTACCAAATTATAAATCATCTTGTCTTTGCTTATTTTCTATATCTTTGTTTTAGGCAGAGTCTGGCTGGTTCAGGACATCCAGTTGAGTTGGACGATGAGTTGGACGGAGCTGTAGTAGTCGATGAGATCCATGACGAGTCAGAAGTTAGTGAAGAGGAGTATCAGGATAGTGATTGTAGTTTGGCAGAGTCTCTAGGCTACACAGGTGATAGGGAACAGAAATGGCTTCCACCACATAATGTAAGCAGTGTTGGCCCAAAAGTAGTTTGGGCGAGAGGCAGTGCCCCATGTAGAGCCTTAGACTTTTTCTTGCTTTTTTTTTCTTTTTCTTGCTTTTTTTTTCTTTTGATCTGATGGGAACCATAATTGAAAACCCAAACATTTATGCTGTGTATGGTCAAGGAATAGGTCAAAGCTACATGTCCCAGGACCATGGTTGCCATGTGTGGAGACCCATTGATTTGATGGAATTTAGGAGATTTCTTGCCTGTCTATTTTATATGGGTATTGTTAAGGCCCCTGCTAGGCGTAACTACTGGCAGAATGATAAGCTTTTTTCTGGTCTTCTTGGGTCAATGTTTATTCCAACATTTTCTAGGTATTGTGGAATACTTGCTGCCCTTCATTGTGTAAGCCCTGAGACAGAGGACAAAAGTGATCCTTTAGGAAAAATAAGGAATTTCTATGACCATATGCGAAGTCGCTGTAAGGAACTTTTTACTCCTGGTAAATGTGTGTCAATAGATGAACGTATGGTTAAGTCTAAGGGTAGGTTCTTCTTCAAACAATATATAATGAATAAGCCCACTAAATGGGGTTTCAAACTTTGGGTTCTAGCTGATTCTGCTACAGGCTACAATTGGGATATGGTGGTTTACACTGGTAAAAGCAGAAAGGATGATTGGGATGATTTCAGTGTTGTTGATAATAGTTTTGAAGGGATAGAAAGAGGACTTGGTAGAGCTAAGGCTTTTAATGAAAACCCCAATCCAGAAAATGCAGGAAATCTCATCAACCAATTAGCTGCCAGAGTTGTTATTAATTTAACAAAACCTCTGGTAAACAGGGGGTATGTTCTTTTTGCTGATAACTTTTATTGCAGTGTCCCATTGTTCCAATATTTGACTTCAGTTGGTATAAATGCTGTTGGTACTGTAAGGGAAAATTCCTCCTCTTTTCCTGAGGTAATGAAAAATAGGCAGTCTTGGGGGAAGAAACTTGATCGAGGAACAATAAGGTATATTAGAAATGGGGAAAAGCCGAATGATGTGTTGCTTGTACAGTGGGTTGATAGGAATGTTGTCTCTGTTCTCTCCACCTACCATTCTGCCAATGATTATGATTATTGTACAAGGAATACAAAGGTTGATGGAATTCATAAAAAGGTTAAGGTTTTGAGGCCTAAATGCATTTCAGATTATAATAAAGATATGAATGGTGTAGATTTATCTGATCAGATGTACCATATGTATTCTGTTCAATATAGGACTAAAAAGTTTTGGAAAACATTATTCTTTCATTTTGTTGATATTTGTGCTTGGGATGCATATGTGTTTTGGAGAGAGCTTAGAAACCCAACCCCTGAGCAGAAAATGCCTAAGAACTATTCTTTTCTTGATTTTAAAAAGGATTTAGCCCTTCAGCTTGCTTTTGTTGAGCAGAAAGCCATTAGAGCAGAACCAGAGGTCAGATCATTTGCAGATTTAGGTACTAAAGCTAGTAATGTAGAGGACTTCATCTGTAAGGCAACAGCTCATGCAGTAAATAGTGCAAAGCGAAGATCAGCAACTTTGAAGAAGGCAGTTAGTAAAAAGGAATTGTGGCAGAATAGATTAGAGAAAGGGCATTTGCCGGTGAAGCTTGAGAAACACCAAGTTTGCAAAGTTTGCTCAGTTATGAAGTCAGTGCATAGCATAGATCAAAGTTATAGAGCAAAAACCTCATCATTTTGCTGTGTTGTATGTGATATCCCTTTGTGTATTGGAGAAAGAAACTGCTTCTTGCTTTTCCATTCCCCAGAGTTTGAGCAGTACAAGGAAGCTTTCCTAAGTTACAGTCGTGATCGCTAGATTAGTTGTTGTTTTTGGTAAATTCATGTAGACTAGATAGAGAAAAAGCAAAAAAAAGTAAAAAATAAAAAAGCATAAAAAGTAAAAAAGAACATTTGGTTAAAATTACAATCTTTTCTCTCCAAGATTTTGTGTTTTTTACTTGTTTTCTTTCTCTTAAAAGTCGAAATCGAAATTGCACTTGCCAAATTGAATTGAATTGTTTTAGACCCATTGTTGCATATTAATTAATTAAAAAAAGACTGTTCAAGAAAAATGATTGATATTTCAACTCAGTGTGCTAAGACTATGACAAAATACATTATTGAAAGAAAAAAGTAGTTAAGTGTTTTATTATTGAAGATAATTGACCTTAATTAAAAAAGTTATTTTCTGTTATATTCAATTATGCAAATTGGATGCTAATTAATGTCCAATTATAATATAATTTTGACATAATAAGATCATTTGCATAAAATACAGCTATTGATGATTACTTGGGCAAAAGATCATCCAGTTATCTTGAAAAATCAATTTTTGCTGAATTTTTAGATAAAGTAGGCAAAAATCCTAAAATTCTGTCAATAACGAAAGGGTTATGCTATCTATAACTCATCGCTGAGAACATTATATTGTAAAACGAAAATATATAACTTCATGTGTAATTTTTAATTATGATGTAACTAAAAAAACAGAAAGACAATAATATCGAAACTTAAATGACGTCCATTGCGACGAAGACAGATTTTCAAAAATTAATAAAAAGGAGGGAGGGTCTCTGCAGATTTTGGCACTAGACACGCCCCTGTTTGCAATGACGGAAAAAGAAATTCAAAGTGTCATATTTGGGTCAAAAAACGCAAAAAGTATCTGCGTAGGAAAACAGAACGACGTTGGTAGGGTTGGGAAAGAACGAATAGCGAGCATGTTGCGAGACCCATTTTATAAAGGACAAATGCTTTTTGAGATTAACTCTGTAGAGTCTCCTTTACAAATCCTTGATATCAAGCTTGATTAGTTAAGCCATCTTTTTTAGTTATTTTAGTTGTAATTTATTTTTAAATATTTTATACATTACCGGAGCTTTAATCATGTTTCCAAATCTTTTTTTTAATCTCCAGTCAAGTCTTCACTAACATTTCTTTGTAAAGTCAGGTCATTTGGTTAAATCAAAATATTCTTCAGAAGAGTTACAATATTTTTATCGACAAATTCTTGTACATAATCAGATACTGTTTCTCTCGTTTTTTAGAATTTGTGGCGATTATGGAAGTAGTCCTGTTGGTATAAGTACATCTGGCATGAAAGTCACATTGAAATTCTTCTTCGACCGATTTACGGATTCTTGCGTGCAAATTATAGGCCAGTACACCGTGAATTAGAGAGACTGTTTTTTATGTATGTTTTAGATTCTCCAGTCAACTCCACGGTATCCATAAAACCTTTCGCATGAAAACATTTGAAGTAACAAATATTGTAACATGGTCTGGGCTAGATGTGGAAGCTAAAAAGGACCAGATTAAGGTGGGTGCTATTGGTGTTCCAGCATTAGGCCCCTTCCTGAAATAAGCCCAGATGAATACAGGCGAGAATTTTTCTGAAGCTGCAAAGGCAAAAAATAGGCCTTTTTTGGTTGCAGTATCAGACTCAATTCGAGCTTAGCCCGGCACTGCACCTGTTTACACGAGACCTGGACCAGATCGAATCCAAAAGTATCCGGATCCATATCGGATCCCTGCGGGATCACCTCTGATGGAAATCTCAAAAGTTTTGGGATAGCAGATGCAAAAGTATACGGATCCACCAGTTCCCGTGTAAACGCAATTCCAGGAGACCCAAGGTTTTGCCTGCTTTCTTCCAGTCTCCCAATTTTTTAAGGTTTTCTCCCTGTTTCTTCCGTGTCGTTCATTGAAGGTACTCTTATAACAAAAATGATTGCAATGACGTTTTTCGTGACAACATTTTTGTTAGTGTTAACAAAAGTGCTAAAAACCATAACGAAGAAGTTTTCTCATGTATTTTTTATCATTAATTGTTTAGTTCTATCATTTTATCTAATAACAGTTCTATCATTATATCTTGATTCAACAAATGCCGTGGATCTCCTGATCTGGACCGGATCTACTCTCGTGTAAACGGGGTCTAAATAGTTTTTGTTTTCAGTTGCTGGTCGTAAAGCCGCCACTTTTCAGGCTTCTCAACTTCAGCTTTTGGCGTTATAGTCATTTCCAGCACCAAGTTTTATCAATTCATTACATTTAATAAGACAATGGCGGATGGGGCTTCCTCACATTTTTCAAGGCCAATTTAATATTCAATTTGCATTAATTTATTTCTTGATTCTTGAGGGAAGGCAAAAAACCAAAGGGTATACTGCTTTCCCTTATTCGGAATCATTGTTTGAATATATAAAATATTTGAGGGAGGCACTGAGAAAGACACGTCCTATCATCGTTTTTATGTTGTTGCTGCTGGATTTGGTATAGTCAATGTTATCAGAAGGGTTCTTGTTAAAGATTCGTTGCTAACAATGAGCCATTGCGCTACGCAAGCATCCCATAATGCATTTTTAGACAGTCTGAAATCAATTTTGGCAAATCCGTAGAAGTTTACTGCCATTGTTTGGATCGTCGCCACCCTCGCCAATTGGGAAGATAAAGTAAAGATTAGCTCGACTTTGGATTTAGGAAGCACAATTTATGATATATAATTAGAATGGGGTTTTTAATAATTCTATAATTGTGTTGGCACCAATGGGTTATGGGAAGGTATTTTACCCCGACTAACTTTTGCCAAAATATGATTTCATTTCATTTTCATCAAAAAATTTAAGCTATTTTATAACAAGCAGAATATCTATGGCAGCTAAAAATATACAAAATTTAATCTTTGCTCATGTCATTCTCCAGTCCCCAAACTGTTACTGATTCATAACAATGAACACTTCATATTTTGATAAAATCTTATGTCGATGTTACAAATAAATTACATAAGTTTTATGCGCAATGTTAATTTTTCCCCCAATAAACTTGGACAGTGTATCATAAGACTAATAAAAGGTGTTCCCTTTATGTGAAGAATTAAAAAATTTACTTTTTTATCAGGTTCTTTAACAGCATGTAACAAGAGTAGATAGATGCCAGTATGTAATTATAAGTTTATTATTTTACCTTACTTCTGCTTTATTGTTGAAGTCAAGTTATAATGATTATTCTGCCTAAAATTTCAAAATTAGTTGCATGTTGTTGTTGTTTTCTTTCTAAAAGCACTTATACCTACTTGTAAGAAACAGTACATAACATTCTGAAACAAGCAAGAGGGCTGTAGGCCAAGTCTAGGGCCGTCGCTAGCGGGGGGAGGGGTGCGGGGGTGCGGCACCCCCCGTAGAAAATTCTTGTCGGCAAATTTTCTAAAAGAAGAGTTTTGTCGGGTTTTACTTTCGAAGTTCTCAATGCGATAGCTTTAGCAAAAAGTTTGGATAAGATGAGGGTAAGTCCGAAGAACTATCACCCAAAAACTCTCAGCAATTCAGAATAGGTACAGATGGCGTTATGGGTGTCACGGAGGGGCAAATGTCCACCAAAAATTTCAAATGACTCCCTGTCGGCAGCCGGAGTCTAGAATCAAATGTCCAATATCCAGGGCGACCTAATTTCTACCTAAAGTTTGGGGACAAAGTTTATTGAAAAACACTGAACGTTGATCCTGGAAGTACTGGAAGCCACTGTAAGCAGGGCTGCTGAGGGGAGCAAGGGGGCAAAGTGCCTCTGGGCCTTGAGATTGATGGGGCCTCAAGTAGTAATGAACTCCATTTCAAGAAAGAAATCAATGAAACATAGAAGAAGTATGCCTAAAAATAGTTAGAAGTTTTAAACGATTGCAAGAAATGACTGCAAGAAATATTCTGAAATGCATTTTAAGACAATCTAAAGGGCGTGGTCGCAAAAAATTGCTGATCGTTCCGCTCGCAGGGGCCCCGTTTCTCGGGGTTTCCTTCAAGGCCTTCGAAACCTCTTGGCGGTCCTATTAGTAAGATATACTCAAGCAAACTAAGTACCCACAGTCACTCTAAAATTGAAGCGATGATTGACTAACGAGAACATACTCTTTGATAAACAAAATCAATTGCGTCAAAATACCACACCCAAAAATTGAAATACCTTGGCCACGCCCTATTTTATCGGCAAATTTGTGACTGGCACCCCCCTAAGTGAAAATGATTAGCGACAGCCCTGGCCAAGTCTCTGCTTTAACCAAACCAAGGGGGAGGTAGAGGGGCAAAGGGCCTGGGCCTCTCTCCTAAAATAGTTTACCTATTGAGAAAGTTCCTCCTTTCAAGAAATTCCCTGCATACAAGTCCCCTTATAAAATTGTCAGTTTGTTTTTCCCCTATTTCAACTTTTTACTTTGATGTACTGTTGTTGTTGTTTAATTCCATAAATATACTAGATACATATATTCTATACAGGGTGTTATTTTCCCTGTGACCGCGTGACCATTGGTCACAAGAAGTTCACAGTCTAAAACTTTTCTCACAGGAAATTTTCAACCATAGATGAAATAACTGTTTTATACACTTCGCGAGAAGTTGGGCAGTTTTGAAGGAAAAAATGCAGGAAAATAGCTCATTACACTGAAAAAGATCAAAACTATTTTGGCACAGTGATATTTGGCTAGGGAAGATAAAAGGACCAGCTTTCCTTGCAAAAAGTAACAAATTACTACTTGATGCTACGAGTGTTTGAGATATTTTTCGAATGCATGCAATACATGAACTACTACACAAAAAGAGCCTACCTCCTATATTCATATCGTAATGAATTCCATTTTGAGAATAGAATTTAATCAAACGTTGCAAAAGTATGCCTTAAAAAGTAAAATGTTTAAAACAATTGCGCAAGAAATGGCTGCAAGAGATATTCTCAAATGCATTTTGCGCTAATCATTTTAAAGTGTGGTCGCAAATATTTTTTGCTCGCGCTCCTCCCAAGGGGCTGCTTATTTCGATTTCGCCCCGGGACAACCGAAACCTCTCTGTGGCCCTTAATACAAGCATGGCAAAATTTACTGATAAAATCTACAATTTTGTTTTTTTTATGTGACTCCTGTTTGTCTTCAATGACATAATTTTATCACATTATTGAGGATTTTGAAGCACAAATTGCCAAAACTTTTTTACAGGAAACTTTCTTCCGAAAGGTTACGGTCACAAGAGGATTTTAAAAATAACACCCTGATTCTAAATGTACTTACATTCATAGTTGCTGTTTGATGCTTATCAAGCAATGTCCTAGATCTGTGTCAATATTTTAGTGGCATTGGTATGTCCCCAAATATTGTAGAGGGTCCCAAAACCAAAACGTTAATAATGTAAGGAACAAATATTCACAGCATGTAAACTGCAATGTGAGGATGTTTGAAAATGTGCACTGATTTCTAAATTGAGCATGTGTTGCATCTTAACCCTCTTTCCCATAAAAAACTGTTGATTTTAGTATACCGTAAATTCTTGAATTGCCCCGCCCTTCCTCAAAAAAGTCCCCCCTTCGAATAAGTCCCCACCCTAGAAATACAAATTGTCAATAAGCCCCCTCCCCCTCGAACAAGCCCTCACTTCTATCGTAAATTCTCAAATGGGAACCTCTTAATTTGATGATTTTTGTAATCTGGGGTTGCCTTTGGCGTTCTATTGAACTACCGCAAAAATTCATACTTTTGGTAATAATTAGTTAAATGCTCATAAAGAAATTCCTTCTAAAATAAACGAGATCTTTTAATATTGCTTTTCAATGTCTACAATAGCTTTAAAAGCCCCTCCTTCAAAAAAGTTCCTCTCTCAAAAAAGCCCCCATCCAAAAATATCAAAAATAAATAAGCCCCCAGGAGGCTAATTTGAGGCTTCACGATACTTGATAAAATTATAAAACTTTTGCCCCCCCCCCCCAACTACTAAAATCCTTGCTACCCCAATAGATCAAACTATTCAACAAGGATCAAATACTCGTGATCAAACATTGCAGTGTCCTAAAACTGCCTTCAGATGTTAGGAAGAAACAAATACAAAAATAAATATAAACTATGTACATTTATCTGAGTATTTCCACCAAACCAAAATCTCTTAAATACAGCTGCTTCTATAGAATAGAGGCAAGAAAAAAATTATCTAACAAATTATCTAAACAGGTATCTAGATAAAAAAATTGCAACAAAAATTCTAATAAAGATATTTGTTATCAACTGAAAACAAAAGGGGCTGCTATTAATAACTCCAACATGACATAACAAGAACAAAATTTATGCAATAGAAAGACTGTCTTAGGGCCTGCAGCAGGAGATAAGATGTGGAACAATTTCCTAGATTTAATGGGTGGTGCAAATGCAAAAGCTTGTATAACTATAAAATGTTGTATGTTTGTGTTGCTGTTCTATTACTATTTAAACTTGGTACTAAAACATAATCAGCATGCAAGTACAATTTTTCAGCAAGCATATCATGAAAAGCACACAGAAACAACATCCCATATACCTCACAAATTCTCTCGATTCACACTTGGACTGCTAAATCTGAGCCAGATTCAAGAGCAAGGATATTTTCCAAGCTAAGGCTTGCATTTATCAAACATAAATGTTATCCAGCTGGAAACTCCTTGAAAACATCATCTAAAAGAAGAGTGGGCACACCAAGGTTCTTCAAAGTTAAGTAATGATCGTGATTGTGACCAAGTCTGTCTAGAATAAATCTGAATGTAATCTTTAAAAGTGATGACACATCCAGCCATATTTCATATGTAGAAGACGATCTTTTACCAGTATCATCAACTCCTCCAAATATATTCATACAGCCATCTGGGGTGACTGAGGCTGAGTGGAAATACAGTGGAACAGGAAGGACCTTGAAAGAATTATGTAAATCATTCATCAAACCTAACTCGAATCATAACAAGCCTTTGCTTTGTTATTATACATATATTGATATTTAGATAGACGAAAATAAACAGAATATTGTGACACAACTCTGAGTTTCATGTGTAAACAATCATCAGGTGTATAAAAGAACACAAATTAATGGCAAGCAAGATATAACAGTGAAAATGAATAATCAAACACAATCAAACGAAGTTAATTGTGTAGAGTGATAAATCATAACAACTACATTCTAAGAACAAAAATTGCTAATCAAAAGTTTGTTCTTTGATATTTAGATAACTTTACCTCCTATCATTTTCCCCTGGTTGCAATTGACAAAACGGTGAAAAAATGATGAAGAAGGTAGTCAATGTTCATTAGAAGTAGGAAAGGAAAGTAATCACATTTTATGCTTGTTTTATTCTACCAGTTGTAATATATGTAGAACTACCAAAAAACAACTCTAGAACTTCAATCTTTCAGAAACGGTTAAGCTATTTCTAAAATTCTTGAAACTGGAACTGCAAGAAATATGTAAATAAAAATATCAAAAGACATCAAATAAATTTTATCAACTTGCAACGATAAATAATAAGATAGCCTGTTATGATCTTTTGAAAGACACTGATTGATTCCTATTAATCACAAACTATTGATAACAAACTATGATATACTTACAATATTCAGCTTCTTCCATGTGAAGTCTTTTAAGCAAATACTCCATATATCATTGTACTTCAAAGTCGTGTTTTCATTGCAACCTCCAGCCATATAAACAACCCCATGCCATATTATGCAGCTATGTGCTTTTCTTGGGGAAGGGAATTGGCCATCAGGTGTTGGCTTGCATTCAATTTTAGTCCAACGATGTTTGGAAAAACTAAATTGCCAAAGATGATGAAAACCAAATGATTGTAATTGAACTGAACCACCAAATAAATAGAAATCGCCTTCAAACACTACAGTCTCGTGCCTGTACCTACCAGCGGGTACCACATCTGTTTGTATACTATGCCAGTTATTTTCAATTAGATCAAAATAGTGCATGTCATCAAGAAACTCTCGACCAACAGTGCCAGAGAAAATATATAATCTTGGGCAATTTTCAACAGCCGTTAACACCATGCTCTGCCCGTACCTTGCCAAAGGTGGTTTGCTCCCTAGCCTTGACCAGGTCTTCGCTTTGAGCGAATAAACCGACAAATCATTACTGTTTGTGTGACCAAACGGATACCCAGAGCCTCCAAAAATCATCAAATTATTATGAAATAGGGCCATAGAACTTGAGGCCGATTCAAAGCGAACACCCCTTGAATGCGGAAGTTCTGCCCATTTCCTGGAAATCGTATTAAAGCAAATAATTTCGGTGTATATTTTGTCGCTGGCACATCTGTCGTATCCACCATATACTATCATGTGATTTGAGGTGGAACATGCTCTGTGTCCACTTCTTGGCTCTGGTTTTTCACTGAAGACTTCCATTTCATGTAGGGCATCGCACGCCATTTTACCAACAGGCATCCCTGTGGTCTGGGTGGGATGTTGCCACGCAGAGGACGTTGAAGAGCCTCAGCAGCAAATGAACGAAAATACCTAAATGATAATTATCAGATAAAGAAAACTCTACTCTACCTCAGTCTTTTCGTTATCTTATTCACGTATAATTTCTTGTTATAACCAGGGGCGGACTGGCTAATTATTTTGGCCCGGGCAAATTTTGATCAAACCGGCCCACAATAATAGCAAATAAAAAACTCCTCGGAAGATACAAGTGAATGTTAGTCTGTAAGGAAAACAATTTTTGAATTCAGTAATTTAGTGCATGGATGAATGCTGGTTAACAGAATATGGTTAACAGAACATGTTAAATATGTCATTTGCTGACTAAACAGTAAATAAACAAAAATTTTATCTCATTGGTTCGACTCTGTTTCTTAATATAGTAACTTATATGTTGATAATGTGATCGTTCTGGATGTCATCTAACAGGTGTTTTTCTAAGAACATTAACATGAAGGACTCCAGGTTTGGCTGCGAAAAATTACAACGTAACCTGTTCTTTATATATTTAAAGTGGAAAAGCTTCTATCACACTCCACTTGTGACAAATAATTTTCTAATCCTCCGGAAAACCACAATGATTTTCAGCAACCCAAAAATATCAATTTGTCAATTTCTGACCCCAAAAAGGAAAACATGGGCACCCCTGTTGGAATTTTATCGTGTAGCACCATACCCCTGTTGGGCAGGGGGTGCATTTGACTTATGATAGTGTAGGCCTAATAAACTTTCCATAACTTGTATAAGTTATTGAAAGAAGCAAGAGCAAGACCATGCTGTTTTTGTGATGTTTGTGGCTTTTGCTTGATAAAAAGCTTTGTATCGTAGCTGAATCCTCACGAAATTTCTGTGCATCACCTTTGATTGAAGTCTTCTTGCTCTTCCCTCGTTCTACGTATGTCTTTTTCATTGCTTCAAATCACAGAGCAAATCGCTTAGTGAACTCTAATTTTTGGACTTTCAAATTTATTACATTAAGCAATAGCTTGTGCTTAGGCAAAAACATGACCAGCTTTAAGCAAAAGCTAAGTGAAAAGACATCAAGGCAGGTTAAAATCTTATGTATCGCATTGAAACAGGGGCGTTACAGTACAGTATAGTATGTCGTCAAAAAGGAAATACCGTCGAGAGAAAATATAACAATAACATGTTTCCTGAAGAGGTGTGTCTGGACTGCGGTGAAAATAATGAATTCGTAATTTTAATGGTTCTCGAGTACTCCCGTGTATATTTATTCTTTCCCACAAAGTCTCTGAAAATTCAAGGCAAACAGATCAACGCGTGGGTATACATTTTTGCCTCGCATTCACTTTTTAAGCTAGTTTTTTGTTGTTGCACTTTTATCAGCCGGCCCTCAAACCGACCGGCCCTTCGGGCGATCGCCCGAATAGCCCGACCAGCCAGTCCGCCCCTGGTTATAACCCATTAACCCCTGAGTCTAATCAATGTGAAGACCAGGGAGAGAGGTAAACAATAAATTGAAACAAAAATACAGTATTTCGACTCGTACTTCGACACAAAAGATGTCTATCGAACAGTGCAAGATCACTTACGAATCCAAAGAAAACTGAAAATTTCCCGGACAGTGCAGCAAAACTGTCCAGTTTTTTGCCAGAAAAGCTAAAAATGTCGTATCGACAGTAAATTGGCAATAATATTATTTAAAATTGCTATGGATAATGTTATAAGTCAAGTTTCTAAAAATATGCAGTGTATTAAGTTAGGACCAGTAGTCCCAGTAATCCCAAGGGCAGTGCCCCTGGGCCAGGGCCCAGATAGGGAACCTTACTAAACATTGAGGTTTCTTTTCTTTTGTAACAATAATGCATCATTCCAGGTAAGATTTTCTCCTGTAGGGGCTTCAAAGGACCTTAAATCTAATAGCAAAATATTTGAAATTAATTCTGTGTTGCTTATTTTTAAAAAGTCTTTTCGATGGTCTTGCATTCAGGCTAGCAAAGTTGGTCAGTCAAAACGACAAGAAGGAATGATGGCTTTCTGAATGACTTGGCTGAGCATGTATTGAAAGTGATGTTGATAATACGATTGACTTTAGTGATGTTTTCGTCGCTTTTGCCGTTAATTGGTGGTAATAGGCAGGGAATTTTTGTATAAAAATCTAGCAAACCGCTTAACCTCAATTTTATTTCACACACCAGCTAAATCGACCATAGAGATTTCAAATCCAAGATGAGCCAAAAATAATTTACACCGAAAGTTACTTGTTTTTGATGATGTCATCATAAACTGATACAAATTCTTCAAAAATCAACCAAAGACTTTACCTCAACTATTGCATTTCTCGACTAAATAAACTATGCAGATTTAAAATCCAAGATTGAACGGAGAATATTTTGAACAAAATTCAATTTTCTTGAAGACGTCATCAACTTAGGAAAATTCACTTTGAAGCGCATTAATTGTTTTATCGCAACCATTTTTGTCAACCAAGTTCGATATTTACATAGCACACATTCAGTGCTTTTGAAGGGTGTATAGAATTACTATTTTTCTTATCTCTAATCGTTTTCGCGTGACGTTGTTATCATTTTATGACGTCATAAACCTTGACAGGTAATTGGAAATCATGGAAGAATGAGCCTAAAAATGTTTAAATAGTAGAAAATAACAAGACAGAAGTATATTTTGTTGAACAAGAAGTGCTTTGGAATCCATTTTTTTTATCATTGTCTTCTTTGCTTTAAAACCCAAAGAAAATGAGTTCAACTCATCTTCTTCTGCCTCAAGTTAATCACTGTAATTTCCCATGACTTGATCTTCACTGTTTACGAAATCTTCTGCAATTTCATCGCCATAGCACTGCAGATCTTGCTGCTGTTTGGTGGTGTATGTCTGGGGCCCTCAAAATAAAGGATTAAAATAAATTTTGTGAAAAAATATTTCAGGACTTTGGTGGCTGACTCCAAAATTCTCTGCAGATATTCACAGCTTCTTTTATTTAAATATCGGAATTGTTCGCCTCAAGTCGTTCAAAAACTTGTTTCTCTGTATATCTTCTCAGTATTGTTTCTTATTTATTTATCAATATATGTATTTGAATTTGAATATATGAAGAAGTTTCTTTTCTTGTAAACCACATTGGTATGACCAGCTCATTCTCTCAATCTCAAGTCCAACAAATACTTCAAAGTCAATTTCTTTTATAATCTTATCTTTATAATAGTAAAGGAAAATTTCTTAGGATCCGCGGCCAAAAAGCCGGGACTTTGTTTTGACACTTGTTTCGACATCAGAACATATAAAGCATCAAAATAAAATTGGGGGTCCCTCTTGAAAATGCCTGGAACACCTCCGCAGAGGCCAAAATAAAATAGTAAATGATCTTCTCAGTGAGTCTCTATGTGGCTGTAAAACTTTTGTGACTTGTTCTTCCTTGCCTTGCATAGCTTTATTATTATCTGCACAAGTGTTTCGTAACATTTGCCTTTTTATGATAATGTTTGAATAAAGTTGGTTGCATTTGCGATAATTTCTTTGGCGATTTCATGGCCCTTCCCACTCTCTTGAGCAATTCTACCTTTCCAGAATGATTCTTTGACATTTCAAAACTTTCAGTCTCAAAATTTTGTAATACAGCCAGTATGTGCTTGTATAGACGGAAAATATTTGGAAATATCTTCTCACAGACAATTTACAACTTTTATATATTTACGGCACTTATTTCTCGTGGTCAGTTTTTAATAACCATTTTTTGAAGGCTTTTCAACGCAATAAGTGTACATGCAATGCAACCCTCAAGACAAGTACACCTAGTGTCTTTTTTTCACAGTTACATATGTCCAAAAAGTGCTTTTATGCTATCAAAATTTTCAAGATATGATTCTCCCAAGGTAGCAGCATAGTATTTATTGTAAACGTACCGTATTCAATTTTCAGAAATATACGAAAAACTGGTTCTGAAAAAAGAGAGAGGACAAGAAATTATTTTAAAAAAACGTGAATGTGTTTTATGGTTTGTTTGTGTTGCATTGTTGCCCTGTGGTGGCGTCATTCGCGCCAATTCAAAACAGTCCGAACCGAAGGTGAGCTTCAAAGATCGTCAAACTTGTGATAACTTCTCTCTTTGAATAATCTGTTAAATATCTTTTTCTGTAGAAAAGTAGTTGAACGGTAGATTTTGATTAAAATGGGTCCATAGCCAAGTTATTACTGCACTGTTTTTCCTTTTGCGCGACACTCTTTGTTTGCCTAGGCCCATAATATCCGCCGGTCAGTTTTAAGAAAAGCTTTAGCTTCTGTTCAGTTTTAGTCGAATGCTCTGTTCTGTCGCGCAACTTCCATTGAGGTTGATGAGCAAGAATACAAGTTTGATGAATCACGAATGAATTGCTGTTGGTGTCTAATTGATACTTGTCATTCCTGACTGAATACTAGTATATTTGTATTAAGTGACCATGCAGGCGGACACGAGGTGTCCGTATTCAGTAATCAACTGGCTGCTGTGGACGCGTCTGGTATACTTGAGTCACTACTGGTAAAATTCTGAAGAATATTTAGCCAGGGGGGCAGTCTATCGTTTTTTAGTTGAGAATTTCCTCACAACTATTCAATGGCTTTCGTCAGTAGAGCTGTCAGTATTGTGCGAATTTACACTCATTTTATAAGAACAATTTTATAAGGACACGAGCTTCAAAACTGGTCAAAAGTTAAGAACAAGCTGAGGCTGAGCTTCTGCAAAATGCAATTTTGAACAACGTTTTTTCTCAAAATCGAGGATTTTTAAAGGGGGCTTTTTGGTGAATATTCAAATTTGTCAGCAAATTAAGGCTGTCTCACTCACTTTGTTGGCAAATTAGGCCTGAACACCTCCTTAGAGCGAAAAAGCTAGCACTCGCACTGCTTACACCCTCTTAATTTAAGAACAAATTAAGAAAAATCCAGCCTCAGATTTTCGAAAAAAATTTAGAACAGTCAGCCTGAACTTAAATTTACTGGTTCTTTAAAAAAAATGTATTGCATAAAGTCTTTTCTCATTTCTTCAAGACTAGACAAAATTGAAAATTATCTGTCAAATAAGAAGCTAAAATTTTTTCAACTGTCTGGTAAAGTATCATATGACCACTCTGACACTATGTTAAACATGGACTAGACTGTTTATTGCAGATGTTGTCAAACTGTTTTTAACAGAAGTGGCATTGCTTATTACTATCAGCAATGTTTGTTATCTTTATGACCTGCTTGTTATGACAACAAAAGTTGACTTGTTAGTACAGAGCAATGAATCATCGTTTGCTGTAGGTAAAATCAAGCCCCCCTGGATGAGCATGATCTATGTCATTGCTCACGGTGAGCAGTTAGTTTGTGGTACTTGCTGAAAAGTATAGTAAAATTATCTTTCTTAAGCAAGCTATATGTTTGCTGCCTTTTGCTCTTACTGATGCCACACATGTTTCAAAATATTGTACAAGAACTATCACAAATTGTCAATAATAAAGATGGGTGGCAGTTGTATTTTTAAACCTGATATGCAAACATTCTGTTGATGAGAATATTCCAAAGAAGATGTTCATAGATGGACAGTCAGGTGGATGAATACGAAAATGATCTGGCTCAATTTGAAAGGAATGATATCTTATTCTATCAGGATAACTCTTTTGTTCTTTACATTTGTGGTTGTTGGAAACATCAAATTTTCTAATGGGCAGACAAGCACACAGAGTGCATGCTATGATAAGAATGGCATTGCAAAAACGTGCCTCACATATCCAAAAAATGTTGCCCTGAACCGAAACATACTTGCAACAAATACTTGTGGAACTCCAAGTGAGACATTTTGCCAAATTGGCGGTACCCAAGACTCTAGATGCAAAATATGCAATGCTGGAAGCCAACAGAATAGCTACCCAGCAAAAAACATGGTTGATTTTCACAACCCAACAAACATAACATGGTGGCAGTCATCAAGTTGGTGGCAAATGAAACTCAAAGGCCAAGCAACACTAGCTAATCCCCCAAAAGTGAATGTCACTATTAATTTCAAAAAGCTTTACCTAGTATCAGGAGGTGTAAGGGTGACATTTTATTCTGTCAGACCAAAAAAGGTGGTAATTCAAAGGTCTAAAGATTATGGAAACACATGGACTAATTACCAGTTTTTCGCTAAGAATTGCAGAGATTCTTATGGTCTTGTTGCAGATCCTGTTATAAATGCTACAAATAGATTTCATGCCACATGTACGCAAAGGTTTAGCAGTGAGCTGCCCTATGTTGGTGGAATGGTCGTGTTTGACACCAGGCTTATTAGATACCAAAACAATGAGTATTTAGACCCAAATGTGCAAAATTACCTTTCTGCAACTGATATACGACTTCTTCTTGAATATCCAGGGACTGATGGTAGAGAAAATATTGACAGTGCCAGCACTTTAAATCAGTATTATTATGCAATTTCAGACATTGTTGTAGATGCAAGATGTCATTGCCATGGCCATGCTGAGTATTGTGACTTTAATAATGGTACAGAGGCCTGTGATTGCAAGCATTTCACAACTGGCAAAGACTGTGAACAATGTCTGCCCTTGTATAATAACAGAAAATGGATGGCAGGAAATGAAACAGACCCAAATGTTTGCAAAGGTAAGTTTTCATGTGAAATTTTCACCTGGGTTGTCAAAAAGGCTATTATACAAATAAGAAAGTACTAGATTAAAGATTTTTTGATTGAATACTTTTTTAGAACTTACATAGGATAATGCAATATGAAATTTTGTTTTTAAATTATTGATCGAAATGCTTAAGCAAGGGTAATATCTATTTTCTAGACAGAATAGCAAAGCCTTGAAGACCTTTGCACCACTATAGTAAACATTCTCTTGTTGAAGTGACAGGTGCATGTGTAGATTTAAATCATTGTATCTTAAAGATTTTTTGTGTGCTGGTCTCTCATTGTTATTATGATGAACAAAATTGTCAAGATATGTAGCAAATTTGCTTAGTTTCATGATATGTATGTGATACAGTTGGTCTTGATTGGTAAAAGATGATTGCAAGTGGTATCTTGAAGTGATCAACTGATTCTTTCAGAATGCCAATGCTACAGTCATGCCTCATCTTGTGTTTACAACCAACAACTTGGATATGGTATTTGCCAAAACTGCAAACATAACACAACTGGATCAAGCTGTGAACTCTGTGTTGACAAATTCTATCGCAATGTCTCTAAGCCACTTTTTGATGTCAATGTGTGCATTCGTAAGTATGAGTCACAACCCTTCTCTATGAAAATGTATGCAACAAATTGCCTGAGAGTCCTAGCTAAGATTTGTAGAATTAAGCAGAAGTTTCTGAAAAAAGCTTTGAAACTAGATGCAGAAGACTTGAACAGTACATATGTAAAAAGTAGGACTGGCACAATAAACAAAGATAGTTACATCATTCTCCATAATTTCTTAATGCTTTTTTGGTTTTGAAAGTTTAATGATTTTCCCTCAAACCTTAAGCCACATTTTGCTTTGAATGGCTTGGTTAGTCCTCTTCCCTTGGAACTATTGTTAGAGGTTTACATTGTTGTTTATGGATTGAATGAACTTTTATTTGAAATGCAAGTTTATAAAGTGTTTACTGTCTCAAAGAATCATAATTAGTAGAAGTTTCTAGGATTTGTGAAAAAACTCATATGCCATTTGCCAGAGTGAATTGCCCCTTGATCCTTCCTTTTAGTTTTCAATGCCCTTCCTTACACTCCATTGAACACCATGTGTTTTCTAAATACAATTATCTTTAAAATAATGTACAAGGGGTCAGGAAAAGGGATGTCATGGATTAATTTTTTTCAAGAGTTAATAAGTTGGGGGGGGGAGACATTTATTTTGGACTCGAGAGTAAAGATTATTTGAGCCAGGCCTTTTTTGGTGTTGAAAAACATATTCTTTAAGTATTGCTGAATCCAGCTACCATACAAACATATAACTTTTGCCACTAAAAGATGAGTTTATGTGGTTTGTGTTGCCTTTCTCTTAGCTTGTGACTGTTTTATGTTTGGTGTACAAGACAATGGTAGCTGCTTGCAAATAGCCAGTAACAGCCAACAGCTTGGCCAGTGCAACTGCAAGCCTGGGGTTTATGGACGCAGATGTGACCAATGTGTTCCTGGAAAATGGGGCTTTGCCATCCAGCCAATTGGGGCTTGCTTTGGTGAGTGTCATTCATTAGGAATTCTTGTGTCGCTAATATAACGAGCCAACTCCATTATATAGCAAGCCTATCGAGTCTATGTTGCCTTTCGACTGAGAAACCTGGGCCCAATATGCTTTTGTCTTCGTTTGTTAACCTGCTGCAATCAAGTCAATTACGAGACAGCTTTAAGTTATAATTACATTTTCAGTTTTTAAACCAGTTGAATTTATTCTTTATTCCTTTGTTAGTTGCACTGCATTCAGATTGTATGTGTGCATTTTTAGCCTATTGTATGCGTTCATAGCCTATTTTCTTATATCGAATTTTTATTTTAGCAGCCCAAGCTTCTATTTTCTAGATAAGCTTCTATTTTCATGGGTGACAACCCTTCTCAGCTCAAGGCTTCATCCCAATTTAAAATACAGCATTTCAACAAAAACCTTCAAGATCGATTTTATATTCAAATCAAAAAGAAAATCTTGATAAATGTTTTTGGTACATGGAGGAATCCTACATTGATGATTGAGCGGTTTAAGTTGGCTCAAATGACCTCTACAAGTGATGTTGAGTAACTAGAATTGGACAATGTTAACTTCATTTACTAAGATATTAGTATTTTTTTTGACAAAGATATTGCTCCTTCTTGCAACACTGAAAATGTGACAAACAAACTAGTGCAGATTGCCTAGGGTTACTTTGATTAGAATTTCAGCAACTATATAACTTTTTGCTCCATTTTGGAAAAAAACGTCAAATTTCAATCTTTCTGATGTCACTGTGACAGTGGTGCGACACAGAGCTAGGACCAACTCGCACATTTCAGGAAAAGCAATTTTTTTAAACGACATATATTTGTAGCCGGAACAGTACAGAAGCATGATGATCGCACAAAGCGTTAAACTCGAAGTAGCAACTTAGAACCGTCCTGTTCTATACACCAAATAGCGTGACTTATAACTGTATGTAGATTTCAACAAGTTCATCTTAAAAAGGTCTTGCTCACATTCTTCTATAATGAAAATACGTATTATCAGAACTGTTCCTTTTTGTATTCAAGTTTTCTTTTTTTGTCCCCGCAGACTGCTTGTGTAACTTCTATGGAACTGTTGGCAGCAACCAAACATGCGATCCATACTCAGGCCAATGCCATTGCAAGCCCAATGCACAAGGAAGGGCTTGTTCAGAATGCAAGGACTCCTTCTACTCATTTCCAACAAACACAACAGCAGACTGCCAGCCTTGTAATTGCGATTTAGCTGGAGGATTTCCTGTTTGTGACAAATCAACTGGTACTGTTTGCTTCTTTTTGCTGTCTTCTGTCTATTTGTAACCATCTTATTTTCTTTTCTTTACCAATCTTTCGGGTGTAGGTTCGGAAATAAGAAATTATTTTGTTGGAGATGTGCTTGTTAAATCAATTTTGGTAATAACAGGGAATTTTTTGGATAGCAGAATCACCACCGACTATTCTTCGTTATAATTTCGTTTCCAACCGACTCAGAATTTATCCAGGGGATGTGACTCCCATTCACCCCTGAACAGGTGCTGTGTAGAAACAGTCAAGATGAAACAGAATTTTTTAGCTTCTTCACATTTTCTTCCAAGCATTGCCACTTCAAAACGTTCAAGTGACTTTTCAAAAAATAATCGATAAAGATATTTAAGATCATTTGAAACCTTGCCAAATCTGAATTTCCCTTTTAGAATTTCTATTTCAAATCATGTTGCCAACTGCAGAAACTTAAGCCCAGGTTTTGAATAATTTTTGTAATTATTTTCGCCAGGCCTCTGCACATGCCGACGTGGAATAACAGGGAGGCAATGCTCTGCTGTTAGCAATGGATTTTACTTTCCAAACTTCACACATGTCGCTTACGAAGTGGAAATGTTATCGCAACAGGGGCATGAATATTTCTGGCTCGAAAAAGGGTACAAGTCTCTCTTTCTAGGTGAGGAGTGCCTTTTATTCACCTTTATTCCTATCAATTAACATTGTTTTTGAATGATGATGCAGGTTACAGACCAAGGGGTGACTAGCAAGGGGTGCAGGGGGGTGACATACTCCATCCTCTTTATGAGTTTGTCGGTAAATTTTCAGTTGGCCTACAAAATCTTTATTTTGTCGGTAAAATCGTCTATTGGTAGGTCACCAAATATTTTTTTCACTTATGTCTTCGTTTGTAAATTTACCTTATGATAATCCTCCGCCCCCTTAGTCTAGAACGTCAAGCTAAGCCACTGTTAATTGCAGCTTTTTGTGAACTGTTAGACAAGTAATGCATTTAGAGGCGCTCAACAATGTCATATTGAAATCTGTATTTATTGTTACCTTGTTTTCCGAATATAAAAGAAAGGGGTGACATAAAGACAAGACTACACAATCAAAATTAACATAGACAGGATTGTAAGGTGAAGGGTCCCTAGAGAAGTCGTGGAGGTATAAACACGAAACATCTTTCATAATATGCAAATGTTATCTTATGTAAACAGAGAGAAACTATTTAGTTTATAGATCTAGCTTATTTTGCAAATTTAGACGTATTTATGGCGTCCTTTCAGACTCTACGTTCAAAATCAAAATTTTCTAAGAATATATTTTTGTGACGTCATCACTATATTATTGTGTTGCTTCCATAGCTATAAGCTTTTGCCAATTCATTTTCAGGTATCGGTCAGATTAAACTGAGGCCTGGGCATTCCGTCGTTTACTCGTTTCAAGTACCTGTTACCTATCAATATATCATGGTTATTCGCTATTCTCTGTATCCAATATCTTGGCACAATACTCTTTTCCTGTACGATGCAGAATCGTTATCATGGTCCGGGGCCTCTGATATATCAACATACACTTCAAATCAAGATAATCCTTTGCAGTGGAATCTAACTGTCGCTGTTTCTGGTCCATCAAATTCTCAGTTATTATCCAATCAGTTTTCAATAGGATCTCTCAGCGTTGGTGAGGCTAAAACCTGGAATGAGTCCTCATCTACCCTGTTGAGTGCTGGGCTAAATTACAGACTGGATTTAAGTTATCTAGCTGGCAGTAACTCAGGATCACCATGGCCCATCGTCATTGACTCTGTCATTTTCATGCCAGATTTAATCCAAAACTCCTATTACAGTACCCAATCTCCAGCAGCAAAAAGTGAGATTCAGAACTGCTATGAGCTGTCCAAAAGTCTTTCAGCTGCCTTCGTATTACCAGCACAATGCAGGAAACATGTTTTTGGTTCTAGTGTTATCATGTATAACGGAACACTGGGTATGTCTTTCAAAGTATTTCCTGCGCTACAAAATTCATTGTTTACTGTATATACTATATCATGTTCTTTGCGATTATATCTACTTATATTCCAACCCTAGCGATTAATAGGGAATTCTTCGTTTTAAGATGTTGTTTTTATAATTCTTCTAATTATAGTTTTTTAAGCACTGTTAATTGACTCGGCCAATTTTGTTTTGATTTTATACATTTTCTATCGCAGCTTGTGACTGTTTTACCCCCGGTTCTAATAATCCAAGCACCTGTGAGCAGTATGGTGGGCAATGTGGCTGTAAGCCAGGCTACGGGGGTCGCAGATGTGAGCATTGCTTGCCTGGGTACTATGGCAACCCAAGCACTGGCTGCTCTGGTGAGTCATTTTTGCTACCAAAGCAAAGAACCATCCTTTGCTAAAGACCAAAGCATGTACAGTTCTGCCTATACTGCATCGAGTACTTTAAGACAGAGTGATAAAATACTAATTTTTATTGGCTACCAAGTTTTATAGGAACTAAAGCGGAATCTTAAACAAATTTCCAATTTAAATTTATATTCCAAACTTTAAAAGAAAGCTCAAGACACCTATATCTGTCTTTGTTAATAAGTATGCTTCCCATTTATGCCAGAAGATGTCATGAGAAAACTCAAATTCGTTTTACCTGATGACAAAACTCTCTCTGATGACATTTTTGATAATCGATTTGTTAATAACCTTTCTTTACAACATCACTCGATGCTTTTGAAAATAGTTTAGGAGAAGCAAATAACCACATATTTAGAATTTTACACAAGTTTTTTATTTGTATTAGTTTCGTCTGAATTTAAATTTTTTCAATTTCCAGCTGACAAGACTTAATGAATTAAAACTTCATCTCCTTGGCTAGCAATTAGTTATCAAGAATAATTTTGAAAGATAAAATTCATCTATTTTTTCTAGATATAACAAAAAATAAAATTACAGATAATTTACTAGATATCTTTATGAAAAATTCCCTTTTTTATTTCTCTCCATTCAATGGACAGGTTTTTATATAGTGTTCAATTGCCCTTATGCTTCAATATCTTTCTTTGTAGCCTGTAGATGTTCTTTGGCGGGCAGTCTCACGCCTGTGTGTAACCAGACGACAGGAAATTGTTTTTGCAAGGCCAATACACAGGGTAGCAAGTGTGAGAACTGTAAACCAAGAGCCTTTGCGCTTACTGCTTCGAATCCAGATGGCTGCCAATCTTGTTATGGTTTTGGGCACCTTGTTTCATGCGCTGCAGCTAGGCAGTTTTTCAATGCTGATTTTGTCAGCAACTTTACATGTAAGTGTTAATGTGTGTCTGTGTTTCCTGGAAATGGCCGATATCTTTTCGATATCTCTTGCAATTGAAATTAGGAGCATTTTTGACAGGTTTATCTTGAACAAGTAGCTTGGCCTGAACTAATCAAAAAACGGAAGAGCTTAAATTGTATCAACATTTTTAGTTTTTTATCGATCGTCCATGCACCCGCAATATCAACACATGGCCTTAGATAGATTCTTCAAGAACAGTCTCCAAGTTTTGTGAGGATGAAAGCACTCATCCTCTTTACATCAAAACAATGTGTTGAATCGCATAAATCGCATACTGAAGGCAAAAACATAATCAATAGAACATCCAGTCCCATTTTGTGATATTTCAATTCAATTTAAGCTAATTTGCAGAGTATTTTTCTTGTAATGTATTTATCGCCAATTTGCGTTTTCTTACCGACGTTTCAATTTAATAATTTCATTTGAGAAACTGCGCACTCTAAATCATGTTAACATTTATATTTCAGTCGGTCGTAACGCTGGCTGGGTTTTGATCAACAGTGATGGGTCAACTGCTTCTAGCTTTGTTCAGCTTACTTCAAATGGACTGCAGTACACCGATGAAGGTGGCAGGGTTCGATTTTTGAGTGCTCCATCACAGTATCTTGGCAACCAGCTTAATTCGTACGGTCAATTGTTCACTATCGAGGTTTGGAATTTTATGATATGAATTTCTGTTAAATTTTTAAGCTCTTCTACTCATCATTTTTATTATTTTCATTTCACTTGAATCTAAACAATATTTTTACGGTTTTATCTTCTTTATAGTGTTAGAGAAACTTGCAAATGTGCAAAGCAACGTCAGGCTAATAGATTTTTACTTCATGGTGGAAAAATTTGTTTTTCCTTTGTGCGATTGAGTTTTTCTAGAATGCTTTAAAAATAAATGCTTGATACGGCATTTATCAATGACAATGATATGCGCATAAGTTTTAAATGTTCTTTGAAATATTAAAATGCAATTATGATTGGTCAGATGGGGTCATACTATTAACAGTATTTGCTCACAGATAACAGCTTACAGTAACTGCAAAATAAACGAAAATTTGGCATTGACATCTCAATTGATCCTCTACTCTAAGTCATTATTGTACTATATAAGATAGTATTGAAATAATAATGATAAAAAATGGAATTGTTTTCAAGTTTTATTCTTGAAATCTTTAATTGCAAAGCTTGCTCGATATTAACCTTATGATAATCAAAAATCATTTTGTTCTATGCATGAAAGCGTGTACAGCTTTGCCTTTATGACAGACCGGTAAAACAGTAATTTTTATCTTAACTACATTGGTATAAGCTTGTTTTAGACTTCTTTGCAAAGCAAACTTAAAACATAAGCTGTTATGACATCCAACCTACTAACGTTCTCTCTATTGCCGTTGATGTTTAATGCTGTACAAACTTGTCATATTCAGATGAGCTTTGTCGCTTTGTCACCAACAATCCACTCAAGGCAATGGCATGTCAGGCTAACTGGTGGTGGGATGACAGCAGTTTTTGCACTTTATCCCAGAATATCAACCGCGAATTCTGTCTACTCATTTCGACTACATGAAAAGTTTATGGCTAACAGCTCCAAATTGTCAGAATTCGACTTCAAAAGTTTGATAGGTAGGAATTTATTTCATAGCATCCAAGGATTTTTCTTGTTAATTAATGCTAATGATTCGTGTTAATTTATGTTAATTAATCGATTGTCGCCGACTCCTGCCCTGGTCATGACACCCCTACACATTTTCTCTCAAAATATTTTTCCAAACCCTGTTCTCCTATCACAAGTAATGTTAATGACAATACTTGAAATGTTTAGATTTTGTATTAGCAAGCTATTATCTGCTTTTGAAATTTTTTTAAACTGGTTATGGAAAAATTGTGTTGGAATGTGTATTTTTCTTTCAACATCAGTAGAAGTGAATTCAGCGGTGTGCAATCTTCGTTAAGTCTTTTCTCGCTTCGTTTCTCACAACATAAGATAACATTTGCATATAGTGAAAGATGTTACGTGTTTATACCTCCACGACTTCTTTAGCCACCCTTCACCCTACAATCCTGTCTATGTTAATTTTGATTGTGTAGTCTTGTCTTTATGTCACCCCTTTCTTTTATATCAACACATCGTCTTTTCTCGCTTCTTTTCTACCTCTTTGCTTCTGTTGTGTTGCTTTATTACATATCAGGCATTTCACCGTCAATACCATGTTAGTGAAAAGATTAACAAGAAATATTTTAGACGCAATATTAGCTTTACTAAATGAATTCAAGTGACGGGTAATCTCGATTCACGTATGCATGATTTTCAAGTAAACAGAAAAATCCATTATTCAGACACACCAGTCAAAAGAAATTTTAGCCATCTTTTTTTATTAGTGAATTAAACTTTTTTTCCTAATCCCCGTGTTTAATAGGCATTTTATGTAAATTCTAGTTTTTTTTCATTTGAAAACATTTTGCACGGATGGAACTACTTTGAATGGGCCTGCCTCATTTATGAACATCCATCTGTTTCCTTTAGGTCAACTCAGTTCCATTCATATTGGTGTTAACTACTTTCAAAGTGGTTCTGTTGTTACATTTCGAAGCATTCAAATGGGCACTGCGAATTCGACAAGGCGGGGCAGCAGCACATTTGCTAGTCACGTGGAAAATGCAACCTGTTTGATTGGCTATGAGGGTCTATCTTGTGAAAGATGTGCCAAAGGTGCGTCGCTATTTTTCTTCTACAGAGGTATATTTGAGCAATTGGCATCAATTGTATTGGGCTCGTGTTTTCCTTCTTAATCTCTCTTTGAATAGTTGATATTTTTGTGTAATTTCGAAGCAGGAGTTTAGCGTAAACGCTTGCAAAGTTTTTGTATTCAATTTTACTTTCTCTATCAGGCTACACGCGTGCAGTTGCGAATGGCGGACCTCTTATAAACTGTATACCTTGTAACTGCAATGGAAGATCGGTATCCTGTGATCCTCAGACTGGAGTTTGCAGCAACTGCCGAGTTGGTACCGTTGGGGATCATTGTGAAAAATGCATGCCAAATTTGATGCCTCCTAATTGTGATTCGTGTATGCCAGGCTTTTGGAAGATATCGCCAAAGGGATGTCAACGTAAGTGATACTTATAAAGAGATCAGGATCATTTGTACCTCAGGCACAACAAACGAACTTTTTGTAAAAATGAAAATTTCTTTATAACATTTTTTGAATATTGTTACTCATTCCCAGTCACCGGAGAAACATGCAGCTATATTTTTATATGCTTATTCCTTTTCTTGAAAGGTCATCTTGTTATTCTTTGTAGTTCTGCTCTATTTATCTCATTTTCTTACAAAATTTATGATTTTGAATTTGTTTTCATGATGAAAGGAGGATATTTTACTCAAAAGACATTTCGTTTTTTACACACATATACATTTTTTTGGTAATTGTGTCCATTCAGAATTTTTTGTTTTAGAAAACTTCTCTTATGTAGACAGAAAGAGTTTTTTTTCACCCTTGGACTTCGTTTATAATGTTTTCTTTAGGCAAGTGACACTGACTGGGCTCCCTTAACTATCATATGCACACGTTGCTGATTGCCCTTACTCAATTCACACCTGGCTATGTGTTTTTCCTAACTTTATATTTTCGATCAATATTCTGACGTTTAATTCACCGAAGAGTGTCAGACGAAAAGCGTTCATATGTCTTAAAATAATTGTTTTTAAACCATTTTTAAATTTTGTACCACTTAAACTTGTTATTGTCTTTCTTAGCCTGTAACTGCTATTTGCCTGGCACAATAAATGGTACAAGTATCACATGTGATTTGGTAACTGGTCAATGCGCATGCAATGTTTCTATGAATGTCGCTGGGAGGCAGTGTAACCAATGCAAACAGAATGCCTACAACATATCCTTGGGAGAGCTGCAGTGTAAACGTAAGTATCATCCATTGAGCATATATATATTCCTCTTGTCCCCTTTTGCTACATCTGGGAATCTTCTTCGAAAATTCTCTTCTTCTGTCAATAAAATCATAACTGATGTAGTTGTTCCCTTTTTCAATTCTATCTATTTTGGTTGTCTTTTGAAAATCCAGTCTCTAGCTACAAAATTTGGGCCTAATGTTTATATCGTGGGTTTCCTTTAGAGCCAAGTGCTCGAGTTACTTCAAACCTCTATCAGTAGTAGACGCCAGTTTCTTTCAGTCTTATAATTCAATGCCTGGGTGGTATTATTTGAGGGTGGTTCGCATGAAACTGGTTTATTGAACTTGTGCCAATCTTCTAGTGTATGTATTTGCTTTTTTGGCACATTTTTATCATGGCAATCCTCTGTTTTTATTTGCAGTGTGCCCGCCTTGCTACTCGCCAATAGAACAGGACTATATCTCGATTCGTCATCAAACTGATTTACTACAAACAGAAATCGACACTTTATTGAGCAACCCATCATTGTATCCGTCCGTGCCACTGGACCAATCTCTTGCTGTTTTATCCGTCCTGGTACGTGCTTTGGTAACAAGAGCCAGTACTTCACTGATCAATGCAACATCGCTGGATGCATCTTGGACGGCCATGCAGACAGATATAGCCTCTTTGCAGACTGCGCTTTCGACAACTACGTCATCTGCAGTTACAAGCCTTTTGACCACTACAACTCAGCTTTTGACCAGTTACAACCAGTCATACGCTTCTGTCGTCTCTATCAGCACCCAGACGGTTTCAAGCTACAATCAATTGATAGGAGCCGTTGCTAATAGTGTTGCCCAGCAACAGACAGCCATAAGACAACTCGGTGTTCTATCAAATGAATCTACAGTCTACCTCGGAACCGTCCAATCACTTTCAAGCCAAGCCAGCATGTTGCAGTCCACAGCTTTAACACTAGTCTCTCGGTCAATCCAAATAGCCTCGCTTGCAGCCAATGATTCACAGTCTTATCGAAATATGATTGCGTCACTCAGCACCTCGATGGTGTCTTTAAGAAATTCTGCGTTGCTAACACAGAGTCTAGCCAATGAGATGCAGAGTTTCGCTTCAGCAATGCACCGCAACGCAAGTGCTGTGGCTGCTTATGCCTCGCAGCTACGCAATAATGTTACTGGCTCTCTGCCCGACAATTCACAGGTACCTACAATCCTTTACAAAATATATTGAGACCAGTGATAAAATCAGGACAAATTTATTGACAGTAATCTACTAGAATTGTATTTGATCCCCTCCCCCTTCAAGCAATGATGTTGAGATCTTGTTATTGTATACGGTCTTTGCACACATGATTTGCAGCTATTTCACCCAATCTCAACAAACAACATTGCTTGGAGGGGCGGAGGAGGGAAGGGGACGGTGGAAGGGCTGAGCAACGAATACGTCTATCTGGAGCCTAAGTCAAAATTACGAATGGTTTACAAAATAATTTCGATAGGTTTACTTTTGGGTAAATACGCCAAACAGACTTTGGCATTATTGCGAGGTGGGAAGGAAAAGCAGTCTCACAACTTTTGTGGACGATTGTAGGTCATGAAAGTGTTTAGACAGTCAATCATAATGGAGCACTCCAGAAGATTATATTATGTCTTGGATACATTTGTGGAAAAACTGCTTAACATCTTTAGACTAGCGTCTTAATACTAGCATTTTTAAACTAATAACTTTAGACTAGCATCTCTTCTTATATATAATATGTAGGCGCTGTGTTTCATAATTCTGCTGAAGTTGATCTGTTTTGGAATATTTAACAACTGGACGTCTTCGTATTCTAGCCTTTGAGTAGATTTTGACTTTAACCTACGTGGCAAAATTTTCGTGGTATCATTTTGACAATTCAGTTGTTCAGTCTATTATACATTTTTCTTTTGTTTGACCAAAATATGAAAATATGAAAGCATGAAAATATTTATCTCCACTTCTGAATGATCATGGTTAGTAACCATGTAAAATACATCCAGCTAGAAATTTATATGTTTTTTGAAATCATATTTTCTTTTAGGCCATAAACTCAATCAGCGCCACTACAGCATCGCTATTCACGCAGATTACCAGCCTCAACAGTCTGATTACGTCATCAACCCGTGAATTGAATGGAGTCGAGCAGCAAATCTCGACTCGCAAGCAAACCAACTCGATTTTGGATTCCCGTATATCGACCACAGAAAGAAGACTTGAGGCAGTAAAATCCTCAGTTTCATCAGCCTCGTCTACATCAGCATCTGCAATAGCATCTGCTCTTAATACTGAAAGAGAGGCTGTCAGTATACTGAATACAGTGCGAAATTTTCAAGCTGTATCACAGCAAGCAGCTGCTGATGCTGCGAGTGCATTAGCAAAGGTATCCTAACCGTATAATGCTTGATATTTGTTATGCATGAATTTTAATGCAGCCATTTGCAATTGAGGACCGACATGTGGTAGAAGTAGACCAAGAAAGTTAAAAGCAAGAAGTGCTAGAATTAGACCAAGAAATTGAGACACACCAAGGGGTAGACCAAAGAAAGACAGTAAAGAGCCATGTGATTAGGCCCCTCGATGTCAATTATAATTCCCAGCCAAAAGTCCTTAGAACGCTGTGTTGTTTAAGTTTCTATTCGAAAAGTGTTTCGTGTAAAGATGATTAATACCACACCCCCTCTCCCACAAACAATGTTGTTTGAAAAATACCTATCATAACTAACCAATAGGAGTCAAATTAACAACCTGTTAACGAGATCCTGCTGTTAGCGTCCGGGAGATTGAGATGGGGGAAGCCGTGCTTCATCATACTATTGTATCATGTGTATTATTTAAACATATTCTATCTAATAGACTGTTTTATTATTGCTTACGGATGGTGTATGGTACATTAATTATTTCATGGATAGGAACAGGTGAATGGAGATTCCGATAACGAATAAGATTGTAAGAGTTGCTCAGATGATGCTTTGCAATATGCATGTCAATCTATATTTTCGAATCTTGCTGTATAATACAAGCACTAATATTTCTATCATTGACTGAGAAGCCGAGAAAGCTCATTTTTGATCTTGGGGATCGAAAAAACATGTCTCTTGATCACGTCATTGCTTCATGGTTTTGAGATAAAATCAACGAAAAGCACGATGAATATGAAGTCATAAGAGTTTAATCTTTAGTAGAAGACTTTCCTTTTAAGATAGCTAATTGATTACCCATCTACAAATGGATCCATGTTTTTCAGATTAGGATATTACATGTTAAATTCTTTTTTTTTATCAAAAGGTCAGTACTGCTACGGCTGTCGTTTATTCTGCTAATAATTCGACTATTGGCATCAACAACAAGATTTCGCCTATTCAGATCACAGCCAGCCAAGCTGTGGCCGTTTCATCTCAAGCCAACCAAGTCGCTCAGGCAGAAAAACAGGTAATTGCGAATAAGATTTTACACCATCCTGTAATTTAGATTAACTTAAACAATGCTTATTGAACTTCTCCCAAAAAATACCACCATTTTTGTATTCAAAAGCGACTCATTTTGAAAAAAACCTCCATAAAAATGTACATTAGTTTCTAGAAATTTCGGAATACATTTTACTTTCACCTCTTTTTGACCTTTCGTTTCCTTTGCTTAGCGCAAAACATTTTTTCTTTCTCCAAATTGGCTTGATGCTCAAACCAATGTTTTGTTATCTCATTCCATTTTGCTTATTTTGAAACACATTTTTATATTTATTTTCGTCCGTTCGCAGGCCCTTGACCCAGTTTACCAAAGTGCGCTGAAATTGAAAAACGAAACAAGTGCCGCACTTACTGTGATACAGAGCCTCAACGTCCAGCAATACATCGATACAAACGTTGCGCCTTTGCTTACGAGATGCCGTAACTACACTACCGAATCGATCAGCCTTTCAAACAACGTCGTTTCAGCTTCCACTCAGTCGCAATTGTCCTTGCAAACAGCTCAGTCGCTGGCCACGTCAATCGTAAATATATCTGTTGCATTATCTTTCATACCATCCATAGATTCGCAACAACTTACGCCAATTTACGACAACATGTTGCGCGTACGGCAAGGGTTCTCTGCTCTTGATCTTTCAAATGATTTATCAATCCTCCGCAGTGGTATTGCCTCAGTTAGTCTCAAGATACTGGACTATCGCTCTAAAATAACTTCACTCAAGTTTTCCATAAATGCCTATAAAACACTGTACGATACTGTAAATAGTTTAACTTGCAATGTTCCTTCTCAAATACCGTAGAGGTAGAAAACTAAAATAAATATCAACATTGATTAATTTTAGTCAGACTCTTCCATTGTTCCTATCACAAGGGTGTCAAACAACTGTAAAAGTGCCAAAACGAATGCATGGTCCAAATCACGGACCAAACATAACAAAAACTGACTTTAATTCAAACGGCAATTTTGAATTCGGATGAAGAAACTGCAATTAACATTTCCAATAGAAGACAGTCACAATAAATGAACAGATTGAGTAAAAGTAGCAAGATAAGGGAACTTTTGTATAATAGGTAGTGAGCAATATATACCGAAGATGTTATGGTTGGGGCATATAGTCAAGAGCTCAAGAGCTGGGCGGGTGGATGTGGCCGGATTTCGTCTTGTGTTTGACACCCTTGAACGCTAGTATTTCAACTTACAAGGGTTCTTAAGCTCACATTTGTGTTTCTTATAACATAAATAGTTATTTGATAAATGGTTATAATCCTTAAATATTCAAAATATTTAATGGCCTAAAGATCTTTTTGTTGAGTCAATAATCAAGATTACAATAACTGCAATTAAAGTTCCACCCTTTAAAAATTGAAATTCATCAACTGTTAACTACGAATAGCTTTATTTACTCGGTTTATTCCTACAAAACATCTTTCCATAAAATAGAACCTTTATGTATTGTTTCTTTTCATTGTAACTTGTATAGATAAATATGGTATTGCAATGCAGTGTAGTTCCTAAAATAACCATGGCTAGAACTTTATATCAACTAATTTTACCTAAAGACGTATAGATGTATTTGCAAAGGGGGATACTCCTCTTAGATTTGTACATTAACCTATTAAACCATTTAGTTGTCTGATTTGTACTCCTGTTCGCTCCATTAACCTATTAAACCATTGCGATAGTTGTCTGTAAATCACTCAACTTAACAACTACATTGTTTCTTAAAGAGAATGTAGGGGAATTATTTGGTCCAATAAAAATTTTACTATTGTAGCTGACATACTGTTTAAACCCACTTTATAGATATTTTCGCGACTTAGAATAATCTTTAGAGAAATATTGGGCGATAGTCTTGCAGTAAAAAGGCATTTACAAATTACGTTATAAAGTATAAACACATAATTGGCCATTAACCCTAGCAATAAATTTTATATCTTCCCTCGATCCTCTAAATTGTTCTCCTCTTATATATAAAGTTAATGCATAGCATAAACCTTTGAAATTAATCTGAATTAAGAATACGTAAACTTAGTCCCCATATTGGTTTCTTTTGCATTATCATGGATATTTGATTTTCTTTCGCTAAAAGTCAATACAGTTTATGTCCCTTAATTACATCGATAAATTGCAAGTATTACTTAGTTGCTAAAGTAGATTTTTATCAATTCTGCTTTGAATTGCAATTGTTCATGTTTGGATTTTTAGTCTCGTAAACGTATTCTGTTTTATTTGAATTTGAACTTTTATTAAACTTGTTTTGTGCCTCTTAAGGCTCGCAACAGATTTTTTTGCGTGCCCCCTCATAATTGAATAATTTAGCGAGTTCATGGGTAATAATGTATGAGAACTCTCATGTGAAGGGGTTGACAGTACGGGGTCCTGTACATTGATCCCATTACTATCAAAGTAATTAAATTCCCCGAAAATTTTATCCGACAGATATTCAAACACATGGAATCATTGTCTTTATTCATTGTCAGATATTCAAACACATGGAATCATTGTCTTTAAAGTTACAAATGTGATTTAGAGTATTTTTTGACAATATCGAAAAATTGGCACTGCTATTTTGAGAGAGTGGGAAATTCTTTCCAATCAGGGACGTGGTGGCCCACCGGGACTCGGGAAATTTCTCGGCAGGCCCCTTAAAACTTTTCATGTGGGCCCCTTGGATTTTGCTTCCTTTACACTCATTTCCAACATTATATAAGTGATGACAACAAGAAACAAAAAGCATCTAAAAACTTTTCCGGCCCATTAAGATTCCCACTATACCCCTGCCTCTAATGACTCGCGTGTAAAAGTAGGGTTTCTCTTCTTCTTCTCAAAGACGCTACTCGACCCCTATCAACCCCCTAAATAATGTACCTATGATTTGAGCATTTAAAGTATTTAATCGGCCAGTTTTAGACACCCTCCGTCTATTTCGGAGTCTTTTTTAACATCAGAAAAATTCCTATGCTCTCGTTTCGCTAAGGTACTTGTTCGTCAAATACGCGACAAACCCTCAACATTCTTTCTACTGGAATTTTTTCAGGCCTTCAGAGTCAGTTTCTGTGGGTGGATATTTGAGTTACCCATGAGGCTATTAGGCAGTTATTCACCCTGTTAAAATTTGAATTTGAATATCGCAGTTTGTTTGGCGAGGAACGGCTCAGCTTTTGTCTGAAGATGATTACTATTGACTGTGGATTTGTCTTTGAACAATGCAAACGATTGTATATTTATCGAAGTCTTTTGTTTTCACAGTGTTGCCAGGGGAACCATTAACCGTCACTCTGTAAACTTGAATGTCATGGCGTCTCCTTTCAAGCAGGTGATACGGTCTTTGATCGCAGTTTAATCTGTGAATTCTGAATTATTTCTGTTGCTGGATTTCATTTTTGCAGAGGAGGAAGTGCCAAAACAACAACACCAGGGAAAAGGATTTTCACCCTTGTATTTTGCACGAAGTTTTTGGTGGCCTAATTTGGATTTCTTGTGTACATGCGAGAATCTTGGAGGAAACGTGAACCTAATTTGAAAGCAGGTTCCAGCATTTTTCGGAACATCGAATAATCTTTCCTGGAATTCACAGGAATTTTGAAGCAAAATATGTCATAATGCAAGTTTCAGTGAATACATTATCCTTGTGTCTTGTTGTTGATATCAGCTGATAAGATTCGATGATTTCCTCCTGTTAAGCTGCTCAAATCGTTGTTAATTCGCTGCTGTTTTCTGGTTGGAATATTTATCAATCGGATCATCATTGTTATTTTTACTCTTTAATGAGTTTAGAAAGTATGGAAAGACTGTTGAAGTCTGAGTCACGAACTTGCATATATTTTGTTTTGCTTGCCGGGTTTCTGTCATTTTTGAGACCTTCAAATGGCCAAATGTCGTGTCTAGATGGCAGTTCGAATCCGATCGTTTGCATGCCCGGACCTGAGAACCTGGTGATGGGTAGAGTTATTCATGCAACACCAAATACAAGTACTTGTGGAAATCCAGCTTCTGGGTACTGCAGACCAAGGCCAAATCGAGTTTGTGACATTTGCAATAGCTCAAATCCAAGCAAACAACATGGCACCCAGAACATGCAGGACAGTGACTATCCATCAGGGTATTGGGGGGCTGTTTATAAACCCACCTGGTGGCAATCAATAACTTGGTGGGATGCACAGCAGAGAGGTCTTTTAATTGGTAACACAGTGAAAGTAAATCTAACACTGTCAATGAACAAAAGCTTTGATATCACGGGTGATATAAAGGGTGATATAAAGATCACTTTTTACTCATCCAGACCAAAGGCAATGATAATAGAAAGAAGTGCAGACTTTGGAAGGAGCTGGCAGCCTTACAGTTACTATGCTGATAATTGTGATACCAGATTTGCAACCCCGATTCTGAAAAAGACATCAGCAACAATTGTTGACAACTATAGGGCATATTGTGAAGAAAATCGTAACACAGTGGCAGAACAGGTAGAATTCTATGAAACTTTGTCACTTCCTCATTTTCTGTATTTCACTGGACCTTGAGAATCTGGGATAAGAAAGTTTGTTACATAACAAAGCAATGCCAATGGTAGTGAGATAACAAACCAAGCTGCTGGAGCCCCCCCCCCCCCAATAATTTTCAAACTGTAATATATTTCCTTTTTAACGGTGCTGAGAATGAGAAGGAATACAATGGGCAGCCCTCCCCCTTGCCAATATTGTACGAGGCGTTATAGAACACTGAATGGTAGAGCGAGAGGCAAATACTAACACACTCTTACATGATCATCTATTTGCAATATATATATAGTTAAATATCATGCGACTATTGATAAACGGCGCATGCGTGACCTGTGACAGGAGAGTGAACCTGTTACAATATGAATTTCCTTCAAACGGCATTGCAAATTCAAACACAACCAAATTAAAATTTTAAAGTGGAATAGTCTATGTAGTTTCAGATTTATATCAAGCCAGATATCTCAAAGTCATTTTATTTAAAATGGATTGTGAAAATGATTTGACAAGTATTTAGATCCAAAGAAAAAACATGTGACAGAAGAAAGAACAAGGAAGTGATAAATCATTTCGTATAAGGCCTTTTCATTTAAAATTGCAAACTAATGCAATATAAAGGATTAAAATGACAAAAAAAGAGGGGGGTAAAGCTCTCCAGAGTCACTGAATCTACCGCAAAATTTTGGAAATTTCTTGCTTTCCTGACTTTTTAATAAATATTGCCTTTGCCCTCCAAACTTAACTTCCTATGTCCCCCTAGCTTATAGATCATACGTTGCAAAATATCAATGTATCAAATGCGATTCATGTAGGATTTTGCCTTTTTCCTAGGGTGTCATCATATCCTTTAACCCAATGGCATCATTCACAACTGCAAACTTTTGGGAGTCACCTGTTCAGACATATATCAAAGCTACAGATGTTCGTATCAGGCTGGAATACCCTTGGACTGATGGTAACCATGTCATAAATCAGGAGTCTTTTCTAAACCAGTATTATTATGATGTAACTGACCTCAAAGTGTATGGCAGATGCCATTGCAATGGGCATGGAAGAAATTGTCATGGTGCGCTTAACCAGCTTACTTGCGAATGCTTCCATAACACGGAAGGGGTTGATTGTGAAAGGTGCCAGCCACTTTATAACAACAGAACATGGCTTGCTGCTTCCGGGCCAAGCAGTCCCAACCCATGTCAAAGTAAGAATTTTTCTACAATTTGCTAAATAATTTGTGAACTTTTGCATGATGTATTTATTGTATTTTAATATAATCAAAGCAGCATTTATTCAAACACAGGTGTTGAAGGAGGCACTTCTCAAAGTAATACAGTTTGAAAGCTTAGTCAATGACTCTCTATAATGCCAAAGTGTTCCAAGAAAAACTTGATCAAATTTTCTTTCACTCTCTTTATGCTTTCAATAGCCTAGTTTTAAAAAAACTAACAAATTATTGACAGACTGGCTCATTTGGCGCTCATGTTTATTATAAGTGATTTTGCTGTCTACGCCCAGTTTACCAAATTCTCAAACTTCATTGCCAAATCAAGTACTCTCTTGCTTCAAATAAAATTTAATTGTTGCTATTGATGTAATTAAAAGCATGCTTTCCTTTATAATATTGAATTGTCTTTATTGTTTGAGATAGCTTAACTGTCTTGCCTTTTCATTTTTGTTAGTTTGGTTTTTTCAGTCATCCACACTTCTTTTAATCTTTTTTAGGATGTGAATGCAATAGCCATGCACAAAGTTGTGTGTTTAACTCCACTCTTGGATTTGGTGTTTGCTCTGATTGTAAAGACAACACAACCGGATTCTTTTGTGATCAATGCAAAGATCAATTCTACCGAAACATGAGCCTGCCACTTAGCCATCCTCAAGTTTGCTTGTGTAAGTCCGGTATCATTTGAGCTAAAAACACAATAAGTTGCTTTAAACAACATACAATTGTAACGGTTAGGATTTTATATTTATTCAATTTAGTAATGTTTCCGTCGCATTTAAAAGACACTTGTTCTGTTAAGTCCTGTTGTGTTAGTGAATGCCTTTTTTATGGCAATGTGTTTGTCTTTCAACATGTAGTGTGACCCTCGTATTGTCCTGTTAATTAGCTTCTGTCTTTGTTATTAGTATGTGTTGATCACGATATAAGTTAGTCTTTCTGTTGAATCATTAGTGTTAAGATCAAAGAAGGAGTATCTTTTGTGCGTTACTTGTTCGGGGCTAGTTATACAATGGTTATTCACCGTCATGAGAAGAACCCTGATCGTTACACAATGAATTTGGTTATCAGATTCAATTTGAAGTACAAAATCTAAGGAAAAGTGGTTAAATCTGTTTCTTAGTTAATGTTTAAGTTTGTCATTCTTTCGATAATCAAGAGCTGTTCTTTTAATAAATGGATCCTATAAAATTTATTTGCTGTCATGTCATTTGTTCCAAGTGTATTTTCCCAATTTCATGTTTTGTATGCCTCATAAAATTATCATTAGCATTTTTTCAATTTACAGCTTGTGCCTGCTTCTCTTTTGGAAGTATAAACAACGGCTCGTGCAATCAGATGGCAACAGGGAATTTGACGATTGGCCAGTGTTATTGCAAAAGCAATTTCACTGGAAGACAGTGTGATCAGTGTGTGGATGGTTTTTATGGAGTAACCGTTCCACCCATAGGGCAATGCAAAGGTAAGGGCTTGGAAAGTATAGATGTAGGTGTTGGTTGAAAGGGGAAGGCGCGTTTTAGAGAGCCAGTCACATTACTGAGAGTGTCTTTCTTTCTCCTTTCTGTAGAGATTTTTCTAAATTAATTCAAAAGAACATAATGACGGTACTGAATTATTCTCACTGCTAAAAATCCTCTTCTTCTGCGGAATAATAAACTCGTTACTCTTGATAGCAATGAAAAAAGGACCAAATTTATGAATGTTCAGTAAAACATTCGTATTGACACCTCGAAACCATAATTACCGTTTGTTGATGGTAGGAGGCTTCAATAAAATAAGTTCCACAGCAGGGTCAATAATACCTTTTGGGCTGTAGGGGTCTGTTACAAAGAAAAGGGAAAGGTTTAACTATAATACCATTGAGATAAAGACAAAAAATTGCTACAAAAAAATATTTGTGGACACAGACAAATAAACAAGTCATGCCCTCTCGCCCTCTACTCAATTCAACTATGAGATATGCCTTTGGAAAAAGCTTTAGTCTTTTGGTAAATGATAATCATCTGTTGCATGTTGAAAAAATATTATCTTACCATGTTCATGCAATGAGAAAAGTGACAGTGTGAGACCAATTATGTCATTTTGACTTCCCCTGAGTTTAAAATGAACCCAGTTTATTCTAAAAAGTGCTTTCATTCTTGCAGCTTGTGGATGCTCAAGTATTGGCTCATTCAACGGATCGTATACATGTCACCAAGTAACAGGACAGTGCAACTGCAAGCCGTCCATAAATGGCATAACTTGTGACATATGCAGAGATGGCTTTCATACCTTCCCCAACACAACTGATGGACAGTGTAAGAGATGTGTTTGTGATATTGGTGGTGCCTACAGCAATGTCTGTAACAAAACCTCTGGTAAGTATGTTACAAAACTGATTGTTATTAATTATTTTGTATCACTTCTTCAACTCCTTTTCGGAAGTTTTTTGCCAAACTCTGAGCTGAGGTTGATAACTAAAATGAGATAGGCCTTGATGTCTTATTCTAAGTAATTGTTACTAAACTCTTAAGTTGAAAGAAATTACTGAACTCTCCACGAATTTTGTCTTTGAATCATACCTGGCCGTGTAAAAAAGCCGTAATTTAAGCAAAATATGTCCGTTTTTTCTGCCACTCTGATGTAGCACCCCATAAAACTCCCCACTTAAAGATTATCATTTAATTCTCGCGAGAAGTTGCCGATAACACATTTAGCCTTTCAAATTGATGATAGCAAAGTATCATTTCCTTTTAGTATTAAGACGAATTTCCTTTAAAGTCTTTTATTCCCAGCTCATTGATAAAATGTAAGCAAATACTAGTAAAACCCTTTTTTCATAAATCCTGTCAGAAGATGGTATTAATTTAGACTTTTTACATTAATTTTAGGATCATGTTACTGCAGAAGTAATATCGAAGGAATGTCTTGTGACTCGGCAGTCAACGGATATTTTGTACCTTCATTTGATTACTTGCTGGCTGAAGCTGAAAGTTCTTCTGGAGAGTATAGCATAATTTCGGATGTATCTGGTCACGGCACCAATTTCACTGGTTTTGGATTCGCAAGAATACGCACTACTGGAAGGCTGACGGTCTATTTTCAAACGCAGTTCACATCCAGGTAAAATTATTTTGCTTTCAATTTCTAAGTAGTTCTTTGTTAAAAATTACAGAGTTGTAAGCAAATTAATACTTGCTTAATTTTTAACAGACAAAGTGTGAAAAAAATATTTTTAAATTTGAAGTAACCTTTTTGTTCTTTCTCTTGGTCTTTCCTTAGAAATTATGTATATGAAGTCTTCTTTCCCTTAAAGATGCACCCCAATGCCATCAAAGTGGCACAAAAATTGTTTCAGTCCTTATTAGATTGTTCATGCCATATAAAATTTGTTGTACTTTTGTTTATTTTTAATTTGTCTTCTTGTCTGAAAGCTGCAAGTAACCAGATTTTTCATAACCTTGGGAGGGGTACTTTAGTTTCTGTGGAATTCGACTTCGGGAACTTTTTCCATGAATTCGTTAGATTTAATTAAATGTTTTTAGCTGTATGGCAACTTTTTCGTTATATGATTTACATTATGATTTACATAAACGAACAACTATTGTTGAGCTCTTTTTTCATTACTTCCAATTTTTACTATGTATCCACTTATTTATTTTACTGTTAATTTTTTTTATCAGATTTTTCCTGGTCATGCGATATAAAGATGTCCAGCCCAATTCAGTTCAACTGCGAGCCGACGTCCACTACAACAACCACAATTCGAGCCTTCCTGTGACCTCGTTTAACATAACCCTACCTGCCTCGAATTCATCAATACCTACGTCACAAATTCACCCAGATGCTTTTACTTTATTATCAAATAGCAATTACTCAATCACGTTTTCCCTTGTAAATCCACCGAACACTAACCAGTCGATTGACATAGATTCAGTAGTGTTGATGTGGGATTTTAATGAGACTCGTTTCTACCAAAATGCCAATGGAACTATGAGAAATGCATCGAAAATATGCTGGGAATCAAAGCAACGAATTGGTGTCCAATCACAAGAGACAGTAGAATGCCAAAGGATCGCATTTTCTGTCAATACTGAAGTCTTCAACGGATCTTTAGGTACGAATTCAGCTTTCATGAAAAAAAATTGCTACTTCCGCCCCCTTCCCCCTAAAACAATGTTGATGGTTCAGAGAAATATCATAAAAGAAGCGCAAAAGAAAGTGCTTCCTAAAATCCTAACCTGTTTGATAGTAAACCAACATTGTTCTGTAGGGAGAGGGGGATGATTGATTTTGACCTTGGAAATTGATGGCAGTGTTCCAAGACTTTTGGCAGGCATTGTACTAACGTCATCATTTAATTTCTCGCCATTATTTTTAGTGATTACTATTCAAACTTCTAAAGTCCCTTTTATATCTGTGATGGTTAATCTATATGATGCGATTTCCTTTAGCTTGTGACTGCAATCCTATCGGTTCGTTGAACAGTACGTTTTGTGCAAAGAACGGAGGACAGTGCCAGTGTAAACCGGGTGTGATGGGAAGGAAGTGTGACCAGTGTCAGGCTGGCTATTTCAATTTCACCAACAATGGATGTTCAGGTAGTGTTTGTTTTCTAGTTAAAACCTGTCTGGTTTTTGCATGTTGCTACATTAAATGTGCATGTCCAGTTAGATTTTTATTAAGGATTCAAAAAAATGAAAGTTTCTTAATGAAAATAAAATGAAAGACTGCTTCTTTGCAGAGCCATGTTTTAAAAGTCTACTCTTAAGTACTACTGCAATAATTTTGTCCAATCTTAAGAAAATGTTATCCAAGTTTTAGGGAAAACTCACTCATGGAATGAGTTAATTTATTTAGGACGTGAACTGTGTTTGAGCACCTTTCGATTTGAGTATTTAGCATTAAGTGTCACGTGTGCATGCTTTTTTGAGAATAGACTTCATTAGACAATTGACAATGTCAATCAGTATTAGCTGCAATATTATCTTCTCTTTTGGTACACTGTTCTTGATAGTAACAACTTCTGTTTGTATGGTTAATTTTGAAGACTGAGACACTTGATGGAACGGTCAGCTAGCGTTGTAGGAGCCAAGTAATGCGATCTTTTACAAGCAAAATGATTCTTATTTCTGTAACCGTTACCATACCTAAGATTTTCAATTCTTTTCACCCATTTGCGTAGGCCCTATCTGGCAAAATAGCCTACCGATCTCCATTGAAATCTTTTTGTCTTTTCCAAGACTGCTTTGAAGTATCCTAACTTCATTCATTACGAAAACATTCTTATATTGATCAATTATTGGTCAGTTATATTTGCGTATCAACGTCACTTCTCATTTTCCAGCCTGTAACTGCACAGAGCTTGGGTCATCGAGCTTAGTGTGTGACGTCATAACAGGCCGATGCCCCTGCAAGCCAGGTGTCGTCAATCGAACATGCAATGCATGCAGACCGAGTTTCTTTGGTTACCAAACGGGAATCGGCTGCCGAAACTGCTCGTGTAACTGGGATGGTTCTGAATATATGTTTTGTAGAGAAGATGGTAGTTGTTTCTGCAAGAACACGACAACAGGTGCAAAATGTGACATGTGCAAACCATTGTTTTTCAATTTCACTGCTACAGGGTGCTCGTAAGTATTTATCGGCGACTTTTTGTAACCTTGCAGTTTTGCCTTGCCGTTCTAACTCTGTTGACACCAACAGTCAAAGTATATCAATACCCTATTATATTGTTTTATTAATTATATCTGATTTTCATTGTTCTTGGTTTTTCTTGCCTTTTTTGTTCTATTTTCTTGTTTTTTCTTGCCATTTTCTTTGTCTTTTTTTCTTTCTCTCGTTTCTTATTTTTGTCTTACTTTTTTCTTTGTTCTATTTTCTTGTTTTTTCGTGCCATTTTCTTTGTCTCTTTTCTTTCTCTAGTTTCTTATTTTTGTCTTGCTTTTTTTTTTGTCTTTTTTCCTCGTTCTCTTTTCTTGTTTTTATTCCTGCCCTTGTCTTCTTTTTCTATTTTCTTTTTTTGTCTTGCTTTTTGCCTTTGTCTGTTTTCCATTTTTTGTCTTTCTCTTTTTCTGATTTTGCTGTCTACCCGTTATTGTTTATGCATAGATGTTTGTTTGAATGCCAAATATAGTTTGAATGCCAAATTTTCCATTACTTAGACCATGCAACTGTGACACTTCTGGATCAACAAACTTGCAGTGTGACTTACAATTAGGAAACTGCTCGTGCAAATCAAACACTGAAGGTACAAAATGCGACCGATGCACAGCAAATACATACAACTTGCAAGCAAATAACTCATTCGGATGTCAGAATTGTTTTTGCTTCAACAAGACTGGCCAGTGTTCGTCTGCCAGCGGAATATACAAGTTCGATGTCCAGTCGCAATTTGTGAATACCTCTGATGGATGGAATGTCACAAATACATCAGGTGCAGGGGTTGCATACTCAAACACAGCTAGTGGGTTGTCAGTAGACCTAATTGATGGTCGTTTACTTGTGTTACAAGCACCTAGCAAATACTTAGGAAATAAGCTGTCGAGTTATGCCCAGACCCTGACAGTAGGGTATACATTGATACCCAGAACGGGAGTTATAAATTCTTCTGTCATTTTGAGCATCACATTTACACATTCGGACAACAGTGCTGTTTCTTTGGGTCTAAATGCAAACTCTTCGCTGCAACAGCAAACGTCCACTGTACGCCTTCAAGAGCATAACGCTTTGACGCGGATTTCAACCTGGAGTTTCCAGCATATATTGACGTCTGTGAAGCAACTCAGCATCCACATCAATGCAACTGGTATTTCCACATTTGCTATCCACATATTCGAATTGGCTTCGACATCAAATCAAGCGATGTCGCTACAACGATCAACGTTTGCTGAAAATTGTTCATGCCCGGTCAACTTTACTGGAACGTCATGCCAACAATGTGCTCCAGGTAAAAATACATTTACATCTTTTATGAATAGAATCTTCTCTATTCCTCTTCGTTCTGTATTCATCCTCAAAGTATTCATCCTGAATTTCAATACCGTCTGCCTTGATTGTGAAATTCTTTTACAACTGTCGTATTTACTAAATAATTTACAATCTTCCTGTCCTCTTAGGTTACACAAGAGAGTTCCCGAATAACGGCTCCTACACAAACTGCAAACTTTGTGCGTGTAATTCCCGCTCAGTTTCTTGTGACCCGCAGAATGGGATCTGCAGAAACTGTCGCATTGGAACGGAAGGAAACTACTGCGAAAGATGTCAGTCTGGCGTTCAAGAGCCGGACTGCACGCGGTGCATTCCGGGATTTTATGGGCTAAACGACACATCTTTTCCTGGATGTCGACGTAAGACTGGACTTCGTCGTAATTTAAGCATATCTATCATTTAAATAATCTGTCAAGAAGTGACGGATGAATTTTCCGTGTACAATCAGATATCTACGGGAAGACGCGGGTATTTTTGGACGAATTGAAAAATTGATATGTTTCCCAAATGGCAGCTGATGTTATTGGAGCTAAAAACAATATGTTCACAGCAACTATAAGTCTTTTTAGCAAACATTTAGTGTAATTTTTCTCGTCAGCAGTGACAACTTCTTTCTCTGATGCCTAATTTCGCCATTTCGGCAAAAAGGTGCCATGATTTTATGTTTCTTTCACTTACTAACTTTCGAAAGAACTACTTTTATCGATTTTAACATTTGATTCTAGCCTGCAATTGCATGTTGCTGAATACAATTGGACAAAACAGTTCTGTCTGTGATGAAATAACAGGGCGATGCAATTGTAGACCAAATATTGGAGGGAGAACGTGCAATCGCTGTGCAGAGAATGCCGCTAACATTACCAATCCAATGCGAGGATGTCAAAGTAAGTTCATATTTTTCTTGGTTGAATAAAAAGGCATCAAGGTGTTCGACTTTTAAATAACATCTACTAATAAAGACTTCATGATTTTGCTGCAAGTTCTATCGTACTTAATTTAGCAGTAAACAAAGATTTCGTTAACCTAAAAGAGTTCGGTCATTTATGAGTTTCTTTGCAGTGTGATTCTGGGTGCGTTGGACACACAACACAAAGCTCTTTTCCTCGTAGACAAACAATGCTGTTTTTTCGCTTTATGTAGAGGAAACAATATTCATCAAAACTGACAGTAAAAACACTGTTCCCTAATGTTCTTTGCCAGCCAACGAACAAATAAATATCAAATCAAATCAAAGGCAGAAATACCCCTATGGGTGGGATCTGCTATCCGAAATCAGACTTCAAGAGCAGATTAAAAAAGTGATGAATATTTTGCTTTTCCCTTACTTCTGGTTTTAAAATATTTACACTGTTATTTGTAATATTTTCGAATTAACAGCTCTGTTTTATGCTAAAATTTTTGAAAATACCAAAAATCCTCGAATTGCCACCCCCCTCGAAAAAGCCCCCCCCTCGAAAAAGCCCCCCCCGAATAAGCCCCCATCCAAAAATGTCAAAAATAAATAATTCGAGGATTTATTTGCCCTATACCCAGTCGGTATAAACATTTTCACTCTTTGTTGCAGCCTGCTCCGAATGCTATCGTCTGATCCAAGTTGAAGTTCATGCTCTGCGCAGGGACATCGCGAACATAACAAATGAATTGGCCTCTGTCCAGGGTATCGCACAGCTCAGTCTTTCTCCCTCGTTCGGAGTGAGACTCGCACGTCTTACGCAGAATGTCTCGCGGTTAACTGCCAATGCACAGAATTCATCATCAGTTGAAAGTGGGCTAGCAAGCGAACTCACTGCATTGAACTATTCACTGGATGCGATGCAACGGTTGCTTGAAGTGAATGTTTCTAGAAGTCTTAATGAAACAAATGCTGATGTACGGGTTATTAACCAAACACGTGGTCTGATAGCAGGATTGAGGAATTCTATATACGCTCTTCTCTGGGGGAGTAAGTATGTTCTGCAAGTGCATGTTACCCCACAAGTAAACACCACAGAGGCTTTGAAGATAAATATCAGTTCAGCAGCTGCTGGAATGTCGTCCTTATGGACAAATTATCAAGGTCAGTATAACGAGACATCACGGTTGAATAGGGAGGTCCTTTCGCTGGCAGCTAACGCGACATCCACGACAAGCAATATCACTTTGTTACGGCAGCAGACAGAGAATGCATTGAACACGTCAAGAAGGCATCTTCAACAGCAACGGAGCACGCTTCAAGGTCTTAACTTGACTGTCGATGTATTGCTAAGTAGCATGGTTGCCCTTCGGAGTAATATTTCTCAGATATCAAATCTTGCAAACCGGGTCCTTGCGGATGCTGATGCTCTTAATGTGACTGAGGACCAAAGCTTTACCCAGTTACAATTAAGATACCGAAACCTGCGAAATAACATCACAGCCTTGAATTCCAGTCTATCAGCCTTGAATAACGACTCGGAAATCCTCAGGCAGAGCTTAACAGCAATGAACACAACTGCAGCCTCCCTCCTGGACATGTTAAATATTGCTGAGCGCAATGCAACACTGTTAGCTACGCAGGCAAGAACTGCACAGGAAACCTCCTCGTCTGCGGCCGCCTCTGCCAGAAATCTCCTTGCAGAAGCTGAGAGTATGTTGCGAATTATGCAGAACTTTAACGAGACTTCTAGTGCTGCAGAAAACATGGCAGCATTGTCTTTGAGGCACACTAATGAGGTATGTAGTTTGCGTACATATCTATTACATCATGTATCCTTATCTTTATGTATCTTTTTGTATTTTTGTATTTTTGCTGTTTTACTGATGGCACCCCAAAAATGTTGCACAATGCAGTCGTAATATTTTGAAACAAAGTTCTTCCTGCTTCTAACTTTTCGTCCAAAGGACAATGGTCTTTTGTTTTAAAACAATGGGAAATGTGACATCATCTTATTAAAACAATTGTCTTGCCCCCCCCTCCCAATATTTGATCAAGTGTCCGCCCCTGATTGTAATTCTAAACATTTAAGTATCTTGTTTAATCCCCGGTGAATATTTTCTTAGGTGAACCAATCCAGCTTGCAGGCAATCCGATACACTGACAGCATCAAAGCAGATTTAGATGCAGCCTTGGTCATCGCAGCTCAGTCCTTGGCTTCCATACAAAACGCGTCTTATATTGCTGGCAATGTATCCCAGGTGAGAGATCGCTTTTTCAAAAAACGTGTTTTAACTTTGGATATAGGGGTTCAGTCATTCCACGTGGCCTGAATAAATACAGATAATTTCCATAAAATCAAAGACAGTCAAAAACAGAATTTCATCCCCATTTTTTTATTTGCTCTACATCTCTGATTTTCGATTTATTAAAGGTCCACCTGAGACAAACAACTTTGCTTCTTCATATTTTCATCATCTTTGGATATTTTCTTGCTGTTATAAGTTTGTTTTCAATAGATAGAAAGTCTACATGCCCAAATGAAATCTAACATGATCAGCCAATTCTCTTTGGTTAAGATTTATTCAATTTGTGCCCACTCTCTTTACACCCTCCTCCCCGTGCTTACCTTCCGCAGGATACTCTTTCCAACTATAAAACAGATCCCAAGTTATTTTGGTATCATGAAATTTTTCTGAAATTTCAGACGCTTGATAATCTCTTGAACGACTCGAGAAGGCTCATGTCTGCTGCATCCGGGAGTTTATATGGCGGCAATTACTTTGCAAATATCCAGAGAAACGTGTCCATTTCCAATGCTACCTTACAGTTACGCTCCGAAGAATGTCGTAACTACACTGCCGAAGCAAGCACATCTGTCGTAAATGCGACGCACTCTTTGAACTCTGCCAGGAATCTGTCTCAAGAAGTTACAACAAAGCAGATAGAAATTGAGACCATTGTCAACAATTTTCGCGCAATTGCGATGCTAAACACTACGGCATTAAGGCAGCTTGAGCAAACATTGAGGCAGAATAGAGAATCTTTCGATGCTTCGAACGTCAAAATGATGTTAACAGCGTTGCGCTCTGCTTTTTCGACACAGCAAGAGACGTTACGCGGATATAGAGCGACGTTAACTCGACTACGTTCAGACGTTGCGAGTGTCAAAAGTAGAGTCGATGAAGTTTCCACATTGCAGGGCTGTGGGTAGAGGAAAAGCTGGGCAAAATATTGGTTTTTGGATGCTTCTCCACAACGTGCTGGAATCCTAAATTACCCTGGAAATCATATGATGATCCTGGAGTTCAAGCTGACCCTAAACTGGTTTTTATTGTTCCAGATGCATCTAGAGGTTCTTTTTCAAAAGATTGCCCTACGTTCAAAAAGTTAAAATTTGAAACACTTATAAAGGTGGCAATTTAATACATCACCATCGCTACCTGCAACTATTTTTTTACTTTTGTACAAATTTCCTATTTATATGCTTAACGTATATGTGTGTGGACTTCAGCAGTTGCAAATGCTTCCCCTTTACCAAACAGGAAAATATAAAACGTAACAATAACACTATGTTTGATGTTCGTTTCCCGCTTTTGGTCTTTTCATATATGCTGGGAAAACCCATTGGATTTTACTATCCAAATAAATCTCACGCAGTTACCCTATTAGGGCTCTCGCTCTGATGAGATTCACCCTATATGAAACTGTAACATAATGGCCAATAAGCTGAAAGATTATTTTCAAGATAAAAATGACTCCAAAAATCCCCTTGAAATTCTACGGTATCACAGTTGTCGTATTTTCCAGGGGCTAGCTTAGTATAATAAGCGAAACTCTGGTCACCTAGGGTAAAGGTAAGCCAAAACATGCAGCAATTAATGCCTTTTTTCAGAATGCCTCTGCCCGCTCTGTCCTCCAAACTTGAAGGAACTTCAGCGGCTTGGGCAGTCACAACTCTAAAACCCCATGCTTCACAAAACTACTTGCCCCATCCCTCTGTTCTACTAGGTCACGTATTAAGTAACACAGCAACTAACCAAGGTTGGTCGATGCTTTCAGGAGTGGTTTGGTTGTGATTTTGTCCGTTTTTACAAAAAGGGCCACGTCTAACAACCTATTTGTTTGCCTATCCACCCTGTAACCATATTCATTAACGTTTCCAATACAAGTTCTAAAGACCAGATTCAACAAAACTTATGGTATTCCTCTCAAAAGCAAAATTACGGTTTGTATGTGTATCTTTTAACCTATTATAAAGGGACGTTTCAGCTTACTGTGACGTCACAATCGTAATTATCGTGCCCATGCTCCAAATTATAGACGAGACATCTTGCTAGTAATTATATGTAACTCTTTGCACTGTCTTTCACACGCACGAATTGTAAAATCACGGGGATTTCTATGCGCTGTAAATTTTGCTAGGTGATTGGATTTTAGGTAAAAATCTTTGTGATTATGAAATGTGATTTCTATAGAGATGTAAATGTATGGGCTATATTTTCACAGTTAATTTTTAGCGTAAAAATCAACTTGATAGTTTCAATGTAAATGGTATTGTCTGAAGGAATATAGCTATAAATCATTTTCAATGATATTTGTTTTATTTCCGTACTTCTTTGGTTCGTGTGAAGCCCAGTCCTTCGAGGACTTTTTTCTAAAGACCTTTTTCTAAAACTGTCTGATTAACGTTCCATTGGTGAAAAATCTCGCGGTTTTTTTGAAGCGGCTGAACCTATTATTGCAAGTTTGGCCTCAAAATTAGAGTTTCTTTTTTGACCGAAGTCCAAGATGCTGGTATTTTCTTTCTTTTCTCCTTTTTCATCCAACTCTCGAGTTAATGAAAGAAGATAACTTTTATGTTTTGTCAAAAACCATAAATTTGTTTTCATGTCGATACCTCATGTAACTTCTTTTTATGTTACCTCAACGAAAGCTTTGTCAAATCGCCTAGGGAATTTTATTAAACTGCATTTTCTTACACGGCCCCAAGAGGCATAGCGAGGCATTGTGAACCATCGCTGAGTAATCCCAGCAGATATCTCTGTTCTTTGTCTCGTTTTTAGAATAAACAATACTTATTGTCATAAAGTTCTTCTTGAAAGAGTAAACAAACAGCTCTGACCTCGAGTCGGGGAATACTGTATTTTGTTGGCCTCGCACGTTGTTTATTATCGTTGTCGAAGATGAAAATGGCTGCCTACCACGTGGACGGGTAAGTTTCAATTCAATAATGTTTATAAGATTTCATGAACGCAAAACGTCTTTCCGACGTTCAAATGTGCAGTGTTATTAATTTTTTTAAATCTGCAGTGCACTCTTGTGATTTAATTAATCTTTTAAAGGAAGACACTGGGTGAAGATCGTTAATTGATAAGAATCCCGGAGTCAAGGAAAGATTGATAGATTTTGTTACTTGTTCATATACTGAAAGATACGTTTCTTCTCAATAATCTTGTGCAGTTGAGTTACACTTTACCGTGAATGAGAAGAATTTAATCAAATTTTTCTCAAGACATCTTAACGTTACTTGTTTGCTAGTTATTTTGAAAAAACCTCCTCGATTTGCTTTAATGAACGAAACAAATCAAGAAGTTTTATGCAAACCATTAAATCTTCACTAATTAAAAGTATTCTACGGTCTCTTAGCGTTCTACCCTGCTAGAAGTGAGTCAAATATAAAGGGACTCTTCTTCCCCCTCTGTCCAAACAGACTTGGTATTATTAATTACTGTTAATTTCAAATACCCATTGGGTTGTCGCTATATGAATCGGTAGCTGTTTTTTAGGTGTTTTAGTTGCATGACGACTTAAGTCTTCATTAAAACATGATCTATAACCATTTCGTTAGATTTTAAAGGCTGCTAGTATTAGTTGTTTTTATTGATGTATAACAGAATAAGCAAGGCAAGAAAATTGTACCTTTATCTTGGACTTTTCATAAGCGCCTCTCTGGAATTTTAAAAGTCAACGAGTCCCTGGAGTTAATTGATCTTCAACTGTATTGGCAAAGATTTAAAAGAATCATGTTTGAAGAAAAGCCCTGGTCTTATTTGAATGTTCTTAAAGACAGGTGAACAGGGACCGCGCACTACTCTAAAAGTGGAGGGGCTGAAATGGGTGTAAACGAAATTTTTTTAGGCCACGCCCTCTTGAACGCCGGAAAACGCCCCTTTTAGAAAATGCTTGCTCATTTCTATTGAATTTTTATAAAGAGTCTGGTTCAGAGAAGATATCAATAACCACACAAATAGATAAAATTAGCTCGAGGGTAAAAAAAAACCAAGCTAGCCAAGTTAGAAACTACATCATATTATTAAACAAGATGAAACACCTAGAAAAAGAACAAAAATGGTTTCCAGTCAGTGAGAACTGCTACTACATAGGAGTAAACTATCCAAAGTTGCGTTAAAGTAAACTTTCAAAAAAATTTCTAGCTTTTTATTGCAAAAAAGTAGGTGGGCTATACCCCCCGCTAGCCCAATGGCTGCGCGGTGCCTACAGGTGAATATATCAAATATATACAAGTTTAATATATTACTGACTAAGCACAAAAAAATATGTCATGGCAATATCTCGGCATAATTTAATATTAGTTTACCATGTGGCAATCCCACTACTACAATCCTTAATTACTACCGCCACTGATTTCAATTAGCTGAATTTGGTTCCAAATGTTCGTGAACTGTAACTTTCGTCAATGAATTACGTGTAATTGCTTCAGACCCTCTGTTTTATCCAAGCAATTATTTTGTAGGATCCGAAAAGTTGTCAATGATATTACTGAGATGACACGTTCCCTTAGTTAACTACGGATCTCTAACACAACTTGGAATAGAAATGAGTTGATAAAAGAAGCTTAGCGAGGGTTGGACTTTAGTGGAAGCCCCAGATGTCATGAAATGAGGCAATGTAGTAATATGTTTAGCCCATTAAAAATTTTAGATCTTGTAAAAGCTTGGATCCAACTCCAGCGTTATGAAAGACTAGGCCATGTCAGAAAATCTTTGGGTTTTTTGCGCTAATTCAGTACTACATTACTCTATTAATTTGATTTATCATGGATAAATTTTTTAAAAGTATTTGGAAAATATATGGGGAAGGTAACGACCTCCACACTTCTTTGGTGCCATAAGTTGTTAGAGAGGAATAATTTTCTCAGGGTCAAAAATATAGGATCAAAAGGGGAACAATTTTCTATAATAGGATCAAAAATTGTCTTCCCCTGTCCTTCCTATTCCAACATCCTTTACAAAAGTTCTTCAAGACGTAGAAAAATCTTTCAAAAGCGTTGGAAAGATGCAAGAAGTATTTTGGAAAAAAATTCAGTAAACGATGTACGGATTCGTTAGATAGTTAGGACAGAAATGCCATATTTCAACTTTCCCAGAATTGGCTCAAGATTCGAAATAAAACATCGTTATTAAAAAGGTTAATTTCCTTTCCAAAGTGCCAATGATGCATTTCGACCTCAACAGTTGACAAATGAGTGTTTTTGTAGCGAATCTTAACTAGTGAAAATATGTTTTGATATGTCGTTTCTCAAATGGAGTAAAATAAATTTCAAATTTAAAAATGACTTTTCTTCCCACATGTCGATTCTTATGCAAAAGCTTGTTAAGATTTAAAAGTCATATTGCTGGCATTCCTGAAGAGGAAGCTTCTATTGTTTGCCTCTGCCAATCACATTAGAGATTGGGGGGGAGGGGGTGGGAGACGAAAGCCTTCAGCATGCTACGAGTCGATACAAAGTTGAAAAGACTTTTGGAAGTAATTGGGAATTCATTACTAGTGTATTAAAATTGTTGTAAAATATTTCAACTAACACGAGCAGAAGCATACCTAGCCTAACATATATCTTTCACGCGATCTTTCATTGTCTTTCGCTGTTTTCTACTTGGAAATAGTGCTTCTTTTTCATACTTTTTCTGCCCTTAATTGATGACATTATTAGCCCCCTTGGAAACAATTCCTCAAGTATGGTCAGATACAACTGCGCATTTACCGTATGAATTGTTATTTTTGGTGCTTAATGTTTTCAATTTCCATTCATTCTCTTTTTAGAAACACATTTTAGGGCATCCACGGAATAGCTGGATACATCCCATTGAAATCTGCTGGTGGCATAACTATCACAGAGTGCCTTAAAGGTAAGCATTATTGGGCCAAAATATCAAACTAACGCTTTGATATGTTATCATATCAGTTTAATGTCAATTGAAGCTCAAATTCAAGCGTCGATAACAGAAACTATTTTTTTCTATTGTGATTTGGTTCAGAAAACCTGTTTGAGTATGCTCATGGAACTTATATATTCAGTGCTCCCTGTTATATATTACTGTGCTTTATTTGACGTAGGATTTGGCTCTCATTTCTAGGGTCAAATTTGGGTCTTTTTTAATCCATAATAGGGTCCTTTATAGGGTGTCTGGTTTTATTCTCTCCTCACTAAAGAATTCTTGTGTATCGTTTTTCAGTGCTCAGGAATTAGACCAGAATCCCATTAGCACCTCTCTGGCATCCTAAGTTTTAAAGGCGATGCGACGAAGATAATAATTAAGGGATTCCCAATTGAGTAAAATTATGACTATTGCACAAGTCCGGTGCAGCCTCCCTTTGCCTCTCCTGTGCTCCTCTCTAACTGGTCAAATTAAGAAGTGTGCAAGTTAAATTGCTTTAAGCATGCAAGGTATGCTTTTCTAAAGTGATTGTTCGATGTAAGTCATGTAGAAGGCTAGCAAGCTTATTACTCTTAACCAAAAGAATTAAGAAACTGCAAATGGCTTTTATATTTATCTTCCCAGGTGTGTGCAACTGATTCAGTGTGAGCGTTTTATAATTTTATATGATAAATACATACAAAATGAAAAAGCTTGTTATTACGTATGCTGTGATGTTGGTAAAAGAGCTTATATGAGGATCTCTGAGAGCCACACCCTTTAAAACGCAAGCACAACTTAACAGATAGTCAAGTATAGTGAAAAAAGGTCTTAATGTGAGATGGGATTCCGAAACAAACGCAAAACAGGTTGAACAGATTGGAAGCTACTCTTTCCTTTAAAAATTAGAAGTTAGAAATCTTGGAGAGAAAGAAAATTAAATATACAAAAACAGAAAAGTTCAGACAAAGTCTTTTTTCTTTTTGACTAAAATTCATCTTCTGGATCCATAATTAAGACAGCTCATTTCGGAAGAATTAATTTTTTAGTTTTTTTTGTTATACATTGAATTTGATTTTGGTCCTTTAGTTGCATATTTGTTGTTGTCGTTCTTTGCAATCTGTGTGTCAGAGTCTTTGATTGCACTATCCAGAATCGGAGTCCCTTCCAGTCTCAATCAGTAGTACGCATCAATGGCTAAAAAATTGATTTTATCTTGTCTTTACAAACGCGAAAAATGATTTCTTTTTCGTACTTTACATTGCCAAAAAAAAGTATGGTCCTTTCTTTTGGCTCAAGAAAATTGACTGAAGAATAACGCATTGACGTAGCTTATCATTCTTTTAACCCAGCTATCCCCATAATTTTTTGACTTTGAACACCATAAAAACACTTGGATAATCCCATCAAAACCTCGGGGTTGCTAGCCTGAAATTTTGAGGCATCTGTTATATCCATAGGAAAATGATATTTTGCCTTCAGGTATTCCAGTAATATATTCAACATTTAAAAGAGCTCGGATGTGTTTTAGAATAAAGGTGCCCTTGAAGGGAAAAGATGTATGCTATTACTCTGCTGAAATCGACCTAATGATGAGATTTTGATTAAATCGATCGAAAATAAAATTTTTAGATAATGTTAGATTTTTATTCTTAAGTTAAAGATTAGGGCTGTTATCGTCTGATAAAACCCCTGCCCTCAAAGCTCTTTTGATCTCTCGAATACGTTTTCCGTTTTTAGTTGCTTGTATTTTTTATCAATGACGGAGAAAGGAGTTTAAAAAAAAGACTACTCAAAATCTTTGGATTTAGAAGACCACAAATGAATTGTTAGTGAGTGGCTTTGAAAGAAACAATGATACGGTTATGTCCTTAAAGTGCAGTTTGATGCTACAAAGTGCATTAATCATTAACTTTAGCATCCTAAAATTATAACCTTCATGGCAGTTTCCGTGCACCTTATGATGCTTGAGAGGGGCAAATGGGAGTCTGGTCTCCTTCCTCGACACTGACATATGAAACAATTGGCGTCAGATTCTTCCGCAAAGTGAGAGCATACTCAGACTTTAAATTCTGCGATATTCTTGAATTTGGATGCAAAAAACTCTTCTTTGCTTTGACCGGTACCAGTTTGTCCCTACCACCAACAATCGGCTAGTCCCCCCCCCTTCACCCCCCCCCCCAGCTCTTCCTCTCTTATCAAGTTTGTTTTCTTATTCGACCTATGTAGAACATTTTTGCCTCTCTCTGGCTAGGCCTACCAGGGCTGGAAAATGTCCGGCAGCGCCAGGAAATTTTTGCCGCAAATTCATTGCAGGAAATTGTTGATGTTTGCCAGGAAATTTTTAGCGTGAAATCTCCATTGCTTGATTTTAATATGAACATTAAATTCATGTTACAATTTTTCTACGGAATGCTGTTTTCTTGTGATATACATACTGTTTTCTTGTGATACACATACATAATGTATAATTTTTGTTCTGCACTACTAACAAAAAACGAATATTAGCTTTCAATCATCTGGTATTATAAGCGCCTGTTATGCCAAATTTCCGTGCATGACTTTCAGCTACTAATTTGATTCAAGCAAGCTAAAACAAAGTTCATTCCTTTTTTTACATTATTAACCATTCTAAATATGTAAAAACACTTAAAGACAGCCAATCTTTTTACGTCAATTGTTTTGAAGGTGAATATGCCCCCAAAGCCTGTGTGGATGTGTCCATTATTATTCATATTTTTCTACTGGCATTCGCATATATTTTTCATCACTTGCTTTATAGAATGTAAGCGTTTTGGTCTTAAATCTTTGCCTCTAGCACCACCCCTGATTTAAAACATTTATTTTAACCATTGAAAAATAAAATAGTATTCTTACATGTTGTATGAACTACTAGCTTTGATGATAAACCCACCCAGAGCAAGATATATAGATAATACTTATTAAGTATCTATTTTGCTAGTACTAATATGAAATTTGATCAAAGTTATTATAGATTTTCAGATCTACTTTCTTTAACCTTGAAAACAAACTATGAGTATCGTGCTTGATCACGTTCTCCTTGATCATCTAATACAGTATAAACAAAATGATTCCTGTTCGAATAGCAATGATCAAGACTGCAGAACCAACAATTTGTTCTTTTTTGTGTGACAGTTTGTTTTAGGACAAATTTTGAAACAAATCAAGCAACTTGAAATATCAATTTCAGTGGCTGGAAACTTTCTCGAAGCTTCGCAGGAAATCTTGAATTTTTTATTTTGCTGCCAGGAAGAAAAATTCTTTTTCAAGGCCTGCTACCAACCTTCAGTGAGATTTCCTTGCAATGATACTTTTTCTTCAGTTCATGTGTCGACATGCAAATCTTTTCCCTTTAACTTTTGTAGGGTAAACATCTATTTACATTTTGAAAAGTGACACCTTTTTTGCATTTCAGATGAGGAATCGGACTCAAACGATGATTCAGTCAGCAAGACAACTCGGGGCAGTCAGAAGAGTACTTTGTCAAACAATAAACTAGCAGAATCATAACCAAAAGGGATGCTGTCTTTTATTTCCACCAAATGATTTGAAGAGCTAGACTCAAAGACAGCAGCCTACATTGACGGAGACAGGCATTTTAGCCTCTATATGGCAAAATGAGAATGAGACTGGCCATGCAGTGGTAAAATTTTCTCTCCAAGTACTCTTTAAGCCCAAAATGATGTTCTGTAATTTGTATGTTTTGTATTTTTTTCAAACCCCTGGGATCAACATTCCCGCTTGGGATACACTAAACCCCCCCCCCCCCGGGTCAGTGCATTCTCACAAATGTTGTTCAATTCCTACACTCTTTGATTTCTTAGGGAACCGTTTGTGCTGTAACCCCATACGCTGGCATTTTTGTTTCTACCTTGCATTACCGTACAGTGAAAGCAATGATTATACGGTTTGACAATTATACGGCCAGAATTATCTGAATCTTACAAATTACTGGGTGCACATTAGGCTTAAAATCAAACTGTGAACTTTAAGTTAATGAACTTTGTTTTAAAACAAGTCTGAAGCTTTATGCTTTAGCAATGTTGTCCTGTTACATGGTGAGAGATCAAAATGATAATAAGGTTTATGATTATGTCACATCTTAGCTGTTGTCCTTTTATTGAGGTGTTTTTGTAAACAAGACATAGAAGTTATAAAAAATCCTTGCCAATTGAAACATCCTCCTACCCTCTTCGAAGAGGGGCAGAGGGGGCAAAAAGTGCCCTGAAATATGATGACCACTTTGACTACTCTCGTTATGTTAATATCTATTAGAAAATACTAGAATGATGATAACACTAGCACAAAAACGCAGAAAATGAAAAGTTTGTCTGTGACAGGGTCGGCCACAAGAGGGAGAGCGGCAAAGATAATAGTTGATAAACAAAAGATGTGTACTCCAGAAGTACTCCAGGATATAAAAACTTAGCAGGCAATCAAAACTTTACAACCAGCTCATTTATAACAGCCATGATTTTTATAAAACCAAATATTGTGAATAATGAGTGACAAGGCCATTTAATACCCATTTTTGTGAATGGATAATTTTGTCAACATTTTCTTTATGTTTAGAATCTTCGATGGTAAAAATCCCAGCTGTATGGGTGGCACATATTCAAGTTAATAATTTATTATGTTACCCCAGCCTCGCCCCCCCTCCCACCTAGGAATGCTCGATTATGTTAATAGAAAAATTCAACAATTTGCCCTCGGCACCAACACTGCCCCTCCTGCCCTAATCTTGTGCAGGCGTCCCTGCCCTCATGTTAAAACCTCGATCCAAGGATAACTCAGCTCAGTTCTTTAGAAAAACTTGCATTTGTGTATAATGGAGATAACCAAGGGCCAGGCCTTCTTTTAAGGCTCAGTGACATCCATTTCTGCAATTATGAAACAAAAATGTGCAATGAAAAATGGGACTTTGTGCATTGATAGATCAGTTACAATAGTATCAATAAAGTATCAAAAAGAAGTTAAAATGCAAACTAACATAGCATACCTCGTAGTTATATGAAAAGCAGGGCAAGCAAATCAAAAAGGAACTTACATTTTATAGACTAAAATTAAAAAGATCTATAAACAATAGATTCGTTTTCAAACAGCCTCGTTTTATTTTTTTTAATCTTAGATAGAAGTGATGCAGTGATAAAATTTTGTTAAAGTGAGGTCTGCCAAGAACAGTTTAGATCCATCTTCTATGGAAGAATTTGTGTTGACGGAGCAAGCATCTCAGATTTTGAAACTAAGATAGTCATAAACGTTGGGAGTGCACTTGCCAACTTAAGTTGAATAAATTATGTTGTCATTATGTTACTTGAAAAATCTACCCAGTTTTAATGTCTGCAGGTGACAAGATCATTTCTCTGCTTAGACATATCCGTTTTTAGGGGAGGCATGTAGTACCCCTTCCCTTGAATTTGCACCAGTGCCACATTAACCACTGGACATCCTATGCACTGTGCCCAGGGTCCCAAATATAAGAAGGACTTCAAATTTTCTTGCATCGTCAGATTTTCTCTGAAAGGATTTTATCTTGGGTGCTAGAGTCTCCATAATTTAGTCTCGGGAACATAGCTTGAAACTGGTCGCAGAATTAATTGCAGCCGTCTACAATGCTTTATCCCCGGATTCACGAGGCTCTGGTACCCAGGGTAAAAGGGTCTATGATCTATCCAGTTTTTGAACAATTGTTTTTTGCTTCATCCATTAACAGAAATTGATATCAAAAGCATAACAAGCAATCTATAACTGGACTACTACTTTAGACATAATAGAATTATTGACATATTGTGTTTAACTTCAAGTCAATTCACTTGTTTAACCTAAAGATACATGTAATCATTTTAAAATCATTAGCTTGCTTATTACGTTATTTTACAAATCTTTTTCGATAACATATCCTTCTTTGCCAAAAAGTATTTCAGATTAGTGCATCTCTCTAAAAATGTTATTTCAATAGATGCAGAAAACAGAGTGGCCGACAGAGCTGCAGCCCCTTAATCAGGTAACGTTTATCCCTTTTCCGTCTCCATTCGGGCAGTTTCATCCTATGAAGCAATGATATTCGGTCAAGACCCATACTTAGCCCCCCAAACCAGGTGTGTAGAGCTAGGGGGCTCAGGGGGCTGAGCTCCCCCTGTTAAAGCCGAAAATTGGCAAATTTCTACTTTCGCTATTGTTTTTTGCAACATTTTGTGCAAGTGCCCCCTAACAATACACCACTGCCCCAAACCATTTTGCGAATTGCAATTGTTAAACTCATGACTAAAATAAACTGTGGTTGATTAGGGGCTCTAATTTTATTCTGTCCCCATGACCTGAAAATTCTTATTGCCTCCATTAATAACCACAAACAAACAACTAACATAAAATCAACTGACCCTTGTTAAATCTTGACGATTGAATTGACTAAACTTCCCCCGTATGGGCGGTTCTTGTAATTGTAGAATCAAAACATAGTAGACTAAAAACCCACGAATAAGAACCTAGTGCTATGGAGAACAATAAAGAATTTGAGAAACTACTTAAGGAACATTTTCGATGACATTTATCTTAATATTTTACATGAAACTTTGAATGTAATTAGGTAGAACTGTTCTTTTTACATCTGTATTCTTACTTTTATCGGATTCATTTTTAACTGAAAATATTTAGGGTATTAGCATTAGGGCATAGGACACAGGACACACATTAATAACAGCAGTTTTCACTCGTTGAAGTGTATATCCTGTATAAATATTCGTCTTATTATTATTATATATTATATATTTTCTCAATTAGCCTAAACAGGCTCTTATATGAATTGTACTAAAAAAGAATTTAGTGTACCAAGGTTCTTAAAATAAGTTCTTATATATATGTAGCAAAATCATAATTTTCATATCATGCAATAATATTATACCTAAAGACAGTACAGACTCAACAAAACAAATATATACTTTAAGAAACTCGTAGCAAAATCTCTGAAATGGCAATTAAAAGACAAGGTTAATGTGTTGAAAACGTGGAATAAATTGAAATTAAACCTTTTTAAAAAATAAAACTTTGCAAATGCTGAATATTAAATGGAGTAATTGTAATGATAGCAAAAATAGACACAGTTTTGTACTTTGGCTTCGAAGAAAAATTGTCTTGGCAAGTTAACATGAGATATGAGCAGATAATGATATTCTATTCGACAGTTTCCATCTACAAACCTATACAGCAGCCCCACTAGTAAAAACGTTACTTGAAACTATAGCCTGAAAAGGTCCTTGTATGGAAGAGGCCTAAATTTGAAATTTCAGCCTATTAGGTTCATAAAATCCAGGTTCTTATACGCGGGTCTTTACTGTAATACAAAGAGATGGCCTGGCTGTTGAAAGTTGAGAAGCCTTCCTCTCCTTTCTACTTTCTATGCATCGATGTTATTGGAAATATACACACAGGCTTTGCAGTACTCTGTTCGTAATTGTTCTCGCAAGTCACTGGGGACATTTGCTAGAAAAGGCAAAGCCTTCAAAAACCAATGTATTCATTCTACACAATAATGGCAGGATAAGCTTGAAACTTTTCTCTCAATCATTGCCTAAGTTGTATAAATTCTACTTGCAGGTCTTCTTGGAAAGTGACGATTCCGTTCAAGAGGGTTTGCCTGATCAAAGCACACATATCTGGTAGGGCCGTGTCTTACAGCATAAGCATCGCTATCGACATCTCAGCTCGACCCAAGAACTATATGATTGTAAAGCATGTAAAAAGAGCCGGTCTTAATCAGATCTTAGCTTTTTGTTTTTCAGTTTAAGAGAATACAAGTAATCTTTAAAACTGATGCACGTCTACCCCCACTGAACAGAAAACCAGCATCGTAGCATACCATTTCCGATTAACCGTTAATCGCTCACCTCCAAAACTCCTCCATTTGAATGGCTTCATTTTAAACAAAAGCGATCTCCTTTTGAGATCGACTATGTTCTTAATGACTACCCAGTTTGAGCGAGGAGAGAACCTCCCCAGCCAAGCCTCTAGCTTTACAAATCGTCTATTGAATTTCTTTTGTTAAATGTGAGAAGTCTTTGAATTGGTAGTTTGCTCAAGAGAAGTATTTTTTGTAGCTTCGTTATTCAGCCGATTTTTTCGTTGAATTGTGAAATGATGAACTGAGACATTAACCTCTTCGTGTATATTTTTCGTTTATTTTTCCTGCTTTTCCTAACTTGGAAAATTGACAGTTTTCGCAAGCCGGTCACTACATTCCTTTCTTTACACAAAGAGAGCCTTTTGTCTCCGATTGAATAGGCAGTGTTTCAACTAAATGTTGCATTTCTGGCAAAAGTATACAGTGTATCAATTTATGCGTTATACCACAGGATGCAGGAGATTGTGCCCGTTCTGTTGGTTTTTTCGCTGAGACGATCGGACCATTTTTGACAAAGTTATTCGACTTTTTCTCAGTTTTGACCGAGGGGGATTCAGGATTGCACAAAGCAGTTCAGAAAAAACAATAGGCTTGTGATTCCCCGAGTTTGTAAAGATCTCAGTTTTTGGTGATTTACTCCTAAACTAAAATAGCTATGAATTTCTAGTTTGTTTCATGAGACGGGCCGTTCGATGCTCGATTTTTTGAGCCATTCCCCGTATTTTTAGGACCAGTTTTAGCCGAGTTATTAAGGATTTTGTCTCGAAAATCGCCAAAAAACGGTTTTTTGGACTTTAAAAATCGAAAACAGCTGATAAAAATCTGCTGATACTTTCTAAAAATCGAGGCAAAAATCACCTAAATTCTGATATATAGCTTTCTCTGTTTGAAGCTCGCGTTTCTTTTTAAAATCGATTTTTCTGAAAAGTGCACTTTTCAAATTTTCTCAAATTTGCATCGCAGCGTCAAGGCCTGTACAAACCCGTAGATGCGGTGGCGGCCGACACTTTTTACTGAAAAACGGTATTTTCTTGGAGTTTTAAAGCGGGGGTAAGCATTTAACGTGCTAAACATGCACTTTAAAGTCGCTTTTGATGTGATTTTAGCGTTATTTCTTGGTTTCAAAACATTTTGAAAAAATTTAGTACATGTCACTAGCCGCCCGTAACCCTTCAGGCTCTAATGGAGAGAAACACATGAAAATCACTCGATTTTCCCATTTTAAGCGTTTGAGTCGATAAACAGCCGTTTACACACTCTCTTCTTGCATGTTGAATCTGTTTAATCTTTTACAAAGGGATTAATCGCAAAAAAATCTTTGCAACTTCACTTTTCCTCGACGAAGGTCTGGGAATCCCCTTCCATTGGCATATTCAGGCTTGCAAACTTTCTATTGTCTTACCGGGTTACCCTTTAGTTTTTGCCCTTCTGAGGCTTTAATATCAATATGATTGAGAGAAATAGAACATAGATGCAGTTATCTATCGACTCAAACGCTTAAAAAGCGAATATCGAGCGATTTTCGTCTGTTTTTCTTCATTAAAGCAGATCGGGCGACGGGCGGCTAGTGATATGTACTAAATTCTCTAAACTGTCACTAGCCGCCCGTCGCCCGA